GAGTTGGGAGGTCCAAATTTCTCTGGAGGCTCTGGTCTACAATTATGGCACACATGTGACAATCACGAATGTAAACAAAGGACTTTTGACTGATTATTTTACAACTTGAATGTAAAGAAAATTACATTGCTATAATCTTGTTATTCTTTCTGTTGTGCTCGACTCAAAAAAATTTACCGACTCGACTCATCATTCAACCTCAGAAAGCCCTGACTCAACTCTGACTCAAACAAGGAGCTGATTTTTTCCCTTGACTCGACTCATGACTCAAGCGGCTCAATGAAAATATGAGTCGACTCAAACTTGACTCAAATTTTTTGTTGAGTCAAGTGAGTTGACTCAAAATTGACTCTGATAAAAAAAAATCTTGAGCGGGGGAGGGGGGTGAAAAAGTCCGGCAACAGGGTCAGGGAAGCGGGGGTGGGGAATGAAAAGCTTGTTTCTGGAAAGTTGAGTCAGCTGACTCATGTTCCTAAATGTTTGACTCAACTCAATGTCAAAGTTATTTTACTGACTCAACTCTGACTCAACTCAACGCCTTAATATTTTTGTCCGACTCAACTCTGACTCAACTCAACAGCTCAAAAATTTATCCGATTCGACTCAAATCTGACTCATTTGAGTCAGAGTTGAGTCAAATTTTTGACTCGACTCATGAGTCAAGCACAACCCTGTTAAATAAATCTTAATTTATTTAACAGGGTTCAGGAAGACGCTACTCCTGCCCCGAGACCGGGGGAACCCAGAGCCGTGATCCAGTCTGCGGCGTCCACCCAACCAGGAAATCAAGCCAGCCCGCGCCCTCCTGGAGCCCGAGTAGGCACAGACGAGAAGTGACTATATCAAGACAGTAAAAGGAAAAGGAAAGTCCGCCAAAGCTTGAAGGTTTTATACACAAACTCTGATCAATTTCTCAACAAGAGAGATGACCTAAGTATGTTCATTGCTGACAAGAGCCCAGACCTGATTCTGTTGACAGAGGTCATCCCTAAGGCACAATCAAATCCAATCCCTGAAGCACTTTTGGCACTCAGTGATTACTCCATGTACTGCAACTTCAATCCCCAAGACAGCAACCTGGGCAGCAGTGGCATGAGGGGGATAAGTATATATGTGCATCAAAACCTTCAGGCAACAGAGATAAATCTCAGTCATATCCCCTTCAGCGAGCACTTGTGGGTTGACCTGACTCTGTCTGCACCTGACAAGCTGCTTATTGGGTGCTTGTACCGCAGTCCCTCAGGTGATGCAACAGCATCTGTGCAAATGCTCGACCACCTCATCCATTATGCAACATCTTTGAACTATTCTCACCTGCTGCTTGCTGGAGATTTCAATCTGCCTCAAATCGACTGGTCTTTAGGTGTTTCTTCAGCACCACACAACCACAGCTCTCATGCTTTTGTTGAGGTTGTTCAAGACTGTTTTCTCTATCAGCACGTTACAGAACCCACCCGTTTCAGAATTGGTGAGGCACCCAGCACTCTCGATTTGATCTTTTCGAATGAAGAAGGGATGGTACAAAATGTCACATACCACCACGGCCTTGGACGTAGTGACCATGCCATCATCTCTTTTGATCTTCAATGCTATGCTGTCAGAACTGCGTCAGCAGGACCAAATCCTCTCAACCTCCACCGAATCGACTTCAGTCTTCTGAATCATCTGATAAGAAGTGCCAACTGGGACAGAGGACAGGACATGCCACTTGAAGAGCAGTACTGTCACTGGAAGAGTCTGCTTATGGACCTCACCAGCAAGTGTGTCCCTGGTATCTCACAGAGAACAGTGAAGAAAAACATATACATGACCAAGGAAGCACTCAAACTGAAGAAGAAGAAAAGATCCACATGGTTACAATATCTGCATACCAAGGACCCCATTGATCATGCCCGGTTTGTCAGAGTCAGAAACGACCTCAGAAGGATGACCAGAAACTTGAGACATGACTTTGAAACGAGACTGGCACGGGACATAAAGATGAACCCCAAACACTTTTGGAGATATGTCCACTCTCGATCCAAGACGAGGTCCAAGGTTGAGCACCTACTGCATGCCGACGGCTCCCTTGCCATCGACGACAGTGACAAAGCCGCTGTTCTGAACGAATACTTTTCCAGCGTTTTCTCTGCCGAAGACTCGACTATTCCTCCATTCCATGTGAGGTACTCTGGTCCTGAACTCGAGCCTGTTACAATCACCCCTGAGACGGTCATCAACAAGCTCCAGGGTCTCAAACCCTCCAGCTCTCCAGGCCCGGACGGCATTCATCCACGAGTCCTCTCTGAGACTGCCGAGTCTATTGGCCCATCTTTGGCACGGCTATACAACGCGTCCTTGGCATCGGGTGAGGTTCCGTATGAGTGGAAGCTGGGCCAAGTTGTCCCAATATACAAGAAGGGGAACAAACAGCTGCCGACAAACTATAGGCCTGTCAGCTTGACTGCTGTTCCATGTAAGGTTCTGGAGTCCATCATTCGGGACCTCATCATGAACCACTTGGTCTCTACTGGCCAGCTCCACAACGCTCAGCATGGTTTTCGTCCGAAACGCTCTTGTGCAACTCAGCTGTTAGCTACTCTGGAGGACTGGAGCAGGGCGATTGAGAGAGGCGAGACCGTGGACGCTATCTATCTGGACTTTTCTAAGGCATTTGACACTGTGCCCCATCAGCGACTCCTACACAAACTCAGGGCATATGGGATCGGAGAACATCTTGTCAGATGGATATCAAGTTTCCTGCGTAATAGAAAACAAAGAGTTGTTCTGAACGGATCACACTCTGACTGGGCCACAGTCAGTAGCGGCGTTCCCCAGGGCTCGGTCCTGGGACCCCTTCTGTTTGTCCTGTTCGTCAACGATCTTCCAGGCCTGATACACGGCGGGATACAGATGTTCGCGGACGACACAAAGATTTACCGTCCTGTTCAGAACCCCTCGGATGCGGCTCTACTCCAGGCGGACATCTCCACGGCAGTCGACTGGTCCAGCAAGTGGTGCCTCAGTTTCAACTCCCAAAAGTGCAAGCTTATACACGTCGGCAAGCGCATTCCACATCAATCATATGTCATTGGAGACTGCCAGCTTGCTGAAGTTGAAGTCGAGCGTGACCTAGGCGTCCAGATCGATCGGGACCTCAAGTTTCGTGAACAAGCCGCTGCAGCGGTATCCAGAGCCTCCCAGATGCTCGCGGTGATTCACAAGTCCTTCGAATGCATCGATGCCATCACACTACCTCTTCTGTACAAGACCCTGGTACGACCGCACCTCGAGTATTGCAATATAGTATGGGGCCCTTTCAATCGCGCTGACCAGCAAAAGGTGGAACGTGTCCAAAGACGAGCAACTAAGATGATTCCGTCTCTGAGGAGCCTACCGTACGACCAACGACTACGCTCGCTGAAACTCCCATCTCTCTACTACCGAAGGCGTCGTGGCGACATGATTATGACCTACCAGCTTTTTCACGGCGGTGTCGACCTCGATCCTGGGTCGTTTTTTGACTTGGCTGATTCTACTACGAGAGGGCACTCCTGGAAGCTATTGAAGCCTAGAGCGTCTTCCCGACCGAGGCGAAACGCGTACAGCGTCCGGGTCGTCAATGACTGGAATGGCCTCCCTGCTCACGTAGTTGAAGCGAGATCCTTGAATGAATTCAAGTCCAGGCTCGACCGCCACTGGGCCCACCTCCTCTATACCATCCACTCCAACGACTGATGCAGTGACATCGTCTCGGAGCTCGATAAGTCAGAGTCCCACAGGCCTAAGGGCCTTCAAAATTCTCGTACATCGTAAGTAAGTAAGTAAGTTAATAAAATTGAAAACAAATTTTGCATTTCAAGAGAGAACAATCGTCATTCTTTTGGTATATGTGATGCCAATCTCCAGAAATCTCCAGATTGCGTTCCAGCGCCTCCAGTAAAACCTCTGGTAGAGCCTCCAGTCAAGAATTTCTACTGGAGGCGCTGGAACAGGCCCTATCTTCTTCGCAGTCACTCGAATCAGAATCAGAATCATCTGAATCACACACTTTGACTGTTTTCGAGGCGTCGTTTTCCGTCTCTGTTGACGTTTTTGGCGCACTCGAGGAGCTAGGCAATCTAGAATTCCTAGAATTCAGGTTGTCTTTTTTTGGCGGCATTTTGCTGAAGAATATTCAACCGGTCTTTTTCGGATTTCAATAGAATGAATTTTCGATGATTTCAATATGTCCACGCTCCCTGTTTGTGCACCTCTCGTCTCAGTCTGTTGGCTTGACCTTGAATCAGACCCCCGGGCTACCGGGAGAGAAGGTGGTGGAGGCAGGGTATATAGAACAACGGGTACACCAACGACGCGGAAAGCGCCCATTTTACCTGGATGAGTTACATGGTAGGTGATATATTTTTTGAATATGGAAAAATATAGTATTCCATTCTGAAGAGTGAAGCCAAATTCATAAAGCAGTTATTTTTAAATTATATGTACCAGAAATAACATACTAACCATAGTTTAAAACTTAGTCTTAAGTTAGTTGAAAAGCGTATAGTTGATACTAAAATGGAAGGAATCAATGGAAGGCGGAAATGGCGCAGCTGTTTCATTCTTTAAATGTGTTCGCAAGCAGGATTTACGTGATGCTAGCGAAATCTATGAATATAATCGGTGATGCTGATTGGCTGATCGAGTCCGTGAGCAGTATCAGCGATTTACGCCTGTACAGGGTTGAGGCAATATGCGCATGCGCAGGAACTTTTGCTCTCATGGAGGGGCTTTTGGTACCTCGGGCAGCGCCCAATGCTTTTTGGACCTGTTATGGCCTCCGCATCGAAAAACGCTAGATAAAAAGGTTGTAGAGGAAGCTCGAGGCTACCTTTCCCCACAATAATATTGGCACTTTATCTTTTAGCTTACGCGTGAGGCTCGCTTGAAAAAGGTCGATTTAACATGGAAACCCTATGGGGTAGTAGTTTTTGAGCGCCCATTTGGCCTAATGCTACCAACTGTTACTGGCTACCCCTGGGTGGAGGAGCGGTCGGGAACACGTCCGGACGCCAGGAGTGGTGGGACCCTATATATGGCCTTGGGTGGGACAAGAGTTGTCCAATGTTGATAAGTTTTAGTATATTTGATAAAGTGAAGTGATCATTCCACCTTAACATTAGTTTTGAGTTGCGATCACGATAGCAAATTGGGGTCTGTGGCCTGATATCGCTGGTCTGGGCAGTGGGCATTCACAACATCAACATGAGAAATGCTGTAAATCCGAGATTAAATTTCAGAGCTGCATTTTTCAGATTTTAAGGGGCTTATGCATTTGGATGCCCCCTTAGAATTTGTGATATCAGCACAGTTGTAGTGATTTTTAAAACCTAATACTAGAAGAGAGCTGTTGCTGTGGCCATATATTCTGCTTTGCGCGCAACATCTGCCACGCCTAAGTTTTAAGATACCAAATTATTGTTGCCAAATGATGTTATGGGAACAGCTGAGGCTCCAAAAAGTAGACAAAAGTAAAAGTAATATCTTTAAAACCAGTGAATATTTTTCAGTGAGATTCGGTACATTTATTCATTTTTGCTTTTCTGAACCACAGTAATCACTTTCATGCCAATTCATGGACTTTTAAAGGTGGGAGGGTCCCTTTTATGTCTACTGAGCATGCTTCAGGTTACAGGTATATGTTGATGTACTGGACATAAATTGTCATCACTAAATTCTTATGAAAAATGATCATCATAAGTATGGAAAATGAGTGGGCACCAGTGACCAGCAGAGTAAGCACTAAGATAAAAACATTTTTAGCAACTGACACTTTTGACTTGGCACCAACATGCACCAAGAGAAGTTAATGCAGGGTAGAAGAGAAGGGGCTTCTATACAAAAATGGCTGCAAGTTAATCAGCTATGGTGTTGTTGAGATATGAGGCTCCCAGAAGTATTGCAGGCTATGCCAGACTGCTATTACTTGCACTTTTTGCTACTTTGATTCTAAAGACTTACTTTGTTGTAAATTTAGTCTAACCTTCAGTTACAAGTAAAAAATAATAGATATGCTCTGGCAGCTTTGTATTTTTTATGGCTGATGAGTGAATAGTAATAATACATTGAACTTGGATGGGAAATTGATCAAAGCTTTCAAGTTAACTGGTATTCTAGGTCTCTTCCTTTTTTACTGTAAAATTATAGTCAAGCTTATTTTAAGACTTAAGGGTCAATATGACATTTTTTGGACACCTGTTGTCACTACTGCAGGTCACCACCTAGTGTCGTTGATGACTTCTTCTGATATCAATGCATAGTGCATTTCTTCATCCCATTTACTATTGACACATTCTTGTTTCAGAAAAAAAAACATAATAAAAGAAGACTTCCATAATCTCCGGAATGGAGCGTTCAGCACTGAAGCACAGTGTCAACTCTACCTTCAGGTTGAATGGATACACTCTTAAAAAGTAAAATATTCTCATTTTTCTTTAAAAGTATTATATTCTGTTCTCTTTGTGCACATTATGCGATTATGAGAGGTATATTAGTTTTTGCTTATTAACTTAGAGTCCCCAAATATAAATTATAAAGTGTGCTAAATTTGAAAGCAGCTCTGTCAACTACCAACAAAAGTTTTGAAACAAGATGTTGAACAAAGTCTTCTAAGGTACCTTGACATGACCTTCACATGATATTTGACACCCATCATAAGCCATGAGCAGTGCTGGAAATGAGGCCGCTTTCTGGTCCCGGCGTTTTATTCTCAGGGTGGGTTACCCCCATCTAGCGCTTAGCCTTTCGGGACCCACTCAGGGTCGCGGCTGTTTTTCACCGCTCGGCCCATTCGAGATGCAAAGTTGATAGTCCCACGAAGTTTATTTGGGGCATCTTAATATACGACTCCGAAATTAATCGATTCTACAAAACCTTTTTCTTTCATCAATATGCATACATTTAACAGTAACTCCAGACTAGGCTGGTTTGGCTGGCCCTAAATAGGCTTCGTTTGGCTATTAACTTTGCATCTCGACTGGGGCGAGCGGCGAAAACAACCGCGACCCTGAGTGGGTCCCGAAAGGCTGAGCGCTAGATGGGGGTAACCCACCCGGAGAATAAAACGCCGGGACCAGAAAACGGCCTCATTTCCAGCACTGTGCAGTTGGGGCAACCACGATTTCACATGTCGGCATGTTTCTACTCGGAGAAGACCGGAAATTCGCGGATAATGTGCGCTGACAATGCATACACTGAATCACCATTCTGCCCTGTCTCATCTCAAGAAATAGTCATAAGTGAAATGTCATCCCAGTCAGGGCCATGAACTTTTTGGAGCAGGTGTAAAATAGATTAAATCGAAGGTACTGAAAGCTGTGCTATCGTGCGAGGGTACTGACGTGATTGGCCATTTTTACGTGCATTACATGTATACTCTCGGAAACAAGGGAGGGCGAGTTGTCCACTCGACCTTTCCCTTCGCCTAAGTGCGATCTATAATCACCATAAAGGCATGAAAGGAAAAAGAAATAGTGTGCCTTGAAGTGTCAAACTTGTGGCTTTAAAATTTATCTGCTAAAAGATGTTTGAAATGCCTTGATTGGGCAAAGTGCTGAAATTGTGTCACATATGTTAGCACCGGCGGCTGCAGGCCGGGCCGCCCGGGACCACCGAGCGGGCCATGCGGCGGCCGGCCGACCACGTGGCGCTCGGGGCTATGCCGGCACTGAGCTGGCTCATTGTAAGCGGCCCCGTGATTGGCTGTGTGGGCTCCTGCCCTCGGGCGCCGGCGAGGTGACCTCGGGTCGGCGCACGGGGCTCGAGGGGAGTTCGTTCTGGATGCTCGGCGGGGAAGTGCTCGCTGTGTGGGCGGAAGTGGTGCTCTGGCTGTGGTGTGGTGGTGGTGCACAATACAGCAAGTGAAATATCTTAACTGGTGTGGAGAGGAGCTGGACCAGTGGAAAAAGGGACGAGACAGTGAACAGCAGCGAGTCTTCTCAGCGTGCGAGTAGCCGATCATTTCCTTCCATCCGGGACTCATAACACGGCCTCTTCCAGGGTGTGTGAGGGAGGCAGCCACAGTGTCTCGCCATCGAGTCACTGAGCTTAAACTCGTTCCCCGGGTCTTGCCATCGAGGCTCGGGTGCGGGGTCTCCGCTCAGACAGGGGTGCGACCAGTCGGCTCCGGCTAACCTTGCCATCGAGGCGCCGGAGTATCGGTTGATCTGTCCGATTACAGTGGTCTCGCCATCGAGAGGCTGGAATCGGGCAGCGGCTGGCGTCTTCCTCACCATCCTGATCTACCCATCGCTCTCCTACAGTCCTTGTCTATCATCCGGCTAAGTAAGTGTCGTTGGCGTGTGAAATACCAGAGGACACGTGGCGACATTTCTGGTCCTCCGGGCCGGATTGCGACCCAGTGAGCTGAACAGGAGAAGATGGGGATAGAAAAAGAAGAGGCAAAGGATGTCAAACGGCCCGATCCCACTGCAGATGGAGCTTTCAAGGATGTTAGAGATCAAGAGCTTGCTGATCTGCGACGACTGCGTGGTATCAAGAGGGCTGTCGTGACGAGGGTGTCCAAGGTGTTAGAGGCAGAGATAGCAAGACAGCGGAACCGCGATCGCATCCAGGAGGTAAATAGAAGGCTGAAAGAAGCTTTTTCTGATTTGAGAAAAGCTCATCAGGAGTATGAAAGCAAACTCAATGACGCAGAACTGGACGAAGCTCAGGGATACGCTGATAATCTTGAAGAAGAAGAGTCGGCTATTCAAGGGAAGATCCAGGAGTATCTTCAGGGGTTGGATGAAGCCAAGTCATCAGCTGCCACCTCCCGTCACGCTCGAAGTCGTGCCAGGTCACACACGTCTGCAGAGACGGCCGCCTCAGTCCGGTCACGAGAAGCGGCAGTTGAGTTGGATGATGCCGACCGCCAGGTGAACGATGTTAGAGCACAGCTCGAAGAGGCACGTCGTATCAGAAAAGAACGCTTGGAGAAAGAAATGGCGCGATTGGAAGCAGAGAAGTTACGACAGCAAGAACAATGGAACTTAGAAGAACGTGACGATGCACTGGAACTAAAGAAAGCAGAAAGGGCTAGAGCCAGGGCGGCTCGAAAGCTACATATGTACCGCGCTGCGGAAGATGAACTTAATTGGGACCGTCGACATGACTTCGATGACACCGCCATCAAGGACAGCAAAGGGTCTGCTGAAGGTACGGGGGTGGATCAAGCCACCGAAACACCAAATTGCCGGGACGCGCCCGACAATGTGGTTGACTCAAGATCACAAGACCAGAACGACGGACCCAAGGCAGCACCGGAAGTAGATGGTTCATCTTTGAACCCAAAGAACTGGACATCAAACAACAAAGGTCAAGAGAAGCCTGGGCATCCACCTCATGGGATGTCAGCAGCTTTCTCGAACAGTGTTCCGCGTCTCAGCTTGCCGCGGTTCACGGGAGATCCAAGTGAGTGGCCGCGTTGGATCAGCCTCTTCAGAGCACTGGTTCACGATCAGGTGTCTCTCTCTGACACGGAGCGGATGGCGCATCTACAACAAGCAGTAGATGGAGTTGCCCATCAAGCCATCGAGGGATTCTTGTTCGATGGCAAGATGTATCACCAAGCGTTGGCAAGGCTGCACGAGCGTTTCGGTCGAGAAGGCGACATCAGTCAAGCATATCTCAGCTCCATGTTTGCAACTCCAGCTCCTTCAATCAACAACATCGCCTCAGTGGAGAGGTTCAGTTCAGCTGTTAGCAACACTGTGCTGACGCTGCGCGCTCTGAACCACTACAATGATCTGAGAGCCATCGAGAACCTGCGTCGAGTAGTATTGAAGCTTCCTGCGGAGTTGTCCTACCAGTGGGGACGAGAAGTGCATCAGATGCATCCCAAGCAGCCCGATCTGGAGATCTTCAGCAAGTGGCTGGAGACAGAGACTGCCATCTTGAGAAACTCAGCCAACCACAACCGCGATCCAGAAAGGAAAAGGCCATTCGCGAGTGCACGGGAGACCTCGGCGCGACGAACAACTCTGACTACGTCGGCTACGTCTTCCCAGACGGAAAACAACCGACGTCGCTGGTTCTGTGTCCTGTGCAAGGAACAGCACAAGCTTCAGGATTGCACGGAGTTCAAGTCGAAGACGGTGGAGGAGAGGCTGGTCGTAGTGAGCAAGGAACGACTGTGTTGGGGCTGCCTGAACAAGGGTCACTTCATGAGGGATTGCCGCTCTGCAAGACGATGCAACTTGAATGGATGTAATGCATCTCATCACCGACTCATACATGTGGACAGAAGCGCCGCTAGTGATGAAGAAAACCAAACAGAACCAAAAACAGAGGCACGAGGAGGAAGTCGCATCGTCGGCACGGCTCTCACAGAGACGACAGACACACTGCTGCAGTTGGTGCCGGTGCGGATTCACGGCCCAAACGGGGAGAGAGACGTAATAGCACTGCTGGACCCGGGAGCGCAGACATCGCTCTGCTGTGAAGATGTCTTGGAAGAGATTGGGGTTCCAGGAGTCCGAGAGAATCTGCAGCTACAGAACATCGAAGGAAGCGGTACCAGACAGTCGTCTCTTCGAGTTCAGCTGACGGTCAGTCCTCTGAGCACAGCGACCAGCAGAAATCGAATCGTCGTGCCCGAGGTGTGGTCTGTGCCAAGGTTGAACGTGGCCCCACCCAGCATGAGTAGCAAGCAGCTTCGCAGCTGGAAGCACTTGCAGGACCTGGACCTACAGCAGTACAACGGCGCACACGTCGAGCTTCTACTTGGTGCCAACATTTTGGAAGCTGTGCTGCAGCGAGAGGTCAGGGTGGGAGGCCCCGGAATGCCCGTCGCTATCCGGACAGACTTTGGCTGGACCCTGACGGGATCGATATCCACCCTGATTCCAAGCTAAATGCGGCAAGTCATGTTCGTGCGTCAACGTGCTCCCGAAGACGCTCTGGAGGGTCTGAAAGAGTTGGTCCAAGACTGGTGGACGACCGAGGCCTTCGGCACCATGATCAACAGCTCTGATGCACGATCTCAAGAAGATCTCAGAGCTATGCGAATCTTGGATCAGCAGACCAGGAAGGTGGAGGACAGATATGAAGCTGGACTTCTGTGGGGTGAAGACGAACCGATGTTGCCGGACAACTGGAACCAAGCGTACCGACGTCTTCAGTCCATCGAGAGGAAACTCGACAAGCAGCCAGAACTGGCTACAAGGTACCAAGCCATCATCAACGGATATGTGAAGGATGGTCACGCAGGGAAGCTTTCAGCAGAAGAAGCGGACGAACCGAAGGAGAAGCGTTGGTATCTGCCACACCACGCAGTAGTGAACCCGAACAAGCCAGGGAAGCTGAGAATCGTCTTCGACGCTGCGGCAACATACCAAGGTGTATCACTGAACTCGAAGCTCATCACAGGTCCAGATCTACTACAAAGCCTTCCTGGGGTGATCATGCGCTTCAGGGAAGATGTGATCGCTGTGACAGCGGACATCAAGCAGATGTATCATCAGGTGAGGATCCGGACAGAAGACCAGCCTGCATCGAGCTTTATATGGCGAGATATGGAGCGACACCGCAAGCCTGACGTCTATCAGATGGAGGTGGTCATCTTTGGCGCGAAGTCATCACCGGCAACGGCCAACTACGTGCTGAGAAAAGCACTTCTGGACCATGGAGCGGAGACAGACAAGGTTCTCAGCAGAAGTCCCGAGCAACTGGCAAAGTCGTTCTACATGGACGATTGCCTGTTCTCTTGCATGACGGAAGACGCCGCCAAACAGCTGTACGCTGACGTGAAGGAGGCACTGGAGAGAGGAGGTTTTCACCTCACGAAGTGGAGAAGCAGTTCCCCCGCTGTGCTGAAAGGCGTTCCAGAGAGTGAGAAAGCCAGCGCCTCTGCGAGCCTATGTCTCAGGAGCACGCACACCGCTGAAAAGACGCTGGGCATCGCTTGGGAGGAAGACGAGGACACATTGGGGTTTCGTCTCCAAGCCAAAGAAGTGAGTGCAACCAAGCGTGGTGTGCTCAGCAAAGTGTCAACAATTTTTGACCCTCTGGGGATTGCTGCTCCTGTTACCGTGAGAGCAAAGATGATGATGCAGCGACTCTGGTGGAAACATCTGGAGTGGGACGAGCCACTACCCGAACCTGAGCTGAGCCAATGGTTGGAGTGGCTGAGTGAAGCAGAGAAGCTGAACGAAGTCGTGATGCAACGCTGCGTGAACCCCAGCGGCCCAGGGACACTGCGACGCCAACTTCATGTGTTCTGCGATGCGTCAGAGAGTGCGTTCGGCGCTGTGGCATACTGGAGGACAACTTCGAGCGATGGGTTACACCACTGTCGCTTCCTGATCGGCAAGTGCCGAGTCGCTCCACTGAAGCGACTATCAATTGTTCGTCTGGAGCTGCAAGCAGCCGTTCTTGGAGCGCGTCTGGTGGCTACCGTTCTCGGGGAGATCACTCAGCCGCCGGATGACATCTTCTGCTGGACGGACAGCAAGGTCGTTCAGCAGTACCTTGGTAATGAAACCCGACGGTTCAAGACCTTCGAGGCCAACAGACTGGCAAAGATTTACGAGCTGACCTGCAACACGTGCTGGCGTTGGAGTCAAGTGACGCACAGGTCATCTCGCCAACGAGAGGTCGAACCATCGACCCTTCCGTCTGCTCCCAGTGGCCTCGCCATCGAGGGGCTGGGAGAGACAAAACATCGGCATCTCCGCAACCGTGAGATAAACCAGTGGGGTTTACACGATCCTGACACAACGCTTTCAAGCGCTGGAGGACCAAGGGTCCTCTGAGTCTGGAGACTCTCCAGAGTCTCTCCATCTCCAGCGCGGGAGGCATTAGCCTCCGCGAGCGCTGCAGCGGCCTCCGCGCAGGTGGCGGTGGCCTCCTCAGCCGCCTCAGCACGGGCGGCGGCAACCTCCTCGGCTACACCAGCTCGGGCGGTAGCTTCCTCGGATGTGGCGGTTTCTGCTTGGGCGGCAGCGATTCGTCTAGCAGCGACGACGTCGTCAGTCGCCTTGGTGCGTCGGTGGGGGTATACCACTGATCCCCATCATTAATCGTTGCTTAACAAAGTTGAAGTGTTTTTTATTTCTTCTGTTTCATGTTATATTTGCTGGTGTTTCAAAAAATAGCATCGTATTTGTTGGAATGTGAAATGGTTTATATGTGTCAGCGACGCGATGTGTACGGCAGCACGCCGGTTACCTTTCGTGAGTGTTGCCCTGCAGTGCAACACGGTGCGGGGGGATGTTAGCACCGGCGGCTGCAGGCCGGGCCGCCCGGGACCACCGAGCGGGCCATGCGGCGGCCGGCCGACCACGTGGCGCTCGGGGCTATGCCGGCACTGAGCTGGCTCATTGTAAGCGGCCCCGTGATTGGCTGTGTGGGCTCCTGCCCTCGGGCGCCGGCGAGGTGACCTCGGGTCGGCGCACGGGGCTCGAGGGGAGTTCGTTCTGGATGCTCGGCGGGGAAGTGCTCGCTGTGTGGGCGAAGTGGTGCTCTGGCTGTGGTGTGGTGGTGGTGCACAATACAGCAAGTGAAATATCTTAACTGGTGTGGAGAGGAGCTGGACCAGTGGAAAAAGGGACGGGACAGTGAACAGCAGCGAGTCTTCTCAGCGTGCGAGTAGCCGATCATTTCCTTCCATCCGGGACTCATAACACGGCCTCTTCCGGGGTGTGTGAGGGAGGCAGCCACAGTGTCTCGCCATCGAGTCACTGAGCTTAAACTCGTTCCCCGGGTCTTGCCATCGAGGCTCGGGTGCGGGGTCTCCGCTCAGACAGGGGTGCGACCAGTCGGCTCCGGCTAACCTTGCCATCGAGGCGCCGGAGTATCGGTTGATCTGTCCGATTACAGTGGTCTCGCCATCGAGAGGCTGGAATCGGGCAGCGGCTGGCGTCTTCCTCACCATCCTGATCTACCCATCGCTCTCCTACAGTCCTTGTCTATCATCCGGCTAAGTAAGTGTCGTTGGCGTGTGAAATACCAGAGGACACGTGGCGACAACATACTTTCCAGATATTGTCCTTTTGATATGCTCTAAGCTCTTAGATCAAAAGTAAATAATGCAGCCTATTACTTCTTACTGCGTTTAGGAAGTACAGCCCACCGCTAAAGTAATGTAGGGTTTTACCAATCTCAACGGTTGGCTTTGACTGGCGATTGTTTAATGCGGAGTGATCGAAAAGAAGATGTCAATAGCTAAAGTTGCAGATGCAAGGGTGACGATACATATAAGCTACATTCAAAGTTTCATTGTAATCTGGTTAATCGTTCCTAAGCTTCAGAAGCAGAACATACCCATGACTGAAACCCCACATTACTTCTGCTGTGGACTGTACATTTAGCTGTCACGATCATATCTGTCACGTTTGACTGACTTTGTTTCCAGCGATGCGGCCAACTATATCGTGGAGGCGCTGCTTCAGGTGGGGGAGCAGCAGAGGCAGCTGTGGATGGACAAGATCCTGGCCACTGTGCAGAAACAGCCGCTCGACACGGCCATCATCGGCCGGGACCTGGTCCGCGACGTGCTGCAGGTACTGCACTGCCGGCATCTGATTCGTCAGACAGTCTGAGTCGTCACTTTTGTGAAATAGAATCCAACTAGGGTGACCCGCGTGCTCCGCAACGCGAAAAGGGATATTTTCGATCGGCGGGTGTTCGGTTGTTCTTGTGTCGGTTGGGTTATCTATCCATTTCGGTCGATTGCTTTTTGACGGCTAAACGTTTTGGTTTGTGGAAAAAATATCCACCGCATCGAGGTGCCCGTGTCTGATAAGCATGCTTTCCACTTCAGAATCTGTCAAATGTGCTTTATAATTGAGGTGCGTAGTTTTAAGACAAATGAAAGGCGTAGATAATTTTCGCTAAAAATCGTTTTGCAGAGGTTTAAAACATTTATATTTTTAAGAATACTGTTGCTTGTCATGCAAACGTGATGATTGGATCTTGGAGAGAATTGAATGCTCTTTCTAATGATAGCATTTTCAATTGTCAAGCGTATCAGGTTAAGCAGCAAATCCCGTGTATCTTTTTAGTGGCACATTATGGACAAATACCATTTTAATTCAGCGATTTTTCCACATTGTTTTTGATCAATTAGCTGTCCACAATTTTTCCATGAGAGGCGGTACATTTCTCTTGGCAATTGACGTTGTTTCAACTCTCTCAGTCTGATGGTCACGGGAAAATAAAATAAAATCCAAAATCCGTTTAAAATGGCACTTTTTGAAATGAAATTGCCCTCACACTTGCACGTGGCGCGTGCCACCCCTGCACCGCACACTATTCGATTGCCCGTTCGATTCTCTACACGATGCTGTTTTCCCCGTGCCGATCGGGCGCACGGCTACCGAGATATTGCACGGGGAACGGACCCGTGTCGGGCAAATTTAGCCATTTTCGCCCGTTTTTGCCAGCCGATTTATACATGTAAAGTCTATGACGCGAATTTGCACTTTTTGGGCACGCGCTCGCTATCGATCCGATCGAGCCGAGACCGCTCAAAGGCACGTTGTCCATCCTTGTTCTATAACTTGCGCAAATTTCAGCGCGGTAGGTGCAACGGTGTGACCTGTAACCCGCGCTACGTAGCACCATGTCGCGACCTTCGTAATAGACAGAAACTACGCCTTCCTCAAATAGTAATATAGATTCGTCACTTATACACGTGAAATATAACATTTAATACGACCGTGGCGCAGCGCTGTTTTTCCTTTTTTGGCGTCTTGCAATTATGCCTGCATGTCTATCATAACAGTTCAACGAGTCGCGTTCTCACATCAGTGGTGCCATCACGCTAAATTGCGTCATTTTCCCGCCGGCCACCAGAACTGCATCCGGGAGACGCGCGGGGAGGTGGACTTCTTCATGGTGTTCGACGCCTTCAGCGTGCCCGGCTTCAGCTACTGCGTCAACAAGCAGAAGTTCCTGAAGGACGAGCTGCTGGGTCTGCCGGCCGGCTCTGTGCTCCCCGACAGCGTCGCACCCAAGGCGGAGGTCTTCAGAAATCGGTGAGCTGACGGGACTGAAATCAAAGCCGGTGACCTGTGACCATGCTCGGAAACTTAACGCTTAGGAATGTGCTACGTGGCTGCTTAGCTTGGATTTTGTGGACAGCTAGGTTATTTTTGTGATCATTAAAACACAATGCTTCGAGTAATAATACTTACTGTTGCAAGTTCTCGCTAACGTCCAGCTCCAGTACGCCACGATAAACTCAACATTCGCCAGTCATCTCGTTTCACATGGTGCACGCTCGGCTCGCTGGCTGTCCCACCCCCACGTCCCATCACCCCTCCCCCATCCGTCAGGTACCACCTGATCCACCAGCGGTGTCTGCGGAACGAGCTGTTTGGCGGCACGGACGCCAGCGGCGGCGGCGGCGGCCGGCGCCGCTTCCGTCTGCAGCCGGTCGAGCTGCTGCTCGGCTCGACCTCCCGGCTGGAGGACGTCCTAGTGCTGGGCATGCTCACCCAGCTCACCGAGGGCAAGTTCTTCCTGGAGGACCCCACGGGCGCCGTGCAGCTGGACCTCGAGCACACCAAGTAGGTGTGGGCGATGGGTGGGTGGTGGGCCGCGGGGACTATTACTGGGAGTCGTGGTGTAGCGGAACAGGTGCCGTGGGCCGGGAAGGGTGCCGATAGGTAGTACGATAGTCGTAAAATGACTTAGCTGAAACGGGTTAGGAAAGGCTCATGTTTTATAAGTCATTTGAGAGTAGCGTTGCCAAGATCACTGTTAACCCTCGCATGTGTGTGTGGGGGGGGGGGGGGTCGGATGGACCCCCCAAGGTTTTTTCGCGAATAACGCGTAAAAAGCGGCCGATCGTGACGAAACTTTCAGTACCCTCGCATTAATCAATTTTACACCTACCCTGAAAGTTTCATGACCCTGACCCCAATGACCTTTGACCTGTGACCTCTTTTCCGAGACCATGTTTGGCCGGAATCGCGATTCCGCGTATGTCGGCTCGCATTAGCCGCGCGTTTGCAAGCTTTTGTGGTTTCAGACGTTCAAACATGTGATTTGATGTTGCTCCCATGCATTAGGGTGGGTGTCAAGGTCACCTGAAGGTCAGGTCATTGACCTTTGGTGACCTCGGTTCACTTTGAGTTTTACATGTTTCTAGGCTAGTTTTTGGAGCTGAATTCGAATTTAGCAACCATTTGAACATTTACGAAGTAGTTTTGGTGCCTTCGTAACATGTTACGAAGCTGTCAGAGGCGGTTGACACGTACTACGAATACCCGTCACGATACCTACTGGTTGACCTGACCTGACCTGACCCGACCTGGTCTAAATGCTTAAAGACATCATCTGTGATCAAAACTAACACGATATTCGTGATCAGCACCCCGAAAACCCCGTAGCAGCCACACTTCTCGACTTTCTAACGGGTCCCGATTTTTCCGACTTCGGGTCATTGACCTGACCTGGAAGGTTAACCAATGACCTATGACCTTAAAATTGGATATCATCGGCTTCCTCTCGTCACGGGCAACGCGCTCGTTTTTTTCCGCGAAGCTCTAGCTCGATCAGGGGCCAAACGGTAAGGGGGGGGGGTCCAACCGACCCCCCCCCCTCCCTACACATTAGAAGCTGGCAAACGCCGCACACATGCAAGGGTTAATTAATTTATGGTTTTATCGACTAATGCGTGTCTATACTTCTTGATGGGATGGTTGTGTTACCGCTGAGTGTTTCACTGGCCATTAAATGCTCACAAAAAGATCATTCTTATTATATCTGGATAGCCATTGGTCGTCAATGTGTGGTGGTGTAATATGGCACAGTGATCGGAGTGGATTTGACTTGTTATTGTGCTGCTTCCTCTCAGACATTGAGAGCCTGCAGGGTCGAGGCACTTAGGGACATATTTAACCTAGGCTATTCCGTCCTCCAGATTTCCGGTGGGAATGTTCTCCGAAGGGTGTTTCGTCCTCTGTGAGGGCAGCTACGATGACAACATCTTCACCTGTTCCGTCATGGGCTTCCCACCGGCCGAAGACGCGGAGACATTCCGGTATGCAGTTCCGACTCTGCCATGATTCTCCCATGTTACGATGCTTCAATGATTTTTTTGCGTTTTATTTTACCGTTTTTCTTTCGTACTGATTTTTGACGTTGACCTACGTTTGACCCTTTCTATTTGATTTTACCGTTCTTTTCTTTTTTCAGAAATCATTTCGGAAACCAGAACATGTTTGGTGGCTCGAACCACATATGCGCTCGAGCAAACACAGAACTGCAGTCTGTAGAGAAAGAGCTAGATGGCAGCATGTTTGTCTTCCTCTCAGACATGCTCCTGAACCAGCCGCAGGTTCGTGTTGTTATCACTATTTTATTTTTTACTTAGTTGCCATGTTACAGTCACTGTTTTAAAGAGTCTTAGTACCTTTGAACGACTGTATTTGATACCCATTCATAAGCATCTATATCCCGTGTCCCAAACCTCACTTATCACTTTCGTGATCGCCTATAAAGTGTGGCCTATCAATGTTATTGGGTGTAATCGTTCTATTTTGGCCTCTGTGGTTGACTTGCTCGTAGCATACAGGGTGGACCAAAAAGGGTGGAAACATTTTAAACTCGTATAAAACATGTATCATCGCATGCATGTGACTGGGAATGATACCAAACAAGAGTACATTTCGTGGAAATTCATCATGGCATCACTCTCATATGCTTTCTCTCGTTTTCAGTCTCTCACAGCAGATGTTCGAAGTGACCACCTTCGCGAGACACAGGCACAGAGCGACCAGCCTGGCTGCTGACACGATAGCCCGCTTGTATGGCTCACACAGCCTTGCTGATCGCTCTCTTCAGTTCAGAGGCTTTCTGGACCTTCCTCGTAGACCTGGCCCTTGAGATGACCCCACAGTAAAACATCCATAGGGGTCAGGTCGGATGAGCAGGTAGGCCAGTTCCGACTGGCACCGCGGGTTATCAGCCGGTCACCGAAGTGGTTTTCGATGCACTTGAGCGTTGTTTTTGCGATGTGAGGAGGCGCACCGTCTTGCTGGAACCACATAAGGCCTATGATGAGGCTGCCATGCTTCGTTTGGACTCGCTCTCAGAACTTCCTCAGCGCCGCCTGGTATGCGCTGTTGATTGGCGGTCACGGTGTCGCCACTCCCTTCCTCGAACCAAAGTGGACCCACGATTCCTTTTCCGCTGAGTGCACACCATTTCGGTGACCTTGCTGCTGTGCAGTGACTTCTTTATCATCTCATCTCAAGGGCCAGGTCTACAAGGAAGGTCTCTGTGACCTGAAGAGAGCGATCACCAAGACTGTGTGAGCCATACCAGCGAACATGTGTCGTCGGGCTATCGCGTCAGCCACCAGACCGGCCGCTCTGTGCCTGTCTCGCGAAGGCGGTCTCTTCGAATATTTGCTGTGAGAGACTGAAAACGAGAGAAAGTAGATAAGAGTGATGCCATTATGAATTTCCACGAAATGTACTCTCGTTTGGTACCATTTCCAGTCACATGCATGCAATAATGCATGTTTTATGCGAGTTCAAAATGTTTCCATCCTTTTTGGTCCACCCTGTAGTCTATGACTCGCCCGACCCTGCCATAGTCTCAGCTCTGATATCCGACCGGCCCTGGCCAGGTGATGGACCGACTTCGGAGACTGCTGGACGGCTTCAAACACTCGCCGCCCACGGCCTTCGTCATGATGGGCAACTTCACGGACGCGCCGCGCGATGCCAACAGCTACCGCGAGCTGCGCAAACACTTCACGGTGAGCGGCAGCTGCCTGTAAGAGAGGCGGACACTGGCACTGCGCAGTGTTGGGGTGTTGAAAGTACACCCTGGTGACTTGCTCGAACGCTTTATGTATAACCAACAGCTCGCATGGTGGGATCGTGTGTGAATATCGCAGCTGTTCCTAAAATCTGAGACCTTGTCTCAACGAATGTAGCGTCCTCTTGCGGCGAGTAGTTGATCTGGTGCGCCCTTTTTCGCTCACCTGCTGCGACCCAGATCGTCCGATAGCTATTTTGACCGCCCGTCAGTGGCCACGATTGTGTATGGACCGCTCTATTAACACCCTCCGTCACTCCTGACATCCCGATGGTGTCTTCTGGCAGACCCTGGCGGAGATGATCACCAAGGTGCCGGAGCTGCGGGAGTCTCGGTTCGTGTTCGTGCCCGGCCCGACCGACCCGGGCATCGCTCCTATCTTGCCCAGGTCAGTTGGTGAGCTACGTGTGTGTTTCGTGCTCAGGCTTAGGTACTGTATTTGGCCAGTGGGTGTCTGTTGGACCGTAGAGCGACCGTACTAGGGTCTGATAGGACGTGAGGCCAGCGTGAGATTCGGACAGATAATGAGCTTAGTTTGCGTCCTTATCTGCAATGGGTATCGAGAAGTGGGTTATGCTCTTGCTTGTCATTTTTTGCGTCCATATCTGCGGGTATTGAGAAGTGGGTATTTGGGTATTGCTCTTGCTTGTCATCTCAGAGTTATAGTCTTTGAGGAAATCGGCAGACCTGTTGTGCCTCAATGTGTCGCTCGCCGTTTTTTTTTTTTACCACCGACTCATTCTAACTCTGCCCCCCCCCCCTCCCTCAACAGACCGCCACTCTCCGCCTACATATCGGAGGAGTTCCGCAGACGAGTGCCCAACTCAGAGTTCACCACCAACCCGTGCCGGATACAGTTCTGTACCCAGGAGATGGTCATATTTCGGGAGGACGTGCTCTCGAAGCTGTGCAGGCACGGCATCTACTACCCGACCGAAAACTGTCCCGACATCCCGCCGCACGTAAGACGATGGGTGGAGAGGGAGTGGAAAAAAACTTCCTCCCCCAGTGACAGTTGCTTTAGTGATACGCTGGATAAGGCTGGTTTGTGTTAGGTTGGATTAGGATCAGGTTGGTTCTCTGGTTAGGCAGTCTGATACTGCACTGCCGTGATACCATCAATAAAAAAGATACTATTAAATTTACTCCTTATTAATTGTTACGATCGCAGCCTAAACCAGTTAATATCCCAGGTCGTGCGCATCGACCCAGTGGTGTAGCCACTGAACGCACTCTGACCGTCTGTCTCCCGTTTCTGTTCGGCAGTTTGTCACCACGCTGGTGTCGCAGTGCCACCTGGCGCCCCTACCGCCGCACATCTGCCCCGTGTACTGGCAGCACGACCGGGCCCTCCGACTCTACCCGCTGCCCGACGTGGTGGTGTGCGCAGACAAGTTCGATCAGTACACCATCACCAAGCTGGGCTGCACGGTGCTCAACCCGGTACGGAGTGGGGTGGTGACTTATGGGTAGTTTGAGGAGGGAGAGGGGATACGTTTGGTCTGAGGGTTGCAAAGAAGAGGGAAGGGCTTTGGTCTGAGTAAAAGTCCACTTAGGGACTCTGATGGTAACTTTGGTCATCGCTACTTGTCTTCCTAACGAAGACGTCCTGAAGTTAGTCAGTGGTCGCACAGGACAATAACTAGAACAGAATATGAAGCTGATAAAATGTCTATCATGCGAGTGCCTTTTCGCGCACCGTTTGACCGTTACCGACCCTCTGTTCGCAGGGCTCTTTCCACAAGGACTTCATGTTCAAGGTGTACCTGCCCAGCACACGGACGTGCGAGAACTCTCAGGTGGGCGACGACAGCTGATCCCTCATCCCCTACTATCGGTTAGAGTCTCAATGTCGCCCATTACGCCAGATCAGCGAAGTGTTGGATGCTCACAGTGTGCCTTATATGGAAGGCACAAGGGTTTATGCATCCTAGCGTCTTCATGCGTCACACGCAGGCTAACCCGGGTATAGCCTGGTTTCTACGTCCGTATGAGAGGAGAATTGGCTATGCGCCATGCATTCAGAGGCCAGCACGCAGCGGCAGACGCGCACAAGTCATAGGTACTACGTCTGACGGGCGACTGAAGAGCAGTTGCCGTGAATAATACCGTGAATGGTAAAACGTAAATGATACCGTAAATACACTGCTATCACAGCGCGATCTTGTTGGCACTATCTTTTGCGACGAGCTGGTCCCGACGCTAGGTGCAGCGATCCCGGCGGCACCGACACATTTAACGGCGTACCACACTGCTTATAGTGCCGGTATCCCTTCTGGGGTGACTCCAGAATCGGTGGGAGGCGGCATCTCCCCGCCAGCCGCCAGATGTCTCTGCTGTGGTGGCCACTAAGTCCTGTTGGACAGACCAAAAGCGTATGCTTCTCTGTGTGAACGATGTATGTTTTTAGTGCATTCGAAATGTATGTTTTTGTACGTGTGTATTTCCTGTCGCCTTTAGATGATATGTATAAACGACTGAGGTGTTTGTGAGTAGTGATTGAGAGGTATTGTTTAAAATGAACGAAATACATACGACGTACTTTGATACGATTGATTTTGGGTTCCGGAGGTTGGGGCTAAAGACAAACGATATAAAAATGTGAGAATCGTGTTGAGCGATGATTCGAACACATTTCTAATTTCTAAACCATGTTAGTGAATTGTTTCTAAACCATGTGAGGGACGTGGCTAGCATAATGGGTGGATTTTGTCCCATTTTGAGTTGTTTTTTTTTTTTGCGCTGACGGCATGTAATGCAAATACTACTTTGACGTCACCCAGCAGGAGCTAGTTTGAATCGGCGCATTTAAAACATGAAAACTTATGTAAGGATGGAGCGCACTGCGCAATATGTCTTGATCACTTAATGTGATCGTGGTTACGAGACCCGCCGAAATAGTGCACTGGGATGTGGGCTCTAACACGCCGTGCCCTGTCGGCTAACCCACTGGATAGCCATGTAAGTTGGCGGGCGTGTGCCGCGACATATCGTACATACCACATACTACATACGAGTACCGTGGCACTTGGCAGTGGCACACTTCCCAGCAGTGCGTGCTCGCCCGATGCGTCGGTATGTGTACCAGTATCAGTAACGCCAAGCTGCAGAGTGCGTTATATAGCGTCACCGCAGATATCTGAGATGATAATGATGTCAATAACCAATATGCATTCCATGCGTGATGCGTTTAGTTAGGGAGGTCGTTTTGAGTGCAATGTTATGACCCGATGTCATCTTTCAAGACCTGCAAGCCGCAAGGCACACAACCATCATTGACCAGGCACTCGCTGTTACCATCGGCTGAAAACTCGACTAAAACACTGCCTTGTGCATGAGGTCACATCACTGCCATGTTCGCGCATCAGGCACGGGCCCGTCTCAGTTCGTCGCGCGGACACGTCACTGGACACTGGGGTGCCTGGCTGGCTGACGGGTGGCCCGCCGCCACGGCGACCGTGGCGGGGTGAATACCAAATCAGCTGCGCGGCCATTCCGGGTCAGCGGTCGGCGCATCGCCCTACTGGCGACGGAGCGTCTGTTACAGTGGGGTGACCCGCGTCACCAGGTCCACGTCCTGGGTCTGACGGTGATTCGCATCTTTCTTCCTCATGGGGATAGGTCTCTGTTGTATGGAGATCCGTGTCTCCCGGTCTCTAATCCTGGGCCAGTCTGTAGTCTGCACTCCGGCGACCCTCGTCTTCAGAGTTCAGGCCCTGGTATACTGGAAGATCTCGTGTTCCCATGGGCTATTTCATTTATTCCCCTTGGAGTCGCTCACCGTGATCTCTTACCGGTCCGGTCTTACCGGTCACCGTGCTGTCTAAGTACGGGGATGGCAATCGAAGAAGATGGTGGGTCTCCGATTGATTGAAAATAGCGGATGCAGACTAACTGAGTAGGCAGTAACCACCCGACAGCAAATGAGGTATTCCTTCGCAACAATGCTCTCGCGGCCCGCTAGGAAGTCGTAACCGCCTCTAAATAGGCCAATGCCCAATAGGTACACTCGGGTAGCGGGCAGTGGCAGGTCCCCATAAGCCCACATTCATCATGACCTCCCTACCGTGTGCCTTTCCCTCCGAGCCCTCTCCCATTCAGTCCGTTTCCATTGATACCCGGCCCCGCGCTGGTCCGTTTACCCACCGAGGATGTTTGCTCTGTTGTTCGGCCCTCTCGTCCGCCTGTCTGACCGCTCCGCCCTGCTATCGGCTCACGTATCCTAGCTGTTTCCCCTCATCATCCCAGTGAGCTCTCCTGTGTCCTGAGGCTCGCACGGGCGTCGTAAGATGCCGGACAGACTCGTGCATATTTATCAATCATCTCCGAGGTCTGTGGGTTCCTGCCGTATGCCGTTCCTTTGATGCAGTCATCCTCCCCAATATTTGCTCTCTTCTCTACCGTATAGCTACACATCAAGGGGCAATAAATAGCGTACTTATGGTATCCTCCTCGATGGAAGCTGCACCCCCAAACGCGCAGCGCTGGCGCCGCCTGTGCGCTCCGCGTACCTGGCTGACGCTCCGTGCCGCAGGCGGGCGGGCGGGCGGCGGCGGCGGCGGTGCCTCGCGCTCCACAACAGGTGCGCCGCGCGCCGCGTCCAGACGCGCCGAGCCGTCTTCCCCACGTGCTACAGCGCGTGCGTGCTGCGTGCGTGCTGCGTGTGTTTCGTGCGCGCGGGAGTGCTGTGTTCCGCCGGAGCGCGGTGTTCGCCGGGCTGTGTGAGCGCGAGCGGTGTGAGACGGTGATGCGCCTCTGAGCTCGTCTCTGAGCTGCGCGATGCTGGTGCGCCGGTCGGCGGTGGCGGCGGCGCTACTGACCTGGGCCGGGGTCGCCGCGCAGGCCCAGGACGGCGCGGCCGAGTGCGGCTCCGGCGCCACGGCCGCCGCCGTCGTGTTCGCCGTGCTGTTTCTGCTCGCAGTCGGCGCTCTGGGATTCGTGCTCTACAAATACGTCTGGAAACGGCGGCACTGTGAGTAGCCTTCTGTATCTGAGACCGTGTGATACGGCAGGTCAACGCTCATATCCAAACGATCAACCAGCTTTCACGTATCCGTCCGAAACCTCAAAACCTGATTCGGCGCTGCGAGCACATATTTACATACCATTGTGTGCGCCGCTCCGCGGGCGGTTTTCCACTGAAACTGGCGGATTTCCGTTGAGATCGGCTATCGCGGGCGAGTGTGGAATGTTTGCACGCGTCCCGAGTGCATGGTGCGCCTCACGCGAACCACGCCGCCTGGGCATGGTTTCGTCGGGCAAGGGTTGCTACAATGCGCAACAATGCCAGCATTGAAGACACAATACCGGAACCCTGCTCAACCGTCTGCACCTGCGACTGTGCCGCTTGTATGCCGTCTTGCACGTCGTTTTGTATCCATAGCGCGTGACCAAGCAACTTGCCGTCTTATGTCTTCCATTTTTAAAAGCATAATATGGCAATCCAATGGATTAGCGCTGGAGGTATTCTCTTTTTACTATTCCACTACGCTACCGGCCTTGAAGCAGTAACACCACACGGTTTGTAGTGAAGGTGGAGAAATAATCCAAGATTAGAGGGCTGGAAAATTTGATATGATTCGCCAAAAGCAGCATTCCGGCCCGTGCGACCGGAGGGCGGGGTCACGGGTCCGGGTGACGTAACGGACCGATCCGAGCACATGACTCGTGAACCGTGACGTAATGCCAGCGACCCGTGACTTCACACAGTGACCGAGTGACCGACAGAATGACCTAGTGGTCAGATCACCGACGGCTTACTTCTTAGATGTGCGACTTACTGGACACACTCTCTGCATCGTGGATAATTCCCGAGTGTTGACGTGTTGGTGTTCGAATCTACAGACACTTTTCAATTCCCTCATTGACTTTTACCAAACCAAACGTCTCTGGTGTTACTGGAAACCTGATGTAAATAATGCTGGCAAGCCTTCGACTTCTCCAACATAATCGTAAGCAGACTCATCAATCACCATCTGCATGCGCCGGGTCTCTGCGTGTGTAATGTATGCGGCACGGCCGAGACTGGCCCGTCTAACGAGGTCAGTGGGCTCCGGCGGCCTCTGCGGCGCCGCTGCATACCTGCCGGACCGCCTCTCGCCCGGGGCAGCCTGCGCGGCCGCACAGGGGTGCATACCATCACGGTCTGTCCGACAGGGAGGGTGTCGACTGCCCGAGGGTGCCGGCCGCCCGCTCCCACTGCCCACCTGATTGGCTCACCGGTTATTAGCTCTGGTGGATGGAGGCTGAGAGGGCGCCGCTCCCCGCCTGGGTGTGTCCGTCAGTCGTGGTGGCCATACTAAACTCGGCAGAGGTGACTGGCGGTTCTTGTATAAATTTGAGCTGTGCGGTTAGCTTTGGTAGGTTAGCAGTCACTCCAGTCTCCAGCAGTGCGCATTTGATCAAGCACGTTTTCCATGTATTCCTCTCTCATTACATCTCGTCACATCTCGCTTCCCCTTCTCTCCTCTCCTCTCCTCTCCTCTCCTCTCCTCTCCTCTCCTCTCCTCTCCTCTCCTCTCCTCTCCTCTCCTCTCCTCTCCTCTCCTCTCCTCTCCTCTCCTCTCCTCTCCTCTCCTCTCCTCTCCTCTCCTCTCCTCTCCTCTCCTCTCCTCTCCTCTCCTCTCCTCTCCTCTTCTCTCATCTCCCTCTCTAATTCTATGACCGACTCCACCTCCGGCCCGGGCTGCTGTCTGGAAAGTCTCCGCGCCTAAAATGACATGCACCGTCGCATTCCGACGCGTCCTTCCTCGCGGCAGGCCGGGCCGACGCTCGGCGGGGCCGACCGGCCGACGCTGCACCGTTCCGGCGACCCGGTCGCGCTGCCTGACCGGCTGAGGTCTCAGCACCACCGGATAGAGATTGTCTGCAGAGGTGATGGTGGTAGTCGTCACGGATATAGATACAGAGCTGTTTTTTATTTGTGGTTAGCTTTGGTGTAGGAACCGGACGGAACTATTTGTTAGAATCATGTTTCAGCTCCAATGAATGCGACTGTCTCGACCTGCCCAAATCGAGATGGCTGGATATGTCTGTGACATCTTGCAGGCTCATGTATCGTTGCAAGTTTTATCGTACAAAGACCCGTGTCCTGATCGCTCTGAGAAAACGTTACTGTTTATAGCTCTACGAATGTATGTAGCTGTTTTGTAATCGGTAACGCAGTCGTCACCTTTCATTTCCGTTCGCTGCTCTTCATTGGGGAAAATAGGGAGGGTCTGGTGCATCTTGATAGTGTCAGTTTGGAGCAGGCAGGAAGGAAATGTGCCTGACAAAACATCTCGCTTCGTTGAATGTTCCATTGCTGTTTCTGTTTGTGTGTCTTCTTTAGTGCTTTCGGTTGTAAAGCTGTTCAGTGTTCAATGGTTCACCTGCAGTTTTCATATCGTACCTACTGTGAAGTGATCCGGCACTGAAGACCATCGATGAATAGGCACCGAACTTGGAAGACTGTAATATAAAATGGAAACCCAGTTACCCAACACTAGAGACCTCAACAAAAATTGCATCGAAGACTACAACGTGATGTTAGCAAACGTCCAACTTGAGACTGTCACATTGAAGAGCTTCGCACCCAGAAGACTGCAACATAACACTGACACAATATAGCACAGGAGAATCCGTTATTGCATTGGTCTCCATAGCACCGTCAGCATCGAACACTGGAAACTGCAACGCCGAACAAGCGTCTAACAGAGGAGACTGCAGCATATAACGGGCATAAGCACTGGAGACGCCAACGCCGCATGGTACGTAGCACTGGAGACTGCATTGCTGCGTGAAGTGTAACACCAGAGACTTCCACTAGGTGAGGAAAATAACCGGTATTTCCAGAGGATGCATCTAGGAATAACACATTCCATATGTAGCCGAAAGAGCACATCAAGATGCTATTATAAGTACTAGTGTGTACCAGCTACACCGTGGAAAATTGGTTCTTAACCCGCGCCCCACTGGGGGGAGGCTATATTCATAGCCCCCCTCCCGTTTTTCTGCAATAACTTCTAAACCGCTTGATGTATCGCCGCCAAACTTTCAGTACCTTCGGCTGCATCAGTTTTACACCTTGTGTCAAAAGTTGAACTTCGTATCTATCCGTATCTACCATAGGTCGGCCGGAAATGACGTCAGAGTGACGTCATGTTCGGCCGATTTCGACGCAAAACATTGAACCACGGGAATCGCTCCCAAGAGCTCAGTTTTTTTTAGATAGATCCAATTTCTTTGCATGAGAGGACTCAGAATGGACTGCGCTATCAAACTGCCATCTCGAATTTTGAAAATTTTTGAAAATTTCGAAAATTATATGTATTAAAATTAAAAATTTGTATTTTTTCAAAAACTTTTTGACTTTTCGAAAAAAGACGGAATATATATGATAGCACACATGCTTATGATTTACTCTAGCAAGTTTTAGCCAGATATCTTCAAAAATGGCCAAGTTATACGCATTATACCAAAAATTTCACAATTTTAAATTTTTCAAATCAATTTTTTCTGTACGAATTTGACATCGTACACCAATATATATATATATATATATATATATATATATATATATATATATATATATATATATATATATATATATATATATATATATATATATATATATATATATATATATATATATATATATATATATATATATATATATATATATATATATATATATATATATATATATATATATATATATATATATATATATATATATATATATATATATATATATATATATATATATATATATATATATATATATATAGCACCATCGTGTTCCTGAGCTCAAACTGCATCCGATAGACATGTTTTTTGTTGAGAAATTTCAACTTTGAAATTTGGCCTTTTTTGACCTGAAAGTGACCTGACCTCAGCTATATTCAGATGAAAAAAATGGCCTCAAATGACACAGGCGACACCGAATTCGAAATCAATGGCCTAAATGGACCATAAAACATGTGTCACGTGACCGACTTATGACATAAGATTTCCGTGACCTATGATGACCTGACGCTGACCTGAAAATCAAAGTACAAGTTTGGTACCCTCAGAGTATCTAAAGCATCTGTTCACGAGTGTGTAAACCAAAAATTAGCCTGATCTGACTTGTAAGACGGCAGCCAGAGCCCAAAATGTGAACAAGCCAAATATTGATAATTTTTACTTTGACCTGACCTGTGACGTCATCGGTGACGTCGAGGTCAATGAAATTAGGTTCCATTCGACAGTTTTTCCGGGGCTATCAGATGCCGTTTGAATTTAGACGATCGGCCCAGTAGTTTCGGAGTTAGGAGGGGGGCTGTGCATAGCCCCCCCCCCCCCAGTAGGGCGTGTTATACACAGACCCCAGTGGCGCGCGGGAATGCAAGTAGAAATACACCACTGAACACCCACATCATGACAGCACACCTAAAATTTAAACCGGTTTAGCAGATGAAAAAGTATACGTGGGGCCAAAGCAGCATAACCACCTGATGACATCCTTCTGCACACATTATCCTGTCTTAAACAAAACTCACCGCTGTCATCAACCGGGAAAGTCAATTACCAATTGCCAATTAAGAGTGTTGTGTTTTAAAAATACATTGATACTTGACTATTCCACAATAGAGGCTACGGAAGCCGTCTGTCCGGTTGACATGAGCCTGTTGTCTTGGCCAGGGGACGGCAGCAGTGACAGTGTCCGAACGACTCAGTATTCAACCTTCAGACAGATCAGTCTCAGTCACGCTCGTCGTATACGAGCCACGTGACAGCCAGGCCCCAGATACCCCCAAAGCCACGTGACTGAACCGGGCCCGGCTGGGTGTAGTGACCAATGTGATCACGTGGCCTGTTCGACAAGCTGCGCATGTCGGCTGCTGCAGTCACGTGACCCGTGTGGCGCATTCTTTACCCGGACTGTCGACATTCCTGAGTCACCGGTCGCGTATTCAGACTAGGCTCGCGATCGGACCTGGAGGCCACGCCGCCTGGGGAGCCATGACTGTGTGGGCCTGCCATCTGCATTCTGACGATACATGCTTCTCTCGGAGCAATGTATGATTCTCCTGGAATGATTCGTAATTCGTATTGATCGGCTATTAGCAGGGCTGCGGAGTCGGAGTCGGAGTCGGAGTCGGAGTCGGTCGGAGTCGACAGTTGTGACCGGAGTCGGAGTCGGAGTCGGAGTCGATATTGGAAACCCCAGCCGGAGTCGGAGTCGGAGTCACCGAAAATCTGTCGACTCCGCAGCCCTGCCAGGTGTGCGGAGTCGGAGTCGGGAGTTGGAGTCGATCGGAGTCGACATTTCTGCCCGGAGTCGGAGTCGGAGTCGGAGTTGGTTTTTGAAAGCCGGAATCGGAGTCGGAGTCGGAGTCGCCGTAAATCCATCGACTCCGCAGCCCTGGGCCTATTAGGCATGCATATCATACGTTTGCATACACCGAAGCCTCTGCTCTGGGCAACTTTAAGCAATAGGAAGTAGGTATTGAAAGCTAAGCCCGCTGGTGGATGTGGAAGCAAAACGATCTTCACACAAACCATCATCTTCCCGACTCCACTACTTCACGGATAAGCGCTCGGGCCGACGGTGTCTTTTGTTCCTGTTCATGGTTCCCGGACGGCTTCACGTCGGTCGCTGGCTCCCACACCTGCCGCCTGACCCGCTTGTGGTCGGCGTTCGGCACCGCAGGTCAACTCCCAGAGCTCGGTCAGGGACAAAAAGCGAACGCTGTGTGAAATGTGTCCGCGTGAGGCGCTGTAGACAAAGTGTGTTTCCAATGCCACTTGCATTGTGGATAGTGGGCAAATCAGTGCTTGCTCGTCCGCCTACCTAACATAATTGAAGTTTTCCTTTTCATGTTGGCCGACTTGTGTCATGGCAATATTCATTGAAATGCACTGCTTAATGCCCATGTTTGTGCCGCAATTCAATAGCTCAACTACAGCTTCTGATCGATCATGTATGGCTGCTCTTCGGCCAAGTGAGACACTGCCTGGGAATAAGGACAAATTCTAAAAGGACCTGTTGAAAATTCAGATGCATTGTAGATTCATCGGAAACAAAACACATCCGCCTTTCCACGGATCTGTCCGTGCACTCGCCCGACCATATGTGATCGCCGGTCCTTTCGCCCGTCGGTCCGTCCCCACCCGTCACCACCCGTCCGCCCTTTTATCCGTTCGTCTCTCCGTCTGCTCGCCCGTCCGTCTGTCCATTTACCTGCCTGCAGCGTCTATCCTTCCGTCCATGTCGCGGAGGCGGCGACTGCGTAGGGCGAGACGGCGGCTCCCCACCCGAACTGAACCGGGGCGGAGCGTTGGACCTCCCGTGGAGGGGTCCGCTGAGAGGCCAAACAGCCCACCCGTTCGGCCACTCGGCAACTTGTGGGATAAACAAGCCGTGGGTAGCGATTAGTGGCTATTGGGTAGCTGGCGCCGAAATATAGGTGACACGCGGACCGATCGATGAGCGGGTTCCATGCTACTTTCAACGCTGATACAGGTGGATGCTGGGAATAGATATGCGAGTTTGATGTACCTTGTTGTAAAGTAAAAACATACTTGCGCAATTATAGGGTCAAAAGACATCTACCGTCGCATTTGCATAAATTCATTCGGTGTTTATCGTGCTATAAGATGAACTCCTTCAAATGCTATGTCGTTATGTGTAATTGGAACGCTTTGCCATCAATGAGTCTCATCATAGACATCATGAACAGGCGACTCGATGCATGCCCGTCATGCAATGTCCGTCATTTCACGTCTTGCTGCACCTTCTCATCCACTCTCCCTAGTTCCCAGCGTCCAAATGAGACATTTATACCGTCTCGCCAGCTCGGCAGGAGCTCCGTCAGCGCGTCAGCGCGTGACTGCGCTGACACCGTTGGAGGTGCTTCTTGTGGCCCATCTCGGCTCTGAGACGGGCTGCCGTGCCCGCCGGCTCGGCAGCGCCTCTCACAGCTCTCAAACTCCAGCTCCACGCTGAGATCGACAGCCGCGGCGAATCGGCAGCCGCTACTGAAGCGAACGGCCCACACATGGAGCCGATTTGAGAGCCACTGAACGATGCCGTGAGATAAAAAGGTTCGCTCTGCCGCGGCAGCCGCCCGAGGGAGCAACTGATGACTCCACAGAGGTCTGTGGAATTCCTCGGAGCTCGATGATGACGAAATATCAGAGTCCATCTTCTGACTACCCCTCCCTACCCTCACGCACATTTCGCCTGAATCGGCGCCTCCCCGGCTACCTGTCCGCCCAGCCCGGCACACATTCTGACCGCAGCCGGCGTGGCGCTCTGCCGACCGCCGTCTGCGGCTGGCCACTCTCTGAATGAGGTCGGCAGCCAGAGCCAGGTGGCCCGTCCGGCCGGCCCCGCTCGGCGGCGTGTCCGATCGGTCGTCTGAGACGTCCATTCATGCTCTCAGCGCGCGCTGGCTCTGTGAAACTACTGACCAGCGGTAACGCCGGCCCGTCAGACCGGGGCCGAGACGGTACTGCGTCCTCCTCAGGTAATCCCTAACGGCAACGGTAGCCGTCGGACCGGGGGAGAGACGACGCCATGCGTTCCTTATGTAATCCATGAAGGACGGGGATTTGCTACACAAATAGTCTCGTTTTGGTGGACAGAAATGCAGGTCGTCACAGGAACATTCCAAACGCGGGAAAATGGACGGCGGAAAGTTGATCGGCAGTAATGCAGTATCGTAACCGGAACAAATTTGTAGATACCGTTCAGTGGTAGCAGCTATTTCAACCATTTACGTCATGGTTTGGAATGTGTGATGGGGACGGAGATAGCCATGCGAAGTGATATCCGAGTAAGCTATTGAATTTCGAAATGCGCTGATAAAAAGCAAGATCACCCCGTTTTAGGAAATGGAAAAAGACGAAACTGCTCAGGTAGCTGCCCGTGCAATTTCAGCTGAAATTAAAAACTGAAATTAAGTGCAGTTCTTCTATAGCTCATTGGCTGCAAATTGGTTGTAATTAGTTTGACCCATAATTTATTTAAACTGTAAACCAGTATCCATTCAACAAATTAACAAACAAAAGTCCTGCTCACCTGCTATTCGAAAAGCGACCGGATCTGTCGTGAAATGACTGATCGCTTGCAATACAAAGGGACGCTTCTATACCACCATGGGTGGCCTTCCGGAACCCACCGGAGGACTACAATGTGCTTGTTAAGTGCACTCTAGTCCCATAATATCGGTGACATATGTGGTGGCTGATGGCGCGTGAGAAGACGTGACTGAAGTGAAGTCTGAAACGGGGACTGATTAATGATATCTGCACTTACTGGCACGGCATCCAAAGAGACGTCCGGTGTGGTCCTAACGTGGCGAGAGGTGATTGATGTTTGGGAGAAGAGAGAAAGAGAGAGAGAGAGAGAGAGAGAGAGAGAGAGAGAGAGAGAGAGAGAGAGAGAGAGAGAGAGAGAGAGAGAGAGAGAGAGAGAGAGAGAGAGAGAGAGAGAGAGAGAGAGAGAGAAATAAACCGATGAAGATATGGTTTCTCAATCATGCATAAGTCATAACATGTTCCGAGGATGTTCACGAAGGCAAGTTATTTGTGGTTTATTCCATCGCTGTTTACTCCGCTTTATGTCGACCTCCATTCACCGGCTCGGACTCTGTGGCCAACTTTTTCCGGTGCTGGTGTGTCTGGTGTGAGCACGCGGCTAAATCGGCGCGCCTCCGGGCTAAACAGTCGTCTCTGACACACCTCTTCCTGCACAAAAACAGCCGCCGCGTCCGTCGGGGCCAGAGCGGCGCGTCGCGCAGCGCCATACATCGTCGTTAACGTCGCGAGAAGCACCGCCGACCGGAGCGAGACGCGCAGTTACCGTACTCCGCCTGCTGTCCCGGCCCGGCGAGATGCACATTTACCGTAGTTGGGATGACTCCACCCTCCTCTGGGGTACACCAGTAAACAGTGCGCTCGGTACACGCCCCGATTGTGCGTTCCTCCTGTTTCTGTTTGTTACACCCAAGCCGAATTAACACCGTGCGGTGCAATGCTGCGCCGTACGGCGTTCATAGCACCGTCACCCTCACTATGTGCCAGGTTTCCTCGCCCATGTCCCCGACCCTGCACTCAGCCACTCACCACCAGCGACCAGCTCGTGTTTCGGGCCCCTCTCACGATACCATCTGTTCTTTTATCTCCCTTTTACTGAGTTCCACCGTTTGTATTTCAGATCCCGCGCTGGAGAAGGTGGTAATAGGAGAGAGTGGACACGATTCCAAGTTCGCCTTCGATAACCCATACTTCGAGGGCGATGACGACATCGGCAACAAAAGTAAGTCACAATTGAAAGCTTTAGCTTGCATTATGCTATATTTTGTGCTGCCCAAAAATAAGCTGTTTGGAAGATTTTTTTCGGGAAAATTTAGGCACTTACTTTAGTTTGCAGATTGCCCTTGGTTTGTCCTGCACAGAAGACTAGACGGTTTCTTCTTCAATGTAGTTTTTCTTCGATGAAGTTGGTGTGGTGTGTATTTTAAGCGCTTTGACAGTGCAGCAATTTACCTACATGGTAGAATAATAAATCGGCGTGATTCGACGAAATGGTGGGCCGTGCACGACACCGTATTTTTCTTGTTGAGCATGACGTCAACATGCATTCAATGTGTTGTCTTACAATGTAGAATTTACAGTGTAAAATGTGAGCCATCAATTTAACCCGCGCCCTGCTGGGGGTCCTGGATTTCCACGCCCTGCTGGGGGGGTGTTTGAACACCCCCCTTTGTAACTCGGCTCCTGGGCCACGTAGCGATACGCGGAAGGCGGCGTTCGAAAGAGCGTCAAAAATAATGACGAAATCACTTCGGTCAATTTTTTGGTCAGGTCAAAGGTCAGGTCACCAGAGGTCATTGAAGGCAAAATTTCGCCGATTTCCAGGTCGAATGTCGAAAATTTCCAAGAAGCCAACGCATAACTTGGGAACCAATAGAGCTACAGCGCCGCGAAAAAGCGCATTCGATAGCCCTATTAACGCCCTTTCTGAGTAATTCTTTCAGATTTGACCTAACGTCAACGGTTTTGCCTGCAGGGGGCAAAAACTGCAAAAATAGCCGATTTTTTCGAAAACAGTTTTTCTGCAATAACTTTTGACCCAAGCCTTGTACGAGCTTACTTTTACCGGCATCGTGTTTCTCTCGTCAAGACGCATCGAATGAACTATAACTTGACCTTGAAAGGTCAACTTGAAAATTTGACCTCAGGTCAAGGTCATGACCTGACCGGAAAGGGTCATGTTGCATATCAGTCGATCCGTATCGTCGAGCTGAACACATCTAAGGCGTTTTCATCGCTCTAGCATGCCTCTATCAAAAGTTATTTGCGAAAAACTGTTAGATACCATTCGTGACCTAAGATGACCTCAGGGCATAAACAAGGGTCACGGACACCATTTTCAAGTTCAGTGTGTCTAAACCACTTGTAATTCGGTGTTTGGGAGTATTTATAATGTCTTTCATCCAAAAGAGGCGCATTTCAATTTTCTCCCATTGACTTATAATGGGGAGGTCGCAAAATTGACCTGACCTTAGGTCATCGATATCAAAATTCTGAGATATACATTTTGTACATGCTATTGCTCTTAGCAATCGCTGAAAGTTTCAAAGCGATCGGTCACTCGGTGTAGCTATGACAGACATTGAAACTTTTTATGAGGTGAGGTCACTTCAAGTGACCTGGTGACCTGACCTTGAATGACCTTGGTCTGAAATTTTCACAACATGTGTAAAATTGATGTATGATAAGGTGTACCAAAAACGGCGGCGCTCCGCGCCGCCGTTTTTGAGATATTCGCGAAAAACCACAAGGGGGGGGTGTTCAAACACCCCCCCCCCCAGCAGGGCGCGGGTTAAAAACTGTCCTTCATATTTAATTACACCTCAAGCAGCTACTATAAATATCTGCCATGACCCGTAATTACCCTTTCAACGTGCGCTTTCATCTAAACGAACGGTGTTTGGTAACTAATGTAAACGGCTATTTAATATTCCTGTTGGGGCGCCATTCGTCTTGGAGCTGGCGTCGGCCGGGCACCATCGCCGGCTTACATCAGCATTCCAGCGCCGAATGCAGCCCCACCACGCCTGGCATTTGTATGAGCGTGAGTGTATGTATGTATGCTACCCTCCCGGCACAGGGCTGGGCGGTGCGGGGCATTTCGTACACACCGCCGCGCTAGTCAACCCTGCACCGCGGTCACAGACGGCGCCGCCGGTGTCTGGTTAGGTGATCGATAGGCACTCAGGTATCAGGAAAGTGAGAGGGTGTTCGACTCTCTCAGTCGCGACGCTCAGAGACAGTGAGCGATGTGTGTGCTACAGGGGCCCCTGCGCGGAAGCAGCACGCTCGTTGATCAGGACCGGCATGCTTGTCGGTCTGTCGTGCGATTACTACCGATTTAACCGAGCGTTTGCGGATGAATGAGAATTTCATTGCGGTTTAAATTGATCCCCAAAAATAAAGGGTAGACCAGTTACTTTTAGACGCAAAGTGCGTTCAACGAAAGACGACTTAAAACTCATGTCCGGTTTATATTCAAAATTTGAAACAGGTAATGTAGTTTCAGTTATGTCACTCCCGGAAAAAGCCTAGCATGCGCTGGTTTCCGACTAGCATCGGTCAAATGTCTGGTGGCCGGGATCCGGTCCTACAGGGCCAGTCAGATTCCTGTCGCACAGGTATGCACCCGTCCCTCCCCGCTCCCCTCCCTCCCCACTCCCCCAGCGTGTAACGTAATCCCGGGGCGCCTCGCGCGCGGCTGCAGCGGGGCCTCTGGCCGGTGGTGAATCGTCCGCCCCGTGCTGCCACGTGTCCCGTGGCCACGTGCGGACACGGATCGTGCAGCCGCGGTGGGCATGTCGTGCAGTGGACACGGGCGCCGGCGGTGGGACGATTTGTATCGCTGTCAGCGTTTGCAGGGAAAGGCGGCTGCCCGTGGGAATGACATGACGAGAGTCATGCTCGGGAGTTGCAATGCGGATGAGCTGTTCAATAACACAGAAGGTGCGGCTGATAGAAGCAATGTGAAGATGCAGGAAGTCAAAAGACAGCAGCACAGAATGTAAATGAGGCTAAAAACACCACCATACGTAAGGAACATCTCCCGGAGAAAACATCTCCACTCTCGTAGACCCTTGGATTCGTGGTCCACGAGAGATTCGTATTTCAGGTAATGCCGCTGATTTAAAGCAGAAGGTAGCCTGCGTAGAGCCCTTGCAGCCACACGCTTACTGGCATAGGCGCATGCCTAGTAGGTGAGCTCATACCCACGATACTCGTCCGTCATACCGGACCCATGTCCACCCAGCTGTGGCTGAGCGGCATTGCGTGCCGAAACCGACAGTTCAAAGTCCGGCCGGAGCCAGAGTGGGCAGACCAGCTGACTTCAGCTGCACAATCCCACAGACATTCCGGCAACACACCCACAGCACTGGATCACGCACCGCGAGTTTTGGAGAACGATTCGCCTCCGTCGGACAGTGACCCGGGATAGACTCCCAGAGAAACGGCTTGGGAAAAGATGAAGGGTGATTATCCTCGCCACACAACTCTTCCTTGGTTGAGTCACCTTCAAGTAACTACTGAGATTAGTTGATTCGTATTACTGATTTATTCTTGTTACCGGCCCATGACTGCCGTAAATCCTTCAGTATCGTTTTCCTGGAATGGACTGTAGCAGTGATAGGAAGTGTGATTAACCGGAGATCGTCTGGTATGTGATTCTAACCGTGTTCTCGTCTTCCAGGTACTCTGCCTTCTACAGATGTCCTCGTGGCTAGTGAAAAGGTGAGTCACTTCCTAGCTACTCCTGCCTCCGAGAATTCAGTTAACGAGTAACGACATACTAACAAAGATAATTATGCAATAACTACACATATGTACATGTGCATAAATACATAGTTCATGTATCAAATTTATTTAGTAGGTATGCATGATGGAGTCTGAGCTGTATACGACCATTCATTCCTCTGGAACCTCACAAAGAGTAAAGAGCATGAAAAGGGCATTTTCCGATAAAACACAATTACCTGCCTCGGTTTTGTCTTTGAAATTAGATACGCATAAATCTTGCAATTTTATAATGATTCACAATGTTTCTCACCCGATAACGTGTTTTGTAATGATTTATGCGTTCTCACACCCATTCACTATCTATCTTCAAGTCCATCAATCACACACGTGTTATTTCTGAGTGGTGTATAAAGGTGATAATTACGGGGTTCCGCCTGGCATGCACAGGAATCCTTGGGAGACACTCAAAAGGAATTTAAGAAGACTGCCATTTTAATTTTCATAGCTAGCCAATGTGGAATGAGGGGACAACTAATCTTTATAGTTCAACTTGAACCCTTCTTTGTGATTCAGATTTCAAATCCATGTACCGTGCAGATCTACCTGCTATTGCTTCAGCAAATTTGCCAGAAGGTGGGAAGGAGTTCAGTATGCGCTCTTCCGGAACTTTCACGACGACTAAATACGAGTATGCGCTGTTAGGAAAAACAAGAGTTTTGAATGCAAAGAACATGCATTAAATAGTAAATATACTTTATCATCCAAGAAATTCCTAGTATTTCAGTGGAAGTTGGGGCCTCAACAGAACAAAAATGGTTGATGGACCTACGAACCAAGGACCGGACACGATCGCTCAATGGATGGGAAAGCACCGCATCCAATTTGAGACGCATATGAAGGTATAATATAACCCTCGCACGACCAGGCCATTTCTCATAACACGAACGACCAGGGGGGGGGGTTGTTACGACCCCCCCCCCTGGCGTTTCGAAACGGAAGGTCGTAGAGCTTAGCGGAAAAAAACCAACGGATTGCTCTCAACGAGATCTCGCGATTGGTGGTATATTTTTTGGTCCTAGGTCAACATTTGACCTACTTTTGACCGGTCAAAGGTCAAATTTTCGGAAAAATAGACTTTTTTCAACTTTCGGCGGCGATTGCGGTAAAACGGTGGGGGATATCGACTTGAAACCTTCACTATCGTGTTCCTTGATCAATTCTCTATCGTTTGGTATGTATTTCGTTTCCCTAGCTCTAAAAATGGCGCGTTGGGAGCGCCGGAAGTCGGCAAGGTCACAGTCGGCGGCAGAAATTCGAAAAATCAAAACTTAAATTTTTGAAATCTGATTGTATTTTTGGATTTGGGAGGTCCATTTGCTCCCTATAGAAGCTAATATTGCTGCATATTCCCATTGAGGTGACAAGAATTAGCAAAATAGTGGTTCGGGCGCTTTTCAAAAATAGTACCGGACGCTGTTCCTCTTGTGACGTCATAGCTCCGTGACCTGACCTGACCCGGTCAAATTTCTTATACCATATGATAGCCAATACTTGCCCCAACATGCATGGGAAGTTTCATCACGATCCATCAACCGATGTCCGTACCACCGGCAGGAAACCTCGGGCGTTGGCACTCAGTTTGTGAAAATCCGGCCGGAGGCTGTACCTCTTATGACGTCATAACTCCGTGACCTGACATGACCCGATCAATTTTTTCGGCAAAAGATGCGCAAAGGTTGCCCCAGAGGGTATTGAAAATTTCAGCCCGCTACGACAAGCCGTTTAGCGTGCACTTCGAAAAAACCTCAGGGGGGGTTGATACAACCCCCCCCCCCCCTAGGCGTTCTAGGGATAATGGAATAGGAACTCGTAATTCAGTTAAGGTGGAATGAACTGAACATTCAAAGGGATTACCAACTAAACATCTTCTTATTTAGGAAAAGTCTCCTTAGATCAGTAAATACCCAGTATCCTATCCAATTTAGATTGTCCACGTCCTATTTCTCTTATCTAGTTATGGCCCATTAGCGATATCAATCACTAGAATGGTCTGCTTTAGGCTCTGAATGGCCCACATTTACCTCACTCTGAGTGCCAGAGAGGCCTCTGTTTGGGGAGAATGGGAAGGGAGGGTAGGTGGTTCATCACGCCTAGGTCAGGGTCCCGCCACACACCGGACCCGGGTGATGGACCGCCCGCAGTGTCTGATTGGGTGGTTAGATGGGAATGGTGCGTGACGCTCCCAGTCGACTGGTGAGCGGCCCGGCACGGAAGGGGCCGCCGAGCCGGCCACGGGGGACGTCGGGTCACCCTCTGTCTGATTTCATAAAGAACGACAAACATTAGATCACATTATTGGCAAAGGGAGCCGAGTGTGTTATTTGAAGGCGAAAGATGCCTTGAGGCCTATCCTACCCTATTCTGGCCATTGAGATGCATTTAGATTAAAAACACTGGGCATTCTTTTGAGCCTTTACTGCGATATTTCAATAGTTCTGTTCAGTCATCATACTCCTCTCTCTCTCTCTCTCTCTCTCTCTCTCTCTCTCTCTCTCTCTCTCTCTCTCTCTCTCTCTCTCTCTCTCTCTCTCTCTCTCTCTCTCTCTCTCTCTCTCTCTCTCTCTCTCTCTCTCTCTCTCTCTCTCTCTCTCTCTCTCTCTCTCTCTCTCTCTCTCTCTCTTTCTCTCTCTCTCTTTCTCTCTCTCTCTCTCCCTCTCCCTCTCTTTCCCTCCCTCTCCCTCTCCCTCTCCCTCTCTCTCTCTTTCTCTCTCTCTCTCTCTCTCCCTCTCCCCCCCCAGTACACCCGGCACGTCCCGTTGCCATGGTGACGGCCACGTGACTGAGAGTAGCCCGCCTGCGGCGGGCCGTCGCACGTTCCACTATCGCTGTGATGCAACAACTGGGTCGGGTCTGGCGGGCTGCTTCACAGGGCAGTCGCCTTTGGGGGCCGACTCGGTCTGGGGTAGATCAATCGCCCACTGCTCGGCTCGAAGGGATAACGTCACAAATCGAGCGGTGGTACTTCGTGGCCTGTTTTTCACGGCACGATTTTCAAATTGATCGACAGGGCAAGCAGAAATTTGGTCAAACGAATAACATCCGAATACGATTGTCACGTGCAACCTTCAAACCCATGCAACCGATGGATGCATCGTGCACAAAATCGACTACGAACAGCCTGCTAGAGACGAACAGCCACGGCCCTGTGAACAATGACTGATTTAACTGAGCAGGAACTATTAGTCACTCCATCACAATAGCGCCATCGCGCTGCGCTGACCTCTAGTTGTGTCTGTGCCGAGACCTTGCTCCACTGACCTGTGACCTCCCCCACCACAGACGAGTACTGCGCGCAGCGCCGACTCCAAGACGGGAAAGAAAACCTCGCCCTGGTCGCCGTTCGCGGTGTTCTCGCCAAATCCACCCGTCGAGCGACGACGAGCACTCGATGACTCATTCCTGACGGTGAGTGCCGCTGGGGATGACTCCCCATTGAATGAGTGCCGCTCAAGAGTCAGGGTAACTCCTTTCTTCTGTGTCACCTGGGATACTCTTATCTGAATGATAGCCGTACCGGATAACATTTTCTCAGCTGTATCAATCGGGGTAACTCCTCTAAACCCCGAGTGTCACTGCCCACTTAAGAAACTCCTTCTGACACTGAGTGCGGATTGAACTGAGTTTTAACTGTGAGCGTCGGTTGAGATGAGTATTTATTTACGGTGATTGTTTCCGTTGGGAGATCAAGTCATCAATAGCTGCGAGCCGTCATATATTCGTGCGGACAATGGAGGTGTTTAGGTCTGAAGTAGAAAAAGCGGACGGTAAGACAAATCATATGTCACAACAAACAACTTAAGGCTTTTGTGAATGACACCAAGGTCACAGCGTCCGGTATGTATTACGCTCCGCAGCACCCCCAGTCCTAAACCGACACTTAATCCGATGATTGGAGGTTCCGGCGCCGGGCCGTCGTCGTTTCGGCTGGGGATCCCGTGGCGTGCGGCGTGCTGCGACTCGGCGCAGCCGGTCCGGTGGGGCCTCCTTCCCCGAATTGACCGCGCGGCGCCGAGGCATGAGCCTGTTTTGACGACGCGGGTCACAGTAGGCATATCCGTGCTGACAGCATACTCAAAAGCGCTGGCGATTAGCCATCTGCGTCTAAATGCTCGCCGAAACCGCTTGAACGGCGAGATTGGGCTCCGACGGAGAGGTCAGACTCCGGAGAGTGAGTTGACCCCAGATCATTAGCGTCCTTGACCCCACCGACGCGCCGTGACCGAGGGCTGCGTGAGTGTGATGGGTGGGCCTTGTTAGGTGCACGTTTTACCAATGGCCGAGCAGACTGTAAGGCAAGAGCGACGAGAGGAAGCTTTTGCAAGTCACAGTTCGTGCGCGTTGAGGTGCTATCTAAACGATAAGTGTCAGTGAGAGTAAGACTGTGCTCCTCGGGCCTTTTGATCTCATTCTTCTCAATGACCGAAAACCATTCGTCCGCCTCTGAATGTAGAATGTATGTCCAATTGATCATAATAAATTATTGATAACATTTTCATTCTATTCTCACATTACCATGTTGATAACCGTTACATTCTAAGTTATCGTACTTAGACGTTTGATGTTCATAGATACAAAGACCACATAGAATTGATCACTTATTGGTTTCCTGCGACACGGGAAATGCATCATACAATCTTATAGTCGTCTGGCAATGGCACGAATAAATCCACACGGGTATGTTTTCTTTTCTTTTTGCCAGCTTGATTACATCTGGTTGGTGATCTTGCAGTAAAAGTGGCATAAATTCATTTTTAGAACCCACTGCGACAGTTCTTTTTACTACGCACAATACTTTCCGGAACTTTCAAAGCCAGCTTTGTATACCTCCGTCGCCTAGAAAAACCAAACAAGCCCTCTGGTCGCGGTGTGCATATTCTGAAAGGCTGCGCTGCAGCGGACGCGCTTAGATATGCATCCCGTATTCCAATGGCACGGGCTGGCGGCCGGCGGTGGCTGGGAGCGGCCGGACGTCGCTTTTGACCGCGGCTCGGTGGCGCGGCGCACCTGTGTGGTGTCTGTCTCCCTCTCGGCCGCACCAAGGCTGTCTGTGGACGCCGTCTGTGACCTGCGCTGGGCGCGGCGCCGGTCGGCTCGCACTGCGGTGCGCGCGGCGCGTCATCGCAGCGCCGCTGCCGGCGGCGACACCGTCAGCGCTCCGGCGCGGCGGCGGCGGCGGCGGCCTTTCTCCGCAGCTCGGCGCGGCAGCGCGGCCGCCCGCGATGGCATGTGGTGATAGGCCGGTGGCCGGCGCCGGCGGCTGGCCGGCCGGTGAGCGGCGGCCCGACCGGAGCGGCCACCGGCGCCGGAGCCGACGCCGGGAGCCGGCCGGAGTCCGTGCCCAGAGGACACGCTGAAACCGAGCCGGAAAATAGGGAAAAGGAGATTTAATACACCACAAACTAGGAAAAACTGGTTATAGAGCCAGTTAGGCACGTAAAACTGTGCCGATCACTGCGACCCGGAATAGGACCACAAATAGGAATTCGGTTGAAAATCAAAATAACATGGAGAAATATAATCCTGGATCTCAAAGAATGGCCTTAGTCTGAGACAATAACTCGTAGAGTCCTTGCGGTCTAAGCTAGGACCTCGGATGGTATTGGTCACTGCGGTCCGGGGCGGGGCCTCTCGGAGACGCTATATCATCCACGGGTAATTAGACCGGCCCTGAGCGAGGTCCGGCGCGCGGTACTCGACCCCGGTGTCCGAGATCTCGCCCAGGCCCGGCCGGCCATCAGCCGGGCCTCTGGCGGCTGATAATTAGCCCACTGTTCGTCATTGTGTGCGACAAAGTGGTCACACGGCCTCTCCGTATATTCTCTGGGGCCTGGTTGGTTTGTAGAATTGTTTGAACTATGTGGCCCGGAAAATTTCATTAGGTTTGCCTTCATTAGGAGAAAGGAGATCAGCTAGATTTACTGGTAGTGCTGACATCAAGTGGTCCTTCATGGGTTACTTTCATAATTCGGCAACAGAAATATTGACTGCTTATTAGAATTTTCGATTAAGATTTCAGCCGTAAACGGAAAAGCCTGCAACTTGGTCGTCAGTTTTCATGCACGGTAAAAAGCAGGCGCAAGTCTTTTCTTGTAATTGAATCGCCAGTAATTACTGTATTTAAATAAAATAACATAGAATACCTACCTAGATGCTGAAAGCCAGCGGGCTAAGTGGCTCCGGGCCGTCATCCTCGGTGGTCAAATGTGCAGAAATTGGCTCAGTTTCGCAACTCTGGCCCGGACTGGACCGTCAGTAAGGCCACCAACACGTCTGTCGTAACAGGCCGGCAGCTAGATACGGACAGTGGCCACGCTGTCACCGGTGGTGTCATTTCCTGCACACCGGGATCGTCCCCCGGTGACAGTAAACAACTGGTAGCACTCTGCATCGCTATCTGCACTACCGCGCTGCATGGGGAAATTCAGCTGTGGGTCACGATTTTTTCAGGAGGGCGTTTATATATGCCGTTTGTGGCTATGCATCGATCGATGGAAACAGGAGAATGCAACTTAGTTAGATGCTAACTTTAAGTAACGAGAAAGGTGCCGACCTAAATCGCGGAGTTCGTGGCTAGCCACATTGCAATGACTGCATCGCAAAATGAGACTGAAATTACATACTGCAGTACCGAGGCGTGCGCTAGCTGGAATTGTTGACTGCAGAGATGAAGGACTGCAAATACAGATACTTCTGCGCTAAAAATATCGAGGACTGTAACGAGGCAATAACCGGAGACTAACGACAAGTCGTACACTAACGGGAGACTGTAACGCCTTGTAGGGCACTAACCGGAGACTACATCGAGTAGGGCACTAACTTGAGACTACAATACTGAGTAGCTAACTGGAGACTGAAATACTGAGTTGGACACTAACCAGAGACTGCAACGCTAAGTCAACCACTAACGCAGTGATGAGTGGGGCACGTACTGGATAGTGGATACTACAATACCGAGTTGGGCACTAACACCAGATAACAATACCGAGCTGGGCACTAACCGGGGACTGTAACAACGAGTCGGTCACTAACCAAAGCTGTAATACAGAGTTGAGTATTAACAGGAGACTGTAACGCCGGATTGGGCGTTAACCGGAGACTTAAACACTGAGTAGGGCACTAACTAGAGACGGAGACAAACAAGTACGGCGTTAGCCAGAGACTACAATACAGAGTAGGGCATTATCGGAAACTAAAACACCGAGTTGGGCACTAACCGGTGACTAACACCGTGTGGGTCATTAATTGGGGGCTGTAACACCGCGTAGGTCACTAATCGGAGGCTGTGGCACCGAGTTGGACACTAGCCAGAGACTGCAATGCCATGGTAGGCTCTATCCGGGAACTGCAATACTGAGATAGGCACTAATCGGAGACTGACACTGAGTTGGGTACTAATTGGAAACTGGAATACCGTGAAAGGCACTAATCGGAAACTGAGACGCTGAGTTGGGTACTAACCAAGGAGACTAATGGCGTGTAGAGCACTAACCGGAGACTGTAACACCGTATAGCGCACTAACCGGAGACTGCAACAGCTTATCGGAGAATAAAACACCAAGATAAAGAGTACGTAGAGACGTCAAGCTGGGCACTCGCCGAGATCTTAGGAATCTAGTGCAATGTCCCGAATAGATCAGACTTGAATAGAGCGCATTGCGGCATGTCCTGCGCCCGCGTGAATACATTTTCATATGTGCGATATCATCAATGGATCGGTCAAGCATCCCTTAACATCATTTTCAACAAACAACATCGACTATCTCAAAAAGCGTCCAAAATAGCCACAAAGGGCCATCGTAGAATTCATATACTCTTTGACCTGTGTCGATTCATTGTCTCATCATTTACGGATAGTATGTCACCATTGTCAGACAATGTCCAGTTCAAGTAGTTTACAGTGTCTGCATTGTATCTGAATATCTGATATCGTTGAGCACTTGCTCACATAGCCAGTGAACATGTCGAGTCGTCCCGTGCACTGTGCAGCTACCCATGACCATCTGACCACATCATCCGTTCTGTAGGAGCCGGAGAGAGTCAGCGTGCCACTGCGGGGCCACGACTTCACCGGCCTCGGCTTCAACATCTGCGGCAACATGCGCGACGGCATCTTCGTCAAGGACGTGCTGCATCGCGGCCCGGCCTCCGAGTCGGGCCAGGTCAGAGCAGGTACGTCAGGTCAGGTCGGGCTGGGTATCTCTTTGAGCTATATGCTTACACCATCCAGTCTGGTCAGACTGTGATGGAGCTGCACTGCACTGATATTAGATGCCAGGGAACAGGCAGTTAGGTGTAAGCTAAAAATGAAAAGCACAAGCGAAAGGAGCTGATGAATGTGCCGCCTAGCCATTTACTTGGGCTGTTCCTCCAGACGGGCCAGTCCTGGTCGCCATGGTCCAGCTTATCTGTGTCCTCCTCGGTCAGTCCAGTCGCCAGTGACCCGTGTCCGCTCTCCAGCGGCACGCAGCGCCGGCGGACACCATCGCTCATCGCCGTCCGACGGGGCGGGGCTGTACGGCACCGCTGTCCTCTGACCCACATAGACCGGGCGCCGTACCGAATCAATTACCACCCTCGGACCGCGCCCCGGGCCCAGAGACCGGCCGCCGGTGGGTGCGAGACTGGATTCATATGGGTATGGAACTGGATTCATATGGTCCGGGACTGGACTCAGAAGGGCCTAAGAACGGGTCTCAGGTGTTTCAAGCATTGGTGACAGATGAATCCACGGGCCGACCTCGGACGGGCCTAGGACTGGCTTCACATTGGCCCAGGAGTAAACTCGGGATGGGTAAAGGACCTGCTCGGATGAGTTATTAAAAGATAAGCTTTGGATTGGTCCCAAAATGATTCCTTGGCTTGGGACCAGAGACTGTCCTCAGCTATACCTACTGTCTAGGGACCGACCTTAAATTGGCCCGCTGGTCAGCCTCAGATGGGCGTGAAAAGACGCCTGGTCCCGCAGCGTCAGAGATCGCGGGCGGCACGCAGCTGACCGCTGTGCGCCGTCCGGCTACATGGGCCGGAATCTAAATACAGCCATGGGTGGTCGAGAAGTGCGCTGAACGCAAATATCGTTAGTTTGATGGATCATTATTGAGAATACGGTGCGGCCGGTCACCCGCGGCTTGGCAATAATGGTCTGACCCATCATGAAATGCCTGTGTAATGACATAATTTGTATTGGAAACTCCCAGTGCTTAAATGATTGGAGCCGGTCGTTTTTCTCGCCCTCTCACCTCCGTTGACCCGTTAGTGCCATTCCCACCACTTCCAGTAACACAACACATTCGAGAACAGTAAAAGTACTTACTCGATAAACGTACCCCTTCGACCGAAATACCCCAATGTTAGTCTCATGAAATGTGTGCTCTTATGCATAGCAAAGGTAGATCATCCTATGTTCTGCGTCTACTTCACGTACCCCAGAATCACAGCACACCCAAATCTAGCACTCCGGCCACTATCCAGCACCCATTCACTCGCCAGTCGCCAGTTCAGTCAGTTCAGTCGCCAGTCGATGCACATCGGGGGCAAGTGGTCCGAAACTCTCCGGGAAAACGGCTCCATCGCGACGCCTGGTAACGAGCCTGGTGCGCCGACGACCCAGCTGCGGTCAGCTGAGGTTTTCACGGTGTTGGGCAGCGGGGACTGGACAAGATGGTTACCGGCGATACCCCAGCTTTCTGCGATGGAACACGGCAGTAGTGGTGTGGGGATGTGAAGTGGGCAGTGGCTGAACGCTCCACTGCAGACGCCTCAAAAGAAAGTTGGCTATTCTAGGTTGTTGAGATATTGCTATCTGTGACGCTACACGAAACGGACAGATATACCTATTAAGATTGGGTGCATGCATTATGAATTGGCAAGAGATGCTACTTTCGATTCTTCAAGTGTGGTAAAGCGACATTGCTATTATTTATGTCCTGCTGCTGGTCCGATCGAATGTGAAATGTACGAACAACACAACGTATGCTGTGTGGTGCATGTAAGGTCGCCAAGTGCGGTTCGAGTTGGGATCCTTCGTTTCTAGTAATAGCACTGATATATTTCAGAACAAGAACCAGTGAAACCTAATCGGAAACCATTTGTGGCGAACTCAGAAGTTATTGTGCGAACATGCATTGACCGAATGGCAATCATCATAACATAAATCACTTCTAATGCAGCAAATGAAGCGTTTAGCAGAGGACAAATACCTACCGTCATGCTGATTATCATGGCTGCCAGCTTGGCTGACACACCTACAAACAGAAACGGAATGTCACTCTGTCTTTCACCGATTAAATACTGGTCGAGTTGGCCTGGGTGCGGTGGTCGCCACTTTTCGCACGGTTTTCCAGCGGCGCGGTGGCGTGAAAGTGTTTCGGTGCTCGTGGCTTTCCCAGGCCGGTCTGCCGACCGATGATCGCCGGTGTCTCTCTGCTGCGCCGCGATTGGCGCAGTTTCGCCGCCACTGTCGCCGCCGATGACGTCGAGGCCGTCGGCTCAGTCAGCCGTCAGATGAGAGCTAACGGTGTCGATGGCCGATACTGTCCAGTCTCCGGGCGGGGCGACGGTCTTCCCCGCAGTGGAGATGTACGGTCTTCGACTGCCCAGTGATAGCCACCGGTCAGCGGTGGTCAGCCGTCAGCGGTCAGAACTGGGCGAGTCGCTCGCCGTGGAGCGGTCCTCCTCCCCTCTCCCTCCCTCTTCTCTTCCTCCTCTGCCACACAAGACACGTGTGACACGCGTCACCGTGAGGCGCCCGACGGATGACAAGCACGGTTCACTGAACTTTGGACGGCCCCATGGCGACGGGCACACACTCGCGCCTGCTGCGCCGAATTCGACACGCTCTGAAGATGACGCGTCAGACGTCCGTCCACGTGGCTAAGTCCGGAGTGCTGTATCCAGGCTGGATAATTAGTCCCTAGCTGTAAAAATGACTACAAGGATAAACGTTGTAAAGAAATTATTTATTTTAGGACTGACTGTAGCGACCACACATTCATGCACGCTCGGTTTTCATCAGCCTCAAAACAACGGTGTTGGATGCGAGAACAATGCTTCAGTCGCATTGTTTTTATATCATTGTCTGTCGCCACAGGTTACATTTGAGTTCAAGCATGCATGACATGGACTTACGATCAAGGGCGGATCTAGGGGGTCGTTTTGGGGGGGGTCACCAGTCGGCCGACATACCAGGTCTGGTGAATGAATTCTGACGACCGGGGGGGGGGGGGGTAGGGAGCGAGTATGTCGAGATCAAAAAATGACATTTGATCTTCGTCGTTTATAAGATGAAGTTTTATCGTAAGTCACTCGGCTCAGTAGTTTTAGTTAGTGAAACCCACCTATATAGGAGCGTCGCCACGGATTTTTTACTGGGGGGGGGGGGAGGCGGGTCGACCGACTTAAAAACCCAGAAGTAGATATAGTTACCTACCTCACTTTTAGCCTAATGCATTAGTAAATAGTAGCATACAGTCACGATCTCTCTTATTGACCTGTGTATGAATCGGCGGCGCGAAGCGCCGCAAAAATTTGCAAAAAAAAGTTGTCAAAACACAGCTCTAAAACACAAATATTACAACCTTTTTAGCATGCTAGTACAAGCCGGAGTTCCTTCACAGTACACATATGAATTCCGATTCAATTTGACACGGTTGGTGTTATTACAGTCACTGTTATTTCTCTCTTATTGATTGGTGTATAAATCGGCGGCGCGAAGCGCCGAGAAAATTTGCAAAAGAATGTGTCGAAACACAGCTCCAAAACACAAATTTTACCACCCTTTTAGCATTGCAGTACAAGCCGGAGTTCCTTTACAGCACACATATGAATTCTGATTCAATTTGACACGGTTGGTTTATGTAATTACAGTCAAGATTTCGTATTGACCTGTACGTATGTACATAAATCGGCGGCGCGAAGCGCCGCGAAAAATTTGCAAAAACATTTGTCAAAACACAGAGGGGGCCTCCTCTCTACAGAGGACCACCGATCTCTATTGCGGGCCTCCTCTTTTCACAGGGCCTCTTAACTACAGAAGCTACAGGGCCTCCTCTCTACAGAGGGCTTCCTCTCTACTGAGGGTCTCTCCCTTTAAGAGGGCCTCCTTTACAGAGGGCCTCCTCTCTTCAAAGAGCCAGAGGACCTCATCTCTGCAAAGGGCCTCCTCTCTTCAGAGGGCCTCTTCTCTACAGAGGGCCTCCTTTCTTCAGAGGGCCTCTTCTCTACAGCGGGTCTCCACTCTTCAGAGGGCCTTCTGCATTCAGGCGGTCTCCTTTCCACAGAGGGCCTCCTCTCTACACAGGGCCTCCTCTCTACATAGAGCCTTCTCTCTACAGCAGGTCTCCTCTCTACAGAGGGCCTCCTCTTTAAAGGGGTCTCCTCTCTACAGGGGGCCTCCTCTCTACTGAGGGCCTCCTTTCTACAGAGGACCTCCTCTACAGAGGGCCTCCTACCTACTGAGGAGTCAGAGGGGCCCTAGCGGTCAGACACAGACACTAGCGGTTATTCACTGGAGGCCCCAGGAAGTAAGAAGGGCCCTAGCTGTCAGGCTGGTCAGAGGGCCCTGAATGTCCTGACGTGATTTTTGGGATTCCCGTGAATTTCTTTCGCCTCAGACGTGATTTTGACCTGCCAGGGCCCAGGGGCACTAAAAATAAAACAAACAAAATAAAAAATGAAAATAGGACATCACCAAAATTAAGTGACCGAAATCCGTTGAGTTTTTAATTTTGCGTATAGGTAGGGGCACCACGAATTAAATTCATGACCATCCCCTTGGAGTTTTCCTGGATCATCCCCTGGTGCTCGCACGGTTGAGACAAAAACGAGTAAGATTCTGGTCTTCAATACGCCTTTTCACGCAACACGATCCAGAAAAACAAAGGTATTAGCTCAGAAGTGTTTGACAGGTGATTTTGAGCATGCAAGACGGCGTCTATAGCGCATTTAGGTCTTCGGCTTTTGGGGGGGGTCAAATGACCCTCTCAGACCTTTTGGGGGGGGTCATGACCCCGTGGACCCCCCCCAGGATCCGCCAGTGCTTACGATGCCATTGGGACGCAATGCAAGCAGCGTACATCGGATTATCCAGAACTTGCCCAACCAGTTGCGTACCGGCATTGATATAATAACCATATAGGCCCTAATGCAAAGTAATGTCGGCGAAAAAAGACCGTGAAGTTCACTATTTTATCGCCATATTGCAAATATGGTCGGTAATTGCTGCATCCATGCAATGAATATGCACCGTCCAGGGTTCTTGCAGTCCGAATGTCTGCTTTCATAGGTGGCGGAACGGGGGGGCACCGGGGCACCGCGCCCCCATTGATTTTGCCATTTTAACATTAGCCCTATGGGCGTTGCGTGGAAAGAATGGGACCAAAAGTCAGCGGTGTCCCAAGGTGTTCCGCCGCTACTGTCTGCTTTGCGTCAGATTTAGGTAAGCTTGGCTGTTGTTTGGCACCATCATTCGATGTTTTCGGTGGTCTATCTGCCGCATACATTTGTATACCAAAATGTGCTGTTTCTTCACTGCGCAGTAACCCTTACTGTGGAAACTGAGCAGAAGTGAAGAAGACATCAATAGGTATTACCTACCAGAACGTAGAAACCAGCTAGCAGCAAACTTGCCTAATTTCAATGTTAAAAATAATCGTCACTAAACAATCGACGTGGGACTCGGGGTTCATAAACAGAACCGTAACATCGTAACATTGAGACTGTGGCCGGTGTATAAGGGCAGTGCTGTGCTGAGATAGGGGAAGTTGGGGCAATGCCGGAGTTGGGGCAAAGCCGAAATTCGAGATATTTCGAAAACCGTAAGACATGGATGCCACCTGTCAGTGATGCTCTGAAGCTTAAGTGACTACAATTATCGCATGTTTGTTACGAGTCGTCATTCGGAATACTTCGGCTGTGAGGGCGCCAAGAGCGTTTTCAAGGTACGCGTTCCTTGTACTACATGCGCCTTTGAAGCTGCATTTCTTACTCATTATGCTACCGTTTGTCTGGCCAATTCGGTCAAGTAATCTTCAGCATGTCTTTGCATAAGTGTGCTGCCTATTTGAAATTTATACGGCACGTTGAAAAGTTATGAGCCTGCAAATGAAAGTATGGCTGGCTGGGGTAATGCCGAAAACGTGCAATTACGCACGTTAAAGCACGCTACGTGGACTTTACTGCTGTAGAATAGCAACGCGAATTTTTAGTCACACAAATTACACTTTCAACCGACACAACGGCCTGTTACCTATAAGGAATTATTTACCTGGCATTTTCTTATTATATCACACAACTATAACTTCCATTGTGCACCAAGCGTCCTCAAGCTCTTAAAACGCGTGTCAGCTTTGATAAATTCTGGATAAAGTTTGAGATAAAGTGGCAAAACATCAATGTCGGCATTCCCCGTAGATCATTTCTCCCATTTTCGGCTTTCCCCGCAGTCCGGGGCAACGCCGAAAAAGTCACTTCTTTGATATTTTTAGTTTGTGTGCTTAACGGTATGCGAATTCATCAAATGCGCCTGGTATGTTTGAAAGGCAAAAGACTGGCCTCTCGAATGACGCCAACAAGAATAGCTTATGTTGTCTACCTTGCGTGCTACGGGCGTCAGAAAAAAAGTATTCGGCGTTCCCCCAACTTCCCCTACTGATACCCGGGCTGCGATATAATCATGTGAGAAAAGAGAATGCCGGTGGGATATCTCTTTCTCCCTCCCTCCCTCTCTCTCTCTCTCTCCTCTCTCTCTCTCTCTCCCTCTCTCTCTCTCTCTCTCTCTCTCTCTCTCCCTCCCTCCCTCCCTCTCTCTCTCTCTCTCTCTCTCTCTCTCTCTCTCTCTCTCTCTCTCTCTCTCTCTCTCTCTCTCTCTCTCTCTCTCTCTCTCTCTCTCTCTCTCTCTCTCTCTCTCTCTCTCTCTCTCTCTCTCTCTCTCTCTCTCTCTCTCTCTCTCCCGCTCGCTCGCTCCAGTCCCACCGTCTCCCACATGCACGGAAAGCTCATTTAGATCGGCAGACCAGAACATATCTCCCCAGGCGTATGGGAGTGTTTGGACATACACACGGAACCTTTCTACGGGCTAATACGTGTCGCCGCGCTATGTGCCGCTCGAGCTGGAGATCATACCCGCCTCCACCCGTCTTTGATACACCCTATGCCGCCGTGGGATGCATTGTTGGCGAATCGGCTATTGTTGGCGGAAAAATGCCTCGCATGGGACGAGCGGCGCTCCCCGCCCGTCGGCTCCCTCTCCGTCTGTCTCCTTACATGCCACCGCCGTGCCGAGAAACCATCGATATGGAAACACAGTCTGGATGGTATGTGTCGTGAGGCATATCCAAATGCTCTGGAATGATGTCCCGAAAGTTTATTGACCGCCGGTGTGCCGAAACCGATACGATAGTTAAATTCCACAAACGTTCGTTTCTCCCTTTCCAGCTGAGATTGGTGCTTTCTAAACATAGAGCACAGCTTGATAGAAAACATACAGCTTAAGTTACCTATTGTCAACAAATTACCAGTCATCCTCTCTTTCCAGGTGACCGTATCACGGGCATCACGGTCTCGCTGGCGCACGTGGTGCTGGAGGACGCACTGACCATCCTCAGCTACGCCTCACCGTACGACGTGCAGATCCACCTGGAGAAGGACAGACGGCCGACGCCGGTGGCCAAACAGGCCGTCAGCTCTCAGCCGAGCACGAGCAGTGAGCGGCTCTGTCACCCCTTCTACCGCAGCCAGAGCATCGACGACCTCACCAAGGTGGGTGGAGCGGGACATGTGTACGGTCCCCTCGAAAGATGAGACGAGCGACCCTCTCAGGTGCCTCGGTGGCCAGTGACCCAGTGTAGCATTTGAAATTACCTATCCAAAGCGTATTACAAGTGGTTTTATTACGATCAGTGAGATTTTGTCGGTTGTACCTAAGCCTTCCGGCATCCAATGCAGATCGCTTATATAAATCCCCATTGTTTTTCAGATTGGCCAGACCAAGCTGAAATCTGCCAAGAAGTCGGCTCGCACTTCTCTCAGCCACGCTCCAGCCGAGGCAGCCACCAGGCAGGACGGCAGCCTCACGCCAAAGGCTTCCTCCTTCAACGAGAAGCTGCTGTCCAAGACGACCCCGCCTTCAGCTCGTACCGAGACCGAGCGGCTGGCGCAGCGAGAGGCCGCTCTGTCGGCGACCTCGCCAGAGCCTAGTGAGGGCGGCTACCGCGAGATGGCAGTCGATGTGCCCGACTACGTGCTCGAGATGGACGCCAAGAAAAAGGTGGGTGGCGTGGTTCCACAGCTCGGTAGAATTCGTGCAGTCTCCATAGGTTGTGGGCAGCAAGTGGCGATTATACTCACTCTGTTATACTCTTGACGTGCACACTCGCACTATAACATGAATAATGTCATCCGGATTGTATCGTATGAAGACAACACATGTGTGGCACATCAAAGTATTACAGGTAGCAACCCGTCCATACGGGCTCAACCCCGGTGACTCACTAGGGTGCCTGCCCAGACCAATGTCTCCCCCTATATCCTATCATCCTCCCGGCTCTGAAGTGGTCTCATTGGACCGAAAGGGCCTAACCCATCAAACAAAAAACCGTCCATTCTGCTACTCCGTGTGTCTAAGTCAGGTTGGCTGTTGACTGTTGACTGTCGAGTGTCAATCCCCGTGAGCCCACCTTCCCGGAACCGATGCCGTCACACGTCCGCGCTCGGCAGCTCCTATATTTGACGCGCGTGTTTACCGTCGACAGGCGGCGGCTGAAGCGGCGCGGATGGGTCGTCTCGGCGCCAAGGCGCTCCCGGACGGCTCCTCCGGTGACCCCGAGCGCGGCAGCCCGGCGGCAGAGCGCGACACGGCCCGCTCCGGCGCCACCTCTAGTCTGGTGGTACAAAGTGAAGTTACGACATCGACCGGTAGGCGGCGCGACGGCTCCGGTTCTAGCGACGATTCACCACCGGTCGAGGGCAAGGCTGAGAGGTCCAAGTTCAAGATGGGCATCTCTGGCTTTGGTTTCAAGAAGCAGAAGAGCAGGAGCGACGCAGAAGGAGAGAGCGACGCAGGAGAGGCATCAGGAGGGAAGGCGGAATCTGAAGAGCGCCCCAAGAAGGGAACCATGCCTGCCATCAACATGAAACTGCCGAAACTCGGAGGCAGCAAGCCTGTTTTTGAGAATGACAAGTATGTGAAGAAGGACGAAGAAGACGTGGAGACTCCCCAGCCTATGGTAGTGGAGGTGGAGAAGATAAAGTCTGCCATGAACAGTCAGGTCCGAAAGCCGAGCGCTTCCTCCAGTGCGTCTGGTTCGGACGTCGATGCCATCGAAGTTGATCCAGGTATCCACGGAGATAACGTGGACAAGAAAGGCTCTAAATCGAAATCATGGGGACTGAAGAACATCAAGAAAGGTCTCGGCTTAGGAAAGAAGCCAGAAAGCGAGGAGAGGGACCGTCGGACGACCTCAGACAGTGACGAAAAGGAGAGGAAGACCAGCTCCAGCTCCAGCTCTGGAGAGGAGACCAAAGAGCCGGCGCAGGGCGACCTCCCTGCCGAGATGCGACTGGCCGCCGGCGTGGCGCAGGAGCGCAGAAACCGCCGTAACCGGCAGAAGTCGGCCAGCTCCTCCAGCTCAGACGACGAGAAGACCGTCGAAAAGAAGCCCATCTCGCCGCAGCCTATTGAGGTGGAGGTGAAGGTGGCTGACAAGCCGCTCTCCTCTCTCGCCGACGATAAGCCGGAGGTCCAGGAAGACGTTCAGAAGGAAGTCCGGAAGGTCGAGACGGAGGTCGAGAACGTAGAGATCCCTCGCGCCGAGGTGGATAAGATTGAGGTACTGAAGGAGGTGCTCTCCATGACCCCGAAGAAGGAGGTGGCCCGCAGGGAACCGGATGCGGACGCTCTCGAGGATGTCGTCTCGGAGAGGGTGGAGCGCAGCACCGTCCATCGCTCCACGGAGTCCCTCTCTGGCGACGGACAGCCCCGTATCACCGGCGAGGTCACCGGTCTGGTGGAGGTGGGTGCTCGCCGTGGCCGCCCGCCGCCGGTTGGCTCACCGCCCAGTAGTGCCGACTCTTCCTCTGACGATCACAGGGACGGCACTGCGTCTCTGAAGCGCGCCAAGAAACGGCGTAAGCGGCGCAGCGACAGTGCGCGCAGCTCCAGCTCGGCCGAGCACGCCGCTAACGGAGAGGCGAGCTCTGACGACGAGAAGCAGCGGCCGGTGGTGCGTCTGCCCGGTACTTCGCCGGCGCTGCCTCTGAGCAGCACAGAGATCAGCATCGACACGTCCTCCACGGAACCTCTGAACACGAGCACGCCCGTCAAACGCTCCGGCGGCGACGAGCGCGACCGCAAGTGCGCCTCGATGGGCGACCTGTACCGGCTGGGTCCGTCCTCACCCGACTCGCCTCCTCTCGAGCGTGCCGTCTCCCTCGAGCTTCGCAACGCCGAGCCGGACAGTCACCGGCTGGGGCGCGCCGTCGAGACCGACATCCAGGAGCCGCAGCTGGACCTGAGCCGCGTCGGCAGGTCCGGCGGATGGCCGACGCAGCCTAATGGTCTTAGGAACGCCTCCAGCGCCGACGGCCGCACGCACATAGAGGTGGTGCCGGAGGAGGCGTCTGAGCGGCGCACGCCGGCTCCCTCCTCCACGGTGGTAATGCTGAACCAGTCGACAGAGGACGTCACGGTCATCTCTACAGAGGCGAGCAGTATGAGCGGCCAGTGGGTGACCGCACAGGAGGGAGACACTCTCCTCGCCGACGCCGCCACAGATGAACGTCGCTCCTCCGTCGCGTCCAACTCGTCGCATTCGTCGACGTCCTCCGTTCCCATGGAGATGGATGAGGGCACGCAGACAGCGTCGGTTGATATGGATAGCTCCGGTGTGAACTATGTTTCTGTATCATCGGTGACGGTTGGCGGAGAGGATACGCTACTGGCGTCAACTGGCGGCGCGTCCGTGGTACCACCTAGTGAAAAGTTCGAGAGTGTAACATATCTCTCATCGACCGAGGTCGGTGGACCGTCCAGTCTGGTAGAAGTCGTCCAGACGGACGCCGCCAACGAAATAGAAGCCGCGAATGCTGATGCTGTGAAAGACGTTGCTGATGAGGATGATGACGTCAAAGATGATGCAGTCAAGGAAGAAGGCAATGGTGATGCTGTTGAAAACGATGATGCAAAGAGTGATGACAGTTTCAATGGCGTCATCCCCGATTCTGAGCGAAACGGTCACGAGAACAGCGAAGGGAAGCGTTCAAGGCACAGCTCAACCTCCTCGTCTTCCTCTTCCTCGTCCTCCTCATCGAGCGAGGAGGAGGCACCGCGTCGCCGTAAAACCTTCACCAACGAGCCGCTGGAGGCCTCCCCGGAGCTGCCCGTGCGGCCGGCGCCGGCGGCTCAGCGAGCAGCCTCCGAGCCACGGGAGCCCAGCGACCCGCCGGCCGACTCTGAACAGCACCGCGTCCTGCTGCGCGGCGACAGCAAGACGCGCCTGCTGCAGACGGTGCTGGACGCCCACGAGGTGATGGTGACGCCGCACAAGGACCGGCGCCACAGCGGTCCGCCCAGCTCTCCGCTCAGTGTCGAGGTGTCCAGTCTGATCCCGCCGCCGGCGCGAGCACGACCGGCCGCCGGAGCGGCGGACGAGCAGCGAGTCTCGGACAGGGAGCTGATCGAGATCAGCGAGGACGAGCTGGACTCAGTGATGCTCTCCCATCGAGAGTACCTGCTGCGCCAGGCCGAGCGGCTTTCTCAGTCGCCCAAACAGGCCTCTGAGGAGGCACAGGAGACCGGCGAGACGGCCGCCCCGGGGAAGAGCCGGCCGCGCGCAGCCGTCGGCGGCGACTCGGACGGGAGTGTCACCACGACTCTAATCATCGGAGAGTCACGACTGTCGGGCGGCGTAACGACCACGCTGATCGGCGGCGGTGACTCGGTCGGCCAGGAGTCGGACTCCCCGCCTCCGGACCTCCGGCCGCCCAGCCCGCAAAAAGAGACCGCCGGAGTCTCGGCCACGGACTGGGACTGAGGGACCTCCGGCAGTCAAGACAGTCAGTGGAAAGTGCGCGAATAGACGGATGGACGGACTCTTAGCAGCTGCGAGCTGCTCCAATCGCAGGGCAGACTGATTCCCGAATTTATCTGATCAGCTTCAAACCCAGCCGTCTGCCACGCATTAGAGGTGCAGATACGAACTGGAATGCTATCCAGACGTTTGAAATGCTGTCCAGATGTCTGAAGATTTGGACATCTGAACGTTTGATTGTCTGGACGTGTGGATGTCTGGATGTCTGGATACGAGTAATTGCTCACGACCATGGTGCTCAATCTGCGTATAGTGCCGGCCCGGTTATAACTAGTGTGGTGACGAACATTGCCGGCTGCCTGACGCTGGAGGCGGTATGTGGCGCGCTGGTGGCGATCGGTGGCGCACTCCCACCGATGGACTCAATGTGGCGCACTGCATACGGACTGAACAGAGCGGGCGAAGCTGGGCTTTGTCAGTGCAAAGTTGTATAGTTATAGCAATCAGATGTTATCGGCAGCATCGATGGTGTAATTACCAGATATTATATGACGATTGAATTTTCCGGATGCCATTGTGTCTGTATATCTTGTGCTTGTAGATGTAAGACATTGAGAATTACTTTTCAATTGATGGTGCCTTCTGATACATAATGTTGACATAGGGGGGTTCGCCCCTTATCATCCGGGATATATTACGTACCGGAAGCCCTATTATGATGCATTTTAGCTACATCCAAGTGTTTATTACGTAAGTTTTTAATTATGAATGTTGGAACTTGTTGAAACGAATACGGAATACTTACGGTTCGATCGCCTTAGTTTCCTTGTCTTCAGCAATTGCCTATGCATGAGATTAGACAGCAATTTGTCAATGAGCCTCAGCGATCATTTGCTTTCGTGTCATGTGCCATGAGGTGTTTGACAATCGCTCAGAATGTTGGGTACGACCTAGGAGAGCTGCACGTTTTTACTATTCGCTCAGATGCTGTCGGACGAATAGCTTTTGTATTACCGATCGAATGACCGGCCTACGAATTTTAGGGGCGTTACGAGCGACCAGCGGGTGCTGAAACCCACGACGTCGCTTGTACTTGGTTCGACGAGCGCTCTTCATATTCAGACGGGTCATGTCACTCGAACAAAGCCCCGACTAGTTATATCAGCGCATATCGTCGATTCGGTCCATATGTGGGGTCAAAGCTGCTGGTTGCAATCCATGTTTGATTGTATTTACTTCAGCTGCGAATAAACTTCGAAATGTGTATAACATCGTGACTTTTTGTTTAAGTTTGATAGCAACGTTTTTCAATATGCAGTGATTTTTTAAACTAAAATGATCATATGCGAAAAGTTAGAAACATCTTTCATAAAAATATCTGCGTTGTGTTGAGATGTTTTATGTTTCCTACTTTTTATTTACCATGTTTATCACTAACTTCAAACAACTGTTAAAACTTTAAAAAAAAATGAAACGTAATATTCTCACAGCGTTTTTGACGCCTACTATGTGTATGCGTCACGGACGCCCTTCACCGCCGTACGCCTATCATTAACGATGGCACGCCGATAGCAGGCTGGGCCCACAGGTGGCTCCATCCCCCTTCCGACCATCGCCATACTTTATGACAGGGTGGCGTCGGTGCTATGCCCGATCGATAAATCGAGCGGCCCCGTCACCCGTGTTGACAGACCGTATCGCTCCTGACCCGACACCTGTTGGTGAGCTGCACGATATATGTCACGCGGCGACCTGCTATTGAGCTATTGCTTTATCCGGTTAGGCGCTCGGCTAGACAGGGGTCGAAGTGCCACATCGAGCGGGGCTGTTGGGCAGAACTGGACCGACTGGACAGACAGGAGGCGGGTGAATTGGGGTGGTTCAAAGGTGTTGATGACCATCGTCCATGGTCCATACATACGTAGGTATGTAACTACACCAAGGAACGAGCGCACACCGGTGACGTTTAACTCGTAAAGGGACGGGAATGTAGTGTAGAGTGTGCGTCGAACGTCACAGATACAGCTGACTTAGCCAACTGCCACCGCACGTCCGCACTCTACAGTCTTCTCTAAGCCTGTGGATAACAGGATAAGCATGGAGTAGCGACAGGCATCTGACAATAAATAAATAGATAAATAAATAAATAAATAAATAAATAAATAAATAAATAAATAAATAAATAAATAAATAAATAAATAAATAAATAAATAAATAAATAAATAGCTGCTCTACAGTAGTTGACCTGACCGGTGCGAACCGTAACACACTTTAGAAATTCACTTTAGAAAGTCTAAATTTAGAGCGTCAGATGAGCGAAAAATAAGTTTATATGTTCTCATGCTACAATCGCCCGTGTCATTTTATCGCAATAGCATTTGGCCATCAGTGGTATCCGTCACCAAAGTAAGGTCGTCGCTGCAAAAGTTGCACTATCAGCCAATCTGTGTAATGAGAAGGGCTATTCCTTCTTTCGTATGGTAACTAAATGTTGTCTATATACTCACTAAATCCTTTAAGTCGTAAGTGCAGCAAACTGTAGCATTTAATTACGCTTTTACTCTAAGCTTTTCTAATGAAAAACGTCATCAAACACCGTCGCACTACCTATATTTCCAGGACGAAATGCGTCCATAACGTGCCTGATATAACTTGATGATACATAACGCTAATATAAACAAGCTTTTCTTACAAGAAAAACAACAGATATACATAGAGTCGATACAAATTTATCTGAATAAGTCAGACGTTATTATTGATAAATAGTAAACTTATCAAAGATGTGTCATTCACTTAAATCGACCAAAAGTTGAAAAGGGAACGGTCATAGTCCTTAAAATAATGAACTTCATCTAGATTGATGAATGACTTGACAGGTAGGCAAGAACCTGAGCCGTGCATTACACACTTATCAAAGAGCAGCATGTGCAGATTTCTTCAATGCGTAGTGTAGGTACTCGTAATAGACGAGCACTCCTCGAGTCAGCGAGCCCCCGACTTGGGTCTGCCCAGGCGATGTTCCTTGTAGACACTAATGTAACCGAACTGTCGCTCCACCCGGAACCTCTGCACCTGAGATAGGACATAAACAGGACACATTACTACCGCTACTGGAATCTTGACTAAGAAAATATAGCAAGGAGAGACATTAGTAACGCTACTGAAGCTAGTCATAGACAAGTAGGAACGCTACTACGACAGATTCAGACAACGCTACTGGAATATAGACAAACAGCAACTGTGAGTGGCTTGACACTCTACTGGATTTCAAACATACAACTACGATCTATGCCTCCTGGCCAGATAATGCTAATGATCAATTATAATCAATTATGGACATAAACACAATAACTGAGGCGCCTAATTGGCGATACATACTTACAGACTACAGAGACACATTGGTTAAAGGAACTAAGCTAAGACACAAAGACGGTTATTTCTGAAGGCAGTGATGGAAGAATACACTAAAAGCTAACATTAGTCTGCTTAGTGATCCGTTCCCACCAATTCGGTCAGGTAATATGTATGGATTGGGTGGGAGGGGTGCTCTCACCAGGTGTCGCACGATGCACCACGTGTCCTCTGTGACGTGCACGTGGATCAGCACCACGTACATGAACTGGTCGCCGCGCTCGGGCCGCTGCCGCACGTAGAACGCGGCGCTGCGCGGGGCCACGTCGGTGCCGAAATCCACCAGAAGACCGCGCGCACCTGCCGGGCACGAGGCACATCACCAGGTTGGGCGACTGGAAGGGAGGTATGTTAGAAGTGTACGATAACACCAACGTTAGCTGACATAAACTTCAGGGTGGTGTTTCACCGGTGACAGCAGCACGCTGCTACTATACGTGTCAAATTGGGTTTCCATGGAGACGCCAACAAGCCCATTGCTCCAGGGGCGGATCCAGGAAAACTCCAAGGGGAGGGTCATGAATCGAAGTGGTGCCTCTACCTATACCCAAAATTAAAAACTCAACGGATTTCGTCCACTTAATTTTGGTGGTGCCCCCATTTTCAGTTTTTTTTTTCTTTTTTTTATTTTTAGTCAGTATCTTAACTCTTAGCCACAACCACATTTACCAATTGTAAGCAAGTATACAGGGTGTCTCAAAAGTTCACGTTTACACATTTCCCATGTCAATAAAGCATATAAGAACCGGCCAAAAATCTAAGGTTTTGGTGTCCGTGTGTACACTAGACAAATATGCATGCTTTGACAACTGATTCGGAAGGTTGGAAACCAAACCCTTTGCTGTATCTCCAAAAATATTTGCCCATACCGATTTTCGTCACTCCGTCAGCTGCCGGAGGCTGATAAAAGGTTACCAGCTTTCAAGCTCTTGTAGGGGAATCCCCCGCAGTTTCTGCGTCGTCGGATTTAGGTTTGACGAGCTCCCCGGCAACATCCGCTTCTCCCTGAAAGCCGATAGCTTGCATCGACACCATCCGTGAGTATTTTGTAGGTCTTCTCTGGCGCTAATTCCTTCATGAATGACTGGCGCTGACCTCCCAAGCTTCATTTTCCTTTTCAAAACAACCCCATTCCTGAACAAATGGGAAGTGCCAGGGGCAAATTTTTCGCAGCATATCGTAGCAGAATGTGTCGGCCATCTGTTTCTTAGACACATTTTGCAAAATTTGCAAATCCCGAACGCTCGTCATTCCCAATGCCAAGACCTTCGCTGGGTTCCGGAGTGTTTTCCTCAGGAGAGGTTCTGCTTTGTAAACGGCCAAAACCTGTCCATCGTGCGGTTTTGTCCGGATTTTGTGTGTAAAAGAAAGCTATTTGCTCCAGATCTGCCTCTTGAAACTTCGTTAGATAAAACTTTACATTAATTGACACTTTTGGAGGGTCACCTGTCCTCGGCATTGACGATTTTCGCATTATTTTCCCTCAAAATTTAGCGTTATAGATATTATAAACAATTTTAAATGATATTTTGTCTTTATTTTATGATGACCTGCAACTTTTGAAACTGGGTAACCTCTGTCTGTGAGCTTCTAGTCAGTTTTCAATAGTTAGGACTGCATTTTCAGCTGCTTTCCGGAGCACGAGTCTGCTGCGGTACAAGGGTCGTTCAAAGCGCTGTTAGTCTCGCATGGTTTTGTCCTTCAAAAATTTTAGCCACCGTTTTTATTAGATGACCATCATGTTGTACTCATCCTCGCCGACACTTTGCCATGTGTCATTTCCGACCTAACCATTCCCATTACTCGTGAAGCAGAGAGTTTCTCAGCCGACCCGAGTAGGTATGCGACCTCCATTTTCATGCCTGATCCATGGTCAGAGGTGAGCCCTTTTTGTGAGCTCATGAAGGGTCGAATGCGCTTGAAAACAATGAAGCTGCTTGAGGAAGGTTGTTACCAATGCCCATGCAAAATTTCGACTGTTAATTTCATGTTGATTCAGAATTATTGACAAAAAAAGCATGGCTGGTACCTGTAAGCGAACTTTTGAGACACCCTGTATATGAATGTGCTATGTGTATATATGTTGTGGACGCTGAGTAGTGAGTACTTACCAGGAACGTTATCAGGTAAGCAAATCGTTGTCAGTCCGACGAACTTGACCCTGGCGTCTAAAGGGTCTGTCCTTGACACTTCAGGCTTGTCAGGGGCACCAAAGTCCTTCCAGGGACACCACAAACCTGTCAGGGGCACCTACGGCCTTGTAGGGGCGCCACAGGCCCGCCAGGGGCACCACAGGCCTGCCAGGAAGCAGGGGCACCACAGGTCTAGCAAGTATACACGACAGGCCTGTCAGGGGCACAACGGGCCTGTTGGGCCCATGAGCACCCCTAGGGGCAGGGGCACCACAGTCCTTCCAGGGGCACCGCAGGCCTGTGAGAGGCACCAGCGGCCTAGCAGGGGCACCAGTCAACACAGGCCTGCCAGGGGCACCACAGACCTGCCAGGGGCACCAGAGGCCTGCCAGGAGCACCACCGACCTCGCAGGGGTAACTTGGGCCTGTCAGGGCCCAGGGGCACCACGGGCCGGTCGAGAGGCACTTCAGGCTTTTCAGGGGCACCATAGTCCTCTCCGGGCGCAGGGGTAGCAGGGGCACCAGATGCCTGCCAGGGGCACTACAGGCCTAGCAAGGGCACCACTGGTCTATCAGGGGCACCACGAGCCTGTCATAGCCAGGCATCTCAGGCTTGTCAAGGCCCAGGGGCACCACAGGTCTGTGAGGGGCACCAGCGACCTAGCAGGGGCACCAGTCAACACAGGTCTGCCAGGGGCACCACCGGCCTCGCAGGGGCACCTTGGGCCTGTCAGGGGCACCATGGGCCTGCCGAGGGGCACTTCAGACTTTTCAGGGGCACCAGTCCTCTCCGGGCGCAGGGGTACCAGCGGCCTAGCAAGGGCACCAGAGGCCTGCCAGGGGCACCACAGGCCTAACAAGGGCACCACGGGCCTGTCAGGGGCACCTCAGGCTTGTCAGGGCCCAGGGACACCACAGTCCTTCCAAGGGCACCGCAAGCCTGTCAGGGGCACCAGAGGCCTGCCAGGGGCACCACAGGCCTAGCAAGGGCACCACTGGCCTGTCAGGGGCACCTCAGGCTTGTCAGGGCCCAGGGGCACCACAGTCCTTCCAGGGGCATTACAAGCCTGTCAGGGGCACCAGAGGCCTAGCAATGGCACCACAGGCCTGCCAGGGGCACCACCGGCCTTGCAGGGGCGCCTCAGGCCTGTTAGGGGCACCACGTGCCTGCCGGGGACACTTCAGGCTTGTCAGGGGCGTTACAGTCCTGTCAGGGCCCAGGGGCACCAGGCCCGTGGTGTCCCTGCTAGGCCTGTGGTGCCCCTGGCGGTCCTGTGGTGCCCCTGTCAGGACTGTGATTCCCCTGATAGGCCGGTGGTGCCCCTGGCAGGTCTTTGGGCCCCCGGGCCTCAAGGGGGGGGGCATGACCCATGTGACCCCCCCCCTTGGATCCGCCCCTGCATTGCTCTAACACTAGCACGTGACTACCGCAAGACGTCAGCAGAATAGCAGCGTGCTGCTATCACCGGTGAAACACCACTCAGGTATGCACGGTATATCGGCGTTAAATAAAATTGTACCGGTAAATGACATAAGCGAAATCGCTCGAAATATTTTGCTTGTAGTGTAAAGAATATTATTGACTTTCGCTAAAGACCGGATGGATAACCCGCACCACCGATCAATATTTAACTTATAGGGTGATTGCATCGATTAATGTGTGCACAGCTCACGGCTGAATACGAACAATGTCGGCAGCCGCCATGACTATACAGCACAGACAATTACACTGTGTAAAGTACGGTGCTTCCACGGGCCAAAGTTCGCGCAGTTGTCCGACAAATGGACCGACTCCATGCCTATTATACGGCCTTAGCTCCATGCTGTGCCACTTGCCAGTGCGTTGTGTCCTGACACTATCAGGGGTAGGTATTTACTCGATCAATGCACACCTGTCGGAATGTCGGCCCTTACCATCCAGTCCTTGCCGCCCCAGCTCTGTCCATATGGTCCGCTAGGACGTGTGATACTGAGGTTATCAGTAGAACGCCAAAATATTCAGGAAGGACAGTTCTACAATTTTACATTATATCCAACCAGTAGCGCGCTCGTCTACTAGCGGCAGGGAATTTAACGTAAAAAGAAAAATTTCATTCTATTCTAATGCAATAATGTTCCACAGACCTTCATCGCCAAACGTCCATAGACCATATGCTCTATTCAATAATTATCACTACAACAACTACATCAATTTTTTACCACCTATTAGCAGACAGACACCCTTCTGGATCCTTTCACATATCCGCCCACCGTAACACATTGGGAGTCTCTGGGAGCGGCGCCCGCCCGTCCCAGTCGTCTGTACCTCGTCTCTGTACCCCTCCCCTCTCCTCCCTGCCAGACCTATGACAGAACGACCTGGCGGCACGGACCGATGCCGTCCCCACTCGGCCACATTGGTTCCGCTACGGTCGATATCAGCGTGAATAACACGACATGTAATTACAGGTGGACACATGAGCACGCGTTGTGAGCGACGAGCCCGGATGAGGCGGGACAGTCGTGCAGAATTTCTGAAATCGCGAGAACTTCACGAACATATGCTCATAGACCTGTGTCTAAATAAATTGCTATGCCATGGTTGGAAAAGTCGAGATACGTAGACAGACACAGCGAAGCATTCTTAAAATGTTTCGCTATATGGTCATTTTCTTCCGTTATGTGCTACATCGAATAACGTCGTCTGCACGAACAACGTCAAATTACAAATTAATGGAGAGTGCAGTTTCATTTTATAGTATCTGTTTAAATGCAGTGATGTACCACAGTGACGATACAAACCCTACAAGTATGGCCATCTTATGAAAGAAGACAGTTTATAGTGTAAAATCATTAAAAAACAGTACAATTTAGGAATATTTTATCGTTTATCCTACGTGATCGACAAACACATAACATAAATATATGCTCCAGCTTCTTCTGTAGCCCCGGTTACACGTCCCGTCGCCTAATTTCCGCCGCCAACATCACACACTGTCAGGCGCCTGACAGCTCTCTGTCAAGTGGGCAACGGCAGTTAGGCCAGCCCGGAGCGCACCAATGCCATGCGGCACAGTCTAACTGGCAGGCCACTTACAACTTTCGTTCTACTGAAGGGTTAGGGGATAATAATAAAGCACTTTCGGCAATATGCGAGGCGAGTGAGTTTATAGGTGTAAAATGTGAGCTCATACAAACCACCTTCAAGAGCACCTAAATATTTGTCATATAAAATTTTAGTTTAAGACTTTGAGGGGAGGGGAGAAGCATTCTCACACACCCGCTAACTTGACTCCTGGGCCGCGAAGCAAAGAAATAGCAAGAGCTGGAAATAATCATATCAAAATAAGAAAGCATAAGTCCTGATATTGAGGCCAAATGCCAAATTTCCTTATCCTGACCTTTTTGGAATCATTGGCTTACACCTCGTGAACAAACACAGTCTTATTATTGGGGATAGGTATTGATAGATCTTGTGAAACTCCGTCGCTTACATGCCCTCAAACTAAGGTGACCCAAAATATCTTCGGCCTTAGACCTCTACTTTTGTCTTCTAAAGGCTTTCGATCGCCGCCTGCTGCAGGCATCGGCGGCGGAACGGGGAGGGCACCGAGCCACCGTGCCCCCCTTCATTTTGGCATTTTAACATTAGCCCTATGGGCGTTGCATGGAAAGAATGGGACCAAAAGTCGGCAGTGCCCCCCCTTAATTGAAGGTGTTCCGCCGCTACTGGCTGCAGGTATGTAATGGTCTAGCTTCATTGCGTCTACGTCTGTTGATAGACTCGAGCCATGCACTATTTCATTTTCGGTAAGTTACCCAAGATAATTACCAAGCATAGCAGACTGAGTTGTCCAAGACCTTCTTCCGTAATTAGGCCCGCGACTCATGCGATGCTCGCTCAGGTAATACCGGACGATGTCCTTTTGGATCGTTGGCACATTCCCGGGTGGTGTTATTAATCGGAATTAATACATACTTTACGGTGCGTTCACTGGAGATTAACCGTGTGTTAATTCGAAGGTAGCCGTGCACCAATTTAAATTGGTGCACGCGCGTGCAGTGATGAATTTCTCGACGGAAGTTTTTCGGAAGGGTGATTGACTTTATTCTAAGAATTCCCATAAAAGCCCTTTTAGTGTCATGAACTAAGCTTCATTTTGATTTAAATTCGCACCGTTAAGCATGTATTAATTAGTTTAACACATGGTTCCCGTGCATAAATGGTTTTAACGCACTCGTGGATGGAATGGAGCACTCGTGCGTTAATGCACTCGTTTCACTCGTGCATAAACACACTCGTGCTCCAATCCATCCACGTCGTGCGTTAAAACCATTTACACACGGGAACCCATGTGTTAATATATATTGCAGGTCCATATGCGACCATAATGGTGAACTAATCAACCATCATAAAGGTCATGCATCAAAACTGTCGATCATAGTGAAAGATATGACAATGCCGGGGTAATTGCTCCAGTCGATGCCGTAGAAATTCGTTACTTTCGGTAACAGCAACATTGATAGTACCTATGCCAAAGTACCATCCACATTCCACCTTTTCCTTTTTTTACCCAGTCTCAATTCAGGAAAGGGACATAAACACGGGGAGGAACGTTGTAGGACGACGTGTCTGCCTGTGAAACCTTTGGAGTTTAGTAGAATCATCACTCACCGGTCCAGGTTTTCCAGTGAGTTATCAGCTCTGGATCGTGCTGCTGCTGCATGGACTTGAACGCCATCAGAATACACGCCGTCTCGCTCGACTCTGGGCTAACGCCATCAAATGCAAACTTGTGCACCTGTCGGAACAACCCTGTGGGAACCGAGGTTTATTTCTAAAATAAAAGCATTGCGAGACATGATAGGTATGTCCGTGAAGCGAACGGCATCGGCACTCGGCAGTAAATAATTCCACGACGATAATCTTAGCTGCTAATCAAACTCCTTCCAAAAACACAAATCAACATACCACGTAAATAGGTTGTGACATATTTAAATCTCTGAATGACCACGGTGAGTGCAGACCTTACCCTGCTGGGTGAGTGTCCTGTCGTCGATGAGGCCGGACGGCAGGAGCCGCGGCTGACCGGGCCCGTCCCCCAGCAGAGGTCTCAGAGCTGCCGGGCTCTCCTCCACGTGAAACACGGGAAACTGACCTGTCCAAAGGAGGCAGACCATCGGGGGCGAATTAGGGCGTTAGACCTACCCGTTGGTTTACCATTCCAAATGCATATGCTTTTGCTTCACGGCAAAACGCAACAGCTCATAAGCATCAACATGAGTCAAGGCGATTCAAAAACCGTAAAAACCGATAAAAAGTTAGGCAAAACATATAACCGTACCAAAACCGTAAGAAAACACCTCAAACCAGTGACGTGGCGCCGTCTCCCGAATCCCGTCACGCTCACCCCCTCTGCGGTACATGTCGTTGGGCTCTGTGGTGACGAACGTCGTGCCGCTCCTGTCGAATTTCCCCGTCCTCCTGATGCGCGACAGGAGCTCGCGGTTGGTCGTGTCGCTACCGTCGTTGGGTGGCACGAAGAATGTCAGGCACGCCGCCGGCATGTCGTTCGTGATCTCAGTCCGCGTCGCCGCCGGCATCGTCCCCGGCGATAGACTTATAGCGTCTGAAAAGAACGAGTAAGAGATCGGTCATGCGTGCATAATAAACATCACGGATTGAGAAACGCTGCGAAGATTTGATCAATCGGCTAATAAGCGATCGAGATGATTCATTTTATTCAACGGAACGAATTGAAATCTTTTGCGAAGCCTAATTAGCTACTCACCAGCGATGGCAGCCAGCCTCCCTCTTCCTTCTCAACGTTCACAGTCTATCGTCGCCCGCCTTCTCCGCCCGGTCCTGGACGCGTGCCTCTCCACCAGCACGCCCCGGTCCGCCGCGTGCCGGGCGCGTCCGGCCGACCGCCGCGGGCTACTGACACTGGACACCGCCGGAGGGCAGACGGACGGTCACCGCCCGACGGCGACACGCCACCGCGGTCACGGTCAGACAGGGGGGGGGGGGGCAAACAGACAGCGGCCGCCGCCGGCTGATAGGGTAAATATCCGGAGTCATGTGTCGTTGGTGAGCGGTGAAATTGTTCGACAGACTCGCCCCCTGTGCCATGTTTGAGTAAATGTGTCTTACAGGTTACATATTCGCGTGGCATTACTTCGCTGGCGCCAAACTAGCCATAAGTTCTCTATTTCATCAAACACCTTAAGTATTTTTATTTCATTGAATATCATTACGAGATTCGAAGAACCGAACAAGATTGTGCTCCCACCCGAAAATTTGCATTGCATCACGCATTCTAGTTTGTTTGCGTAACGCGCTATTATGTGGTATTATTGCGGTATTATCCTATAGTTTCGGTAAAATTTATTTCTTAGCAAACTAGCACTACTGGCAACCTGTTCATGTGATTAGACAGTCGCACGTCTCCACCAACGGGAACTACACACCTCGAATAAGACATCAGATGAATTTACATATTTTATTTGAAAAATAGCTTTCGACACCGTTACAGCAGAGTGTGTATGACGCCAGTCTTAGCCTAGGTGACGGCCAGCTTGACTTGAGGCCGATAGGCGTTGGCAACTACAAAAGCGGATAGAGAAAAGGCCAGCATATCAGCAGTCGCGCTCGCTCAGCCTCGCACTAACCAGCTGACTGAACTCCTATAGGGATGGCGCCGGGAATCTCGTATGATTTGAGTTGATCACGTCATACTCAACAAACCGGAAGACTAGAGATGTGGAAAAATATCATCGGGCGGTGGATTAAAATGATCCATAGTATTTTCCACATAAGTACAGTCACAGCTCTATTTCATGGGCATAACGAAGCTGTTCTGTCGAGAAAATAAATATAACATTGGATCCGACCTTAAATAGGAGAAGACTGATAAACATAAACGCATGAAAATCCTGTAGAAATCTCAGACAATCCAGCTTTACCGATACGTACGTACACTCCACAGGTCCAACACATGCCACTACGTATTACCGGTCGGAATTTCATAAAGCTGATGGAGTAGCTCCATTGCCCTAATTGGGTGCACGCTCATCATAGGCAAGGCACATTCAACATAACAAAACGCATTGTCGCACAGCTAATCGCTCTTCACATCGGGCTGCGAGCTTATCAAATAGTGAACCTACACGAGCTTTAAAAGACGGAGGCTCTAAGGGTGTACAGTCCGGGGGCGGCGAGCGGCCGGTAGTGGCAGTCCCCACGGACCACCGCGCCCCAGGGGCCGCCCGGGGACAGTGACGCAGCGCCATAGGCCGGGTCACGCGCCGGTCAGACGTTCCCTCGGCGCTCACATGGACGCGTTGAACTGAGCGATCATCGACTTGACGTCGTCGTACTTGGGCCGCTCCTGGTGGGGGGGGGGGGGGGGGGACAAGATCTCGGTCAGACAGAGGAAGGTAGGCGCCGAGGTGGAGGGATGGGTATCAAACAGTCGTGACACAGTTGAATATCAACCCTTTGCACAACGCTATCAAGACGAAAGGAACTTTGAATAATAAAAGAAAGTAGCTGACATTATACTAGCACAATATCTCGCTCGCAAACAAATTACTAATGAGCTATTAACATATCTATTACATTCACAACAACGTCACTAGCTCGTATACAGAGTGCCTTAAGGTCTACCTTCGGTCCACCTACCACACCTGCCAACGTGTAGAGTTACACATGCATCCTCAAATAGACTATCTTTGTGCGCTAGTGTACCGGGCTGCAAGCCGCAAGTGCTGTGAGCTATAATCATTATTGGGCACTCCATGAACACCAGTGACTGTCCCTCCGGCGTCATAAGCATGGTTCTGAAGGTTCAAAGTAGACACGAAATGAGTGGAACATTCTGAAACCTCGCACGGTATCGTACTTAAACATTCATTCAGTTTCATTCCATGGCATATTTATGAAGGAAAACAGTGCAACACACAATGATTGCGCCTCGTAACACTTCAGGCAACTGGCAAGTAATTCGAGGTTAGTTTTCCGAAGCCTGCCGACTGGCAATATAACAGAGGAACTTTCCATTTAAATGCGTGCAAATGACGTATAATGCTGGTAACAAAGCATTCCCATGTTAATGCTATTTTTTTTTAATTTGGAAATTCTGGGCGTCACATTTTCTACAGCAAAAAGTGTGACAATCACAACAATGTCTTAGTTTGACATCACAACTTTTACCGGTAGAAAATGTAACGGTGAATGTACTGAGGAAAAATCGGCTACTGTTGCTGGAATGATTCCCAAATAATGACATTACCAATTTACAAAAAAAAAGAACGTGTTCGTCTTGAAATTAGTAGCATTCGCTTAGGAGAAAGCGTTACTTTAATTCACTAGATTCGATTCACTGCAATTATCTCTAATGAGGGATTTACACTGATAAGGTTAACTTACTGCGGCCAGGCCGATTGCGAAATAAGAGACAAAGAAAGACCCAAAGAGACAAGCTCTCAAGACACGACAATTATATACAACACAAACGACGATGATCCAGAGAAACCGTCACCGAGTGACATCTAGGGGCCAGAGAGTCGGTGCTCGCTCAGAGAGAAAGAGCAGTCAAAAGAGACCGAGAAGGAAGGGTACACAGATAGAGGGACAGACTAGCAGTGAACTATCAGTCGGGCGCGCAGACCCCCCGGCCATGCTGAGGGGTACGTACGCTGGCGGGCACCTCAAACAGAGAGTCGTTCCACGAGGGGAACAGCGCCTTGAACGAGGCCGGCTCGTTGCCCTCCTTCACTTGGATGACGGTGGCGTCCTTGCGAGGCGACGGGTCTGTCTCGACAAACTTCTGCAAATGGCCGGAAGAGACTGGTCAGCGAGACCAGCGGGCGGAACGGGCACAAGGCTGACACGAACACACACAATTGAGGCACATTACCGTTATTTGTTGGTACTTACCCCCTCGCTGCTTCAGCTATAAGCTTATGAGATACGCATGAAAAACCTTTAAGAAAAGGAAGTATAAAAATCGAATATCTTTAGTACTATGTAAGATAGCTTCTTCCGCACTGCTACGAACCATCACTGCGAATCTAGTGGTTTCGAAGTTTCTTTTAACTCAATCAATTATGATTTAATACGACTGATCGAACTGAGACGCTTTGCGCTCTCCTGCAGAGCAATCTGACCCATTCTCACAGCCCCTTGACAGCCTAGACCATACCTTGGCCAGCTGGAAGGCCTTCTCCTTCTCCATTGCGCTGGCCTCGCTGCCGATCCAGCAGTACACCTCGTCACCCGTATCCACCAGCATCACGTCGTCGTCGTTCAGGTCCTGTGGACAGCGGAACAGGAGAACAGTGTTATACAAAGTCACTTTGGGGTCACCGTAGGTGAAAGATTTCATCGGATGTAGCTGACGTCATGGGAGGTAACAGACATAAAGCAGCATCGCTGAGTCCGCAGAGGCTACTGGAGTCGGCCAAATCAGACATGGGAGAGGCAGGATAAGGACAGATACGACACAGCGACTGTATTTGACGATACCCGTCGAAATAGTTACGACACACGTCACACACAATACGTTATGTTCTGCTGTGGCATTGGAAACCGTTCGCAATTATTGACTTAAAAAAACAATTGAAGTACAACTCCCTTGCGGCCAAAGACCGGGAAAGCCAGCCATCCATTATTTCATAGACATGAACAGCCAGCAGCAATCAGTAGACATCAAGTGAAATGGTTCAGTGCACTACAAATTTCTACTATCCAATCTCCCCTAAAACCCTACACCGGGCATGAGTCCCCTCCCGCTCCCCACTCACGTCCTGCTCGAAGCCGTCCAGCTCGTCCACTATGAAGTTGCCGCTCTTGTTGATGCTGCAGTGGATCAGCTTCTTGCCGCGGACCGGCGAGCTGGGCTGGTGGGAGCCCATCTGATCGGGCGAGGCGTCCAGCGCCGCCCAGAACTCCTCCGGCTCCTCGCCCTGACGTGCAGAGCGGACGCCCGACGCAGGGTTAGCGGATATTCCAGACGTCATATAACAGAAACGCAGCGTTGGTGGGCATGACAGAAACGCTACTCTGGGCATGACATGAAGGACAGACGCAGTGTCGATCATTTGAAAAATTTGAGGAGCTTCGACAGTTCGTGGTTATTTAGATAAACGCCAAGACACCTTAACAAGGCTATGACACAAGGCCAGGGGCTCTAAGTTCATAATCTGTCTCCAGATCATCATATGTCTACCTCACACCGTTATTGTTTTCTCACCTGGTTGATGACCTGTGGCTCGGCGTCCGGTGACACCAGGGCGGCGATACTGGCAGACACAGACTTCTCCTCCTCGCATGCTTGCTGTGGGATGGGATGGGAAGGAGGTTAGACGCAGGTCTACGTCTCTGGAACATGGGTGACGTGAGACGTGGTACCGGTCACCAGCACATCAGCTGGGGGTCGAACACAGGGAGGCAGTAGCGGTAATAATCGCTGGTGGCAGCGTGGGACTGAAACTAAGTCCGAGCTATCTCAAACTGGTTACCTCAAAATCGAATAACCGTGAATCTCACTAGAGCTCTGCTGTTACTGTTATATAACCTGTCATGCTGCGTAGCGTTACAATTCAGTACAACATCGCCCGGACCTATCCCAAATAACAACCCGTCTCCACACCACCGCGTACCTGTCCGTTCCAGATGTAGGTGGCGCCCGGCGTCTCCAGCACGAACACATCGTCCGGACTGAGGTAGGCCGCCTGCTCGGGCACCTGCACGGCGCGCGTGTCCGCCTCGCACGTGCCGCGCACGTGGAACATGCGCGTGCCGTCAGCGTCGTACGTGTCGTGGTCGTGCACGTTCTTGAAGCCGCTGGCGTGGCCGCCCATAAAGACGATCATCTTGCCTGGTGAAAAGAAAAACGGGCGAATTAGGAAGGTATTTAGACGATATTTGCACCAATACAGTCACTACAGTCACTATTATAGCAGCGAAAACATAGTAATGTTCCACATAAAAGTCAAACAGACGAAATCATGAACTGCATGTTGCCGCTGAATGAAGCGCTTTCCTCTCCATGCATCATATATCAAGTCACACACACGCTTCTTTTCTTATTTCCGAGCGACTTCCGCCTGTTCACCTACCCTTGAAGAGCATGAGGAAGTGGCGGGGCTCCTCGCCCTGTGAGATGCGGACCTGGACCGCCTTTCCGCCCAGCTCGTCGTCCATTTTCACCGCCTGCAGCGCCGAGGCCGCCTTCTCGTCCTGGGAGCTCTCGTTGCCCTGCCGAGGGTGAGGTAAAGACGTTCAATGTGTGATCAACACTCGGGGAATCGGTTATACCCAGCATACCTACGCTGAGTAAGAAGGAAAACACACGGCAGCTTACACAGTACAGTGTTCTTTTTCATAGATTAAAACTATTAATAGAGCTACGAATTAAATTGGACAAATTAAAACGAACCAAGCATGATAGATCCAAGCTTTCCATGCGACACATGTCTGACAAGTGAACTAGGGAACAGCGATTAGCCACGTGACTCCATGTCTGCTGTCTCGCTACTCGTTCTATGCAGCAATCAGGCCGGATCCACATTGTGCCACTGCACACACCTGCCAGAAGTAGATGATGTACTGTTCGCGTCCCTCCTTCTCGTAGGTGTACTTGATGACGTACGAGTCGCCGCCGAAGAACATGCCGTGCGCCTCCTCCGCCACCGGCGCCAGCTCCATCTCCTCGATACTGTACAGAGACAGAAAGGGAGTAACGTTAGATGAATGATGACTTATTAGCTAGTTTGATGATACTTGTGAAAATGTACAGCGATTCGACCACTTCAGACGGTTCGTGATTTCTGCGATTCGGCAGTAATGTCTTCAGGCGGAAAGTATAAATAACCTATCTACGATCAACAAAACGCAGCACGAACACGAACTGTGTCAGCGAACTATAAAGACAAACTTCTTGGAAGCGTGCCTCCTAGGCCCCAAAGTTAGATTACTCCAAATCACGAGCTTTGTCACGAGGGGCATATAACGCAAAAGTTTCCAAAGTCAGAGAGGAACCGTGACTGGTACTGACCCTTGGTATGCCTCTATATAGGGCCTTGGTACTGACCGACATCAGACAAATTCAAGCGGGTCTCCATCAGAGTTAACCTTGTACGCAGCCCTCACCGGTAGATTTCGACCGCTCCCGAGGCGTCATCAGGCATGAATCCGATGGCGCTGCCGGCCGACTTTTTCACCAGGTGGCGGCGCTCCTCCGGGGAGCGAGCCGACAGGTCCAGGTTGGGCAGACTCTCTGTGGGAGGGGGGGGGGGGCACGTCAGACCGACAGTTCACCAGGCAGCGAACGGATGCCCGCTCAGGCAGCGAGCGCACCTCACCATGTAACGATCAGTTAAAGGTAGTGTGCCAGCTTTCTTGGACCGTATGGAGTTAATGGCCCAGATAAGGAGAACCGGATTTTTAGAACTTATCCATACCTTCAAAACTCATGGAAACGTCTTAAATTCTTCAAATTTTGAGTACCCCAGTGCGAAATTCGCCCCGACGGGTTGTCGGTCGTACCCCAACCACATTTCACACCACTATGAACAATAAATGCACACACTGAAATCGCTATTACCGATATGCTCATCCAATCAAGTTTCGATAAACCCGTTCATCATCATCTCCTGCGGTTTCGAACACGCCTGTTAGGTGGCTTCTGATGCTCGTCGAGGTCGGAATTTCCAAATAAGCGTGGTGCGTCGGGCCGCGCGCTCTGACTTCGGCCAAGAAAAATGCGTCAGCTGATCATTGTCATTTCTGCCACTTGCGTGTGGTGAAATGGGGTCATAACTTATAAGACGGCTTTTTCATATCAATTATTTTACATAAAATCATATTTCAAACCATAAATAATGTTCGACAGCCGAATAAAAGAAACAATACCAATACGGGCTTACAGTTTAAGGCTCGACATTGTGTTGTCTACGATTAGACAGCTGATAACTCATTCCCGTACGTCGTATGGTCGTAACACTATAATGACCTTTGCTTATTGTCACAAGTGCGCCGCATTCGCGATTGTTGCCCGACGCCTGTTTGCAGGTGAGCCCACTACAGTTGTTATACATATCTAAAAACCGAAAAACTTTTAGGCGAAAAAGGCACTATTCCAGGCCCATTTTTGATTTTTTTTGCGATATTAGGTAAAAACAGAAGCTTCTTATCCTAGGAAAAATAAAATGGGAAATCTTTCAAAGGTGGCACACTACCTTTAAGCAGCCTAAATATAGGACATTCCGCCCTACCAATATGCAGTAGCTTGGTCCTTCATTTATCTTCAGTCATATCACACAATAAGTAATAATCATTCTATGTAACACAAATACAATTAAAATGTTACATGACTAAATCAAAGGGGTCATTATCCTATACAGTCACTTAAGTCACTCAGTTACAAATACAGTACAGTTGAGAGCATCGTTTACACGGTAGAGCTACTTTCGATCGCAAAGCCGTTAAAAGATAAAAAAGTACAGTGAGCTGCTCGATAGCAGCTATGTTGCAGGTAAGTACCCGCTTAGATTAAAAATATGAGTTGCTTTTCTGATATACCAACCGTTTCCGGAAGCTGCGTGCGTGATACAAATTAATTGTAAGGTGTGCGTTCATAGAACTCCGGAAGGTATACAATACAAAGGATTGCCTGCTGTGCAAGGAAATAAGGGAAGTGCACACGAATAATAATTCTAAAAGATAATCAATGCGGTTGTGAAGTGCAAGTGTGGAGGCAAAGCGAATGTAAATCGTTAACGTCGCATTATAGGCAAATGCATTCCTGAATTCTTTATATCTGCGATGTGCAAAGCCAAAAGCGCCCACACATGTCGACCAATGGATCAATACTCAGCACACGGCATAACTTGAAATAAAGTAACATATGTGCACAACAACACTATTTCAGCTTCTATGTATTCATAAACATAATTTCCAGCCCACAAATTACTACATAATGTAGGCCTAAGCCAGTGCAACTTAAGCATTACCAAGTGCTCTCTACCCAGAAACACTCTGTACTTGGACAGCCAGGCCCATTGCCAAAGTCTGCTGGGACCATAAACAGCCCAGAAACTCACCAGCAATCTGCTCCTGAGTGTAGACCTTGCCGAGGCCGACCTGCTCATCGTCGTCCACCCAGCGCTCAAAGTACTGCTTGAACACAGCCGGCTCAGCGTCCTCGACAATACGCTCCACCTGCGGTTACAGGCGGGAGGGTCAGGTCAGGTTGGGTCAGATCGAGTCGCGCCAGATCAATATAGGTCCGGCAAAGTAGTCGGATACGGTCGTGATAGCCGGCATATATGAGAGTTGGGCTACATTATTAACACTATATTACGATAATTTTTAAACATTTCATTTGAGACCATTTGTGACCGCCAAACAAACAGCTCCAACATGACAACCAGATCGCTGATCCACCACTCTACAGTTAATAACCAGGCCAGTGATTTTCCACTATTCAGTCACTGAACTCCAATCGCCCCCAGTATCTCGTAATATCTCTCACCTTGGTCCAGACAGGCAGTCCCTTCTGCTCCATGTATTTAGTGGCCTTGTTCACCGCCGACTCTTTCTCCGCCTTGGTGCTCTCGCGTCCGATCCACACGAAGAACCCGGAGGCGCCCGTGTCCAGGATGAAGCAGTCCTGGGAGCCGGACTGGTGTCACGGCGGGGAGCGGTCAGCCGGGTCACACAGGTCACACGAGGTCGCACCGGGTCAGCGGTCCGACCGGCGCCGAGGCCGGAGCGCAGAAGCGGACGGTACAGCCAACGAGCTACCACCACGCGACGGATTATTACCAGCGGTAGAGCCCATAAAAATTGACAAAATTGACCAGCGCCAGGGTCAATGCACAAAATACGACGAGACGAGACGTACACGACACTTATCCCAGCTGAAATTACGCGATAAGCAACTGATAAGGAATGAGCCAAACATTCAATATATGAACAAATACACAAATAAGCCCACCGAATGTTTTTGAGTGATGTCATATACTGCATACATTTCAGGTGGAATCACTTCCCAGAAATTGACATGGATAATGTAAACGTGAGTCAATCGTGACGAAGTGGTATTAGCGACAAAACGGAATTCCATTCTTTATATATCGTGCACCAAGGCCTGTCATGCCAGCTACATTCACAGCAAAGCATGCACATTGTCAATGCAGTAATGTAGAAAACAAAATGGTTGCAGTCGAAGTAGATGAACAGAATAATTGCGCTAATATATTCAATGATGCATCATATCCGTGAGTTATTTATCGTCAGTGAATGAGAATCACGGGTACAATAATTATGCCATCACCAAATACTGGATGAGTGCCGAGTGCGAGATCGTTACTGGAAGTTACATCTAAGGTACCTACATCTGAAAAGAACGACAGGCTCCAGGCAGCTTGATTGCCATTCAGCTTATATTTAACGACGTTAACGGCTAAAAGCCATTGAAAGTGTAACTAAAAAGGCAACCACGAGTCCAGTGATAAAGACTAGCAAGGACAAACAATTTTCACAAAAAAATCAACATCATGCAGAACGCCAAAGTAAACGTGAACAACCACACCGTAGCAGAGCCTCTCCTTCAAAACCAGGCCACCAAACTCATGCACCGTGCACTTACCTCCGATTTGAGCATGTCCTGAGTGAGCGGCCGGCCGCCGACCTCCTCGATCTCGACGGAGTCGTCTCCGCCGTCCGACACCTTATACAGAGTGACCTCCTTCTACAGAGAGGTCAGGGGAGGGTGGCCGGGTCAGGGGGAGGTCGCCGAAAGGTTCGAAGGAGTGGCTTTGTAAGGGATGCACATTTTGATGGTCACTTCCAAACGGAAATATCACCAGACTCCCTGTTAATGTCAAATTGCGAACGAGCTCGTTGGCTTCTGATCCCTTCTAAGATACATAATTATTTCACGATAGTTCAATTGCTAAGCAAAACTTCAAGTGAACGCTTCAGCCGTACGAACTGCAAAGCTACCCACGACAAGCCAGGTTTATGAACGACAATCATCTCTGAAGTCTTTCTTCGTTGTTACCTGTTCGTTCCTCTCGTGGCTGACGTCATCATCGGCAGCGGGCGCGTCGGCAACGTCGTCGTTGGAGCCGCCGCCCAGAGCCTCGAAGAACGCCTCGAACTCGCCCCCGTCGGCAAACTCGTCTGAGAGAGAGAAACCGGGCGTCAATTCATTAAATAACTCGCAACAATCATCAGTTGAATTATTAAAATGCACTGTTTTTATTTAGGCGATGACATTAGATATCTAGAGCGTGAGGCTACTCAAAAGCAATATAAGGTCTAGGGAGCTGCCAACCATGTGAGCAAAAGCCGGTCAGGCCGGCGATGGCTCCTCAGTATAATTAGAGGTTTCTGTGGATTCCCTTCGGTCGCTATCGTCGTGTAGTTGGCCTAAAGGCGGCCTTCTCCAGGACGCAATGGGAGGATGTCGGGCGGTAGTTCGGCCCCTGTCAGCCCCAGTTACGGCCACCACAGCAGCTCCCAGCCCCGACCAGCCTGAGCCCCGGGGAACAGCGAACTCTTCGAGCTGCAGCAGCACCTCCCCAGTAACACCCGGCGGCAGATCTGCAGGGGAGACGGAAATAGCCGCCCGTCTCCCAGACGCTGCCCGGCCCCCGCTGCGCCGCGCCCGCCGGCGGGTCGACGTGGCGAGGGGTGACGCACCGCGGCGTCCGGCGGCGCCAGATGACGCCTGGCGCGCCGCCGTGACGAGCGGCGCCAGGTGTGACGGGTGGCGCGTGACGGGCCGCGCACGAGAGGCGTCACCGCCAGACCGTGACGTGCAAGGCAAACGGCAGACGGCCGAGTGCAGGAAGGGTAATAGGGCGATAATTTGTTTGATCACGACATGAAGTTCATGGAACTTTCACAACAGGTCGGCACCAGTCGGACCTACACCAGTCGAGTGTCGGAAGCTCATTTCCAGACTTCCTATCGATTTGCGATTGAAATCCTGCAACAGAGCTGAACATCCATTGCATGCAATCTATTTTAAGTTTGGCCATAAATAAAACTGGTAATCGCTGTCAATCTTAAACAGGCACATCGTTATGCTGTCACGAGTAGATCAGTAGATCATGACGTTCTTGCGAAATGCATTCCTTTGAGTTTTATCTCCGCAATCCTATGATTCGGCCGTTGAGTTTTTATTTGCAGACTTTGCAGCTTTTAACAAGCACGGTGCAGCTCACTGCTACACTGTTGGTGCGTCATTAGTACCAGAGCGGAACACATAGGCCGACACCATCTGACGTGCTTATTTTCACGGAAGTTGGAGCCTTCTCAGGCGTGCAGGAAGGTGTGCCTAGATCCAGAGCTGGCACCGTTCCAAGGAAAATAGACTGGAGGGTAAACGTGCAGACGGCAGGGGGAGGTGGGAACAAACAAAAACACGAGGCTCGCCGTGATGCATATAGCTTCGCCGGCGCTGCGGAGGAGAAAGGGACATGAACAGACTATTGGATGCATGGAAAGCGACATAAATTATAATCATCTTCAGTATGCAGGGGGAGCGATGCTTGCAAGCAACAAAGTGCATCGAAACAATGTCCTGCGTTAGTGGCATAGGCCCATGGTAGCACCCCATGGACAAAGTCCCTTGGCTGGCCTTTCCTGTCTATACTCACTCAACGCGATCGCCCCTACCTGATATCCCCATCCCCCAGTCCATACCCTGTCTCATCTACCTTACCATTACCTCGCTGATGATGCTCAAACCATGATCAAACTCACCGAGGATGAGCACCTTGGCTCCTCCGGCGTGATCGTTGTCGCGCATTTCCGTGGCCGACTGGATGGCTTTGAGTCTCTCTGTGCGCCGGCTCTCCGGTCCCGTCCACACATAGACCGTATCCACGGTGTCCAGGATGAAACAGTCGCCCTTGTTCATCGAGCCCACGCCCATCTCCACCTGAAAGTCATAGGGAAGGTCAGTTCAGATCAGGTCAGAATGCAGAAAAAAACATGGTAAAATAGTTCGGGAACGGGCCGACGGCAAGAACTCTACTTACTAAACATCGATGGTTCGGCATGTGTAGCGACGCCCACTACCCCTCATCTAAGACGTTTTATGAAAGCCCTTTCATGTAAGCTTTTAAGTATTCAGTAAAACAGACGCTGCGCCTATCGAGACAGTCATTCGATCAATCGGTCTATTGGTCTCCTTGACAACCGCCACCCCAGCAGCGGCGGTAACATTGTCAGCCTACACATGTCGATGCGATGAATACACTGGACCTCCACTGACTTCCAAAACTCGACCCACGGTCTGTTTACGGCCATGCCTCGGTCAATGAAATGTCATGTTTACAATGAGACTAACGTTGAAAGGCTCTGTCAAACTTCAGTTTAAAAGACATCGATGTTTCCCAGCCACGAGCATCGATGTTTCAAAAGACCCAAAACAACACAACGCCAAATAACCAGCGTCTGCCAGTTTCCCACCCACCGACAGATGACTGTCTGCCCATCTCACCTGGGTAACACGGACGTTGCGTCGGCCCTTGACCTGGAACAGTGCCGGCTCGTAGTCGTCGGGGTCGACATGACGGAACCCGCTGGCCACGCCACCCTTCAGGTACTGGATACCTGCTGGGCGCGGAGGGGACAGGTCACACAGACGAACTTGCAGGGCCAGGGACAACGAGATGACGGTCAGGTCACCCACGAACATAAGGGGTCAACGGGCGACGGCGCGGTCAAACGCGGACTCGCATGTCGCAGGACTAATGCCACGACACAGGGTCAGGTTATATGTACTCCGTGGGGTTAACTTAGCCATTTGAAGGTCTGTTGTGAAAAAAATCTAGAGAATATTCTGGTGTGCAACTAAACGCCAAAAATACGGTCCCAAGGCAAGACAAAAGTGCTTGCCATGCGGTCTCTCCTTATTTGTTCAATGGCGTCAAATGTTGCCACTTCATTTCTCTGTTCGCCCATTTCAATGCGATTATGCCTGCGGCGGCCGATCGAACCTTTTTTGAAGTAGGAGAGGAAGAGGGCCGACTCGTGGCCCTGCACCTCGCGGTGCTGCACCGGCTTCCCCCCGAGCGAGTCGTCCAGCTCCACGGCCTTGATGGCGGCCGTGCCCCACTCATCCTGAAAACGACAGACAACGGCAAATGAGCATAAGCACGCTAAAGTACGCTGTCATCAATACGAGTGCTGTAAATACGTTGTTCAAACTATCCAAAATGCTCACAACCAAAGTAGATAGGTAGGTCAGTATGACTAACTAAGCAGTGTTCGTTCTAGTTAGGCCGGATGTGCGCTAGAATACCGAGACCATCCAGTGATCACGCGACGCTAGGGAGTGGAATCAGATGCCGCACGCACGGGTGATGTCATCCTATGTATCATGCACCGATGTCGACTGCGGTGAAACGCGGCCGGTATGAGGTCATCTCAGCTCTGATACGACGTCACCATCGCATGTATGACGCAGTGACGCACCCTAGCGACCGGTTCCAGCGAGCCTCGGCAAGGCGAGGTACGGATGTGACGTCATCCCACCAAGGCGAGCCGCGCGGACGTGACGTCACCATCAGGCGATATGACGCACCAGCGGAGCCGTGAGGCGCGGCGAAGGCCGAGGGTGGGGAGGAGTGCCGCATGGGGTGAGGGGTACAAGGAGTGAATGGCGAGTCGTGTGGACGTCCGCTGCGGTTTGTCTGCACGCAGTCTGCTCCCTAAAGGCGATTGAGGCTCGAGTTTAAAGGGACTATCCCACCTTCTAAAATGTTGTTAAAACCAGTTAAATTGTGCCCGACTTTATAGATTGGATGACCAGGAACACGGTTCTGGCATTTATTTTTCATTAAACATCTTAGGCTTCCCATATTTCAAACACAAACTTTCAAATATGTGACGTCACAGCCCAAAATTACCTCCTTCCCCAGGCCACATTACTGTCATAAAGCTGATTCTTTTTACTCTGTAGGCACCACAACAAAGTTCAGACCAAGTTTTAAGCGATTTTTCAACGAACAAACCCATTTAAATCAGAATGACTAAACGAGGTGACGTCACACTAACGGTCGCTCCATGTTGAAGATAGGGCCTTGTACAAGGCCCATTTTCAAATGAAGGGAACAAAATTCTTCAACACCAAGAGGCCGCGGGGGTTGCAACCTAGATAGATAGTGGTTTCTGAACCTCGCCGCAAACTTGGCTATCTCAACTCAAACCCCATGTTAAAGGTGGGATAGTCCCTTTAAAGGGACCCTCCCACCTTAACATTAGATTTGAGTTGAGATAGCCAAAATGGGGTCCCTGGCTCACAATTACCGGTTTCGGCACTCACAACATCGAGAAATGCCTTAAATCGGAAATATTGAATTTCAAAATTGCAGCATTTTGATTCAGAGGGGCTAATGCTTAGGAATACCCCTCTGAATGTGTGACGTCAGCGCAAATATCTAACGATTTTTAAATGTTTGACTAAAACGTTTTGTAGCACGCGGTGGTATATGCTATTTGCGCGCAACATCTGCCGCAAACGCCGCACTTCTAAAATGAAGTCGCTAGAAACAGCGGAGATCCCAAAAAAGTAAATAAAAGTAAAAGTCTAATATCTTGAAAACCGGTGAATATTTTTCGGTGAAATTTGGTAGATATTCGTTTTCGCTCTTTCTGAACCGAGCGACATCACTTTCATGCTAATTCATAAACTTTTTTGAAGGTGGGAGGGTCCCTTTAACAGACTGCAACGCTTGCTGTAAATACGTCGATACGTGTTGAGTGAGGGCAATTGATAGCAAATACTAAATAGCCCACCATCAACTCTTCGTTTCATAAGGAAGCGGGGAGCTCTGCTGCACTCAAGGGCCCTCAAGATGACTATGTATATGGATTGCATGACTCGTTTCGTGGCACAATAACGGGTATTCTTCCTACCGTATCAGCGACCAAACCAAACAGGAATAGCCGGTATCAAATGCATCGTGAGGAGCGCCCGTTCCGAGTCACCAATATCAAATGTATCGTGAGGAGTGTCCTTTCCGACGATCCTTATCAAACGATAGTGTTATGCCACCACCTGAGGCTTCACACAGTGGACTCAGTGATGGTAAATGATAGCACCTGTAGAAGACAGCGATACGGAGACCGTATGACATACCCACTCCGATGGCTCAGGAAGCCTTGGAGGACCGGAACCAATATTTGCTGGGCAAAGAGCAGTGTGTGTCACTGCTATTTGTAATAGCGAAAGTGCTCTTCAAGGTTCCGTTGTCCAAAGATTTGCATCACATTTAGCGGTAATTCCGTACCGATTGTTTAACCCAGAAGAAACAGAATAAAAATGAGCTACGTCGGCGAATGAACGTACAGAAAAACCACGTCACTGGCACTTACAGTCAGTTACTCCACGGAAAAGGTCACCGGACAAGTGTCCAAACGATTACCAATCGGGCTCCTTGTGACAACTTATAAAACTCGAGTTTTGAAGAGTCGATTACCTTCAGGCTTCAATGGATTAAAATTGGTATGGAAGAGAGAATTAACTATTTCTATAGCATTTAATTGAATGTCGATTGTCGATAATATAAAATAAATGCTAGGAAGGCACTGGCATCAATAAATGAGCAAGACACAAAGGATGACAACGATGACCGGCAATTGTCGCTAATTTTGTGCTATGCTATCAACACCCTTACCATTATGGCGTGACCGGTCTGATTTCTGAACTACATATTGTGACGCACCGCAACCGCCATTGTGCTGCGCGCGGTATAGCCCAACATAACACGGGAGGCCAGTCCGTTCCCGGCCGGCTGAGCGAAGCCCCCAGTCACGACAGAGCCTCATCACGGCACGTCACGCGCTGATGGCGCCCGTGAATCACGGCCGAGCGCGACCTTCCGTGACCTTGGCGCTGCGGCGGCGGGCGGTGGGGAGGGGGGAGGGGAGGGAGGAGCTGGGCCCGCAGACCCGTCCGTCTGGTCCGAAGCTGCACCATCGTCCTGAGGCGACTTGTCGAGTTCGGGCCGTGCTGTCGGGGCCTATTGCGACCATGTGGCCAGGGGCCCGCCTAGGAGTTAGTTTGACGCAGACGTTAGCACCGCGCCGGCGCCGTCGGACTCGCAGGTTCACGATAAAGCACATCCGGACACGGTCGGGCGTGATATCAGGTGGACACGGATAACGGTAAAACGTGACAGGAGCACGCTCAAAGGACGGACAAACCACTTGTCACGTCACCAAAGATAATAAAGGCAGTCGAGCACCGTTGTGGGCTAGAGGTAAGAATAGACGACAGACAGGAAACGTAGAACCGAGGCGAAATCTGGACTCGGCTCGGTTGACACACAGGGCTGACACACCAGACAAACCGGAATGGCCCGGAAAATTCCTTCTCCGTCCAGGAATCACCAGCCATGGACAGATCGCCGTTGTCGGCGTCCGCCGAAATAGACTTCAAGCCGCCGCGACCCGAGCGGCGATAATCACATGGAAGCTAGACAGACTGCGGAGTCCCGACTCCAGACTGTGGTCGACCCGTCTGGGAACCGAGCTCTGCGGTCACCGCCACTACCGAGGTTTAATACTGGGGTAGGGTCACGGTGTGGGTGCATGGACTCAAGATGCCATGAGGCATGACACCCTGTACAGCGGCTACTGTCTGGCACGCGTCGATATCCGTTATTCCTAGCGCAAATGTGTCCCGACGCATCCCGTGCAGAGCTGCCTTTCTTACATGTTTGCTGTTGGTGCAGGTCTGATTCGTACTGCGTCGGTGCTTGACCGTCGCAGCGGAAACCGACAGAGTTTCCTCGAGGATAAGTGACTCAGCAGCGCGTCAGCGAATTCACGACCAAAACTATCACGCAGCACATAAAGGAAATATGTTAAACCGACAGAATCATTTTCCGTGAGGAGCTTACTGCACTCAGACACAGACCCAGGGAAGTTGATAACAATCAACGCTACACCTACACAATCGCAGCAAAATCTCGGTTTTGTCCTAGACGGTAATTCGGTACTGTAGAAATATCACCCAGCAAAGCGAGCATTTCAGAAGTTATGCTTATTGAATGGGTCGAATGGTCATACGACACACAAGAATGCGTACCATTCCACATATTTGAGAGATAAACAGCAAGGTACGAGCGACGAACAGTTCCACACACGAGAAAAAGCCCTTTGTATGAAGTATGAAACTTTGTGTATATTGACACCCGAAACGGCTCGTGTGTGTTGACTGCCCGTGTCAGTGTTTATGACTTACAGCGCTCTGTTGCTGCCCTGAGGGGACGTCTTTGTAGTGCGAGTCTCCGCTGGCTATAGCGAAGGCCTAACGTGTATCGCCGTGTGGAGAAGGTGCCTGAATCCAATTAGGCACCCAAAGTACGAACTCGTATTTTTAGACGGCCAAACCTTCGAAATTCATTGTTTTTTTTTCAAAAGCAATGTGTAGACACTACGCTGAGTAACACAAAGGGTGCAATGGTGTATGATAAATTTCGATTAAATTCGATAACCAATGAGCCTTATATCGGCGGCACTCTCAGCAGTGCCTAAGCTACCGAGTGCATTCAAGGCATGAATGGTGGGCTGAATTGGAAGTAAAACGCGACTAACGGTCGTATAACTTCAAGGATATTATTTCAGGTATGCAACTAGCTGGTATAAATCTCACCTGTGACGACTCCTTGCCCAGCCAGAAGTGGACATCGTGGATCAGCTGGTCGCCCTTCAGCGTCGTCTGTGGGCAGAACATGCCGTCAAATGGAGAACTCTTGCCGGCAAAAGTAGAGAGGCAAAGTTTCTAGGATACATCTCGCCATAGCAAAAAAAAAGGTTTATGAGTAAATGCGAGGAGGAAATGGAGTGTGAAATTAAACTGAGATACGAAAATACGAAAAGATACTGAAAAAAATGATACGAACGCCATCCCGCACACCAGAACCGCGAGAGCCGGCCGCAGAGCGTTTCCTAGTTCCTTTCATGGAGTTCTATCGGCGGAAGCGGTTTTGCGTGTACCGCCGTCTATCACAGCGAGGTCCGGGGGAGGCGGATCGGTCACCGCGCCCTCACCGGATGTGGAACTAAGCAGATCGCCGCAGCTGCGGAATCGTTACTGGGCGCTGGAAAGGGAAGTTACATCTAAGGACGCAAGCTACATCGCTGACTGGGTGTGATACCACGGCCGCCCCGCCGCGTGGGGTAAAGGGCCGGCTTTCTCCCCAGTTCCGATTCTGCCGCGCCCATGGCGTGCGATGGGTGAACCGACGCCGTCCGCCCCCGCCCCGCCCCCGCTGCTGGCGTCGGTCCAGGTCGCTGCCATACGGGTCTGACCGACTGGCCACCCTGTCTCCACTCCTGGCAGCGGCCGGTTGGCTACAGGGCTGGGAGTCAGTCAGAAGGAAGCCCGGCAGATCAGGGGAAACTCCACTCACGGCGCACTCAACTCACCGGGTCGGGTCAGAACTAAATTCGGGCTGTCCTTTGTCCGCTATAAGCTCTCCTCAGCGTGCAGTTGACAAATAACAAATTTCAACAAAAACATAGGCTTTCCGTTTTCAGGCCGAGGGGGTGTAAAGGCCTTCAGCATGCCATAACTTTACTTCCAGTGATTCATCGAAACCAGCTAATTTGGAGAACCAAGAGCCAGTTCTTCCTTAGATAGGCCTAAACGAACGTATCAGTGGAGAACTGCAAATGCCAGCAAATAATTTTTGCGACACTTCATATGACGTGCAAGCCCACTTAAGGAAAATATGCACACGGAAAATATTATTCTCTCACGGGATAAGCGAAACGGCCAGGGACAAAGGGTCAATGCGGAAACGCTCTATATCAATGCCACCCTCTCGATGCCCCGCTCTACGTTGGAAACGATACTACCAGTATAACGCCTTTTGGGGCGACTAACGGAGCGAGCGAGAGAGTGGGCCTTGCACGTGCGAAATTGCGAGGGGGTACCTCCAACTGATTTGTGCACGGCACCCTACTAACCGGTCTCTAGCGATGTGCCAAATTTGGGCACAATCGGCCCAGCCGTTCTCGAGATCTGGAAGCGGCACCCTGCACGTGCGCACGTGCAAAATGGGTCCCAACTGACTTGTGCACGGCACCCTACTAACCGATCCCTAACTGTGTACCAAATTTGAGCGCAATCGGTCGAGCCGTTCTTGAGATCTGGAAACGACCCCTGCACGTGCGCACGTGCAGCAGCACCCCAACTCTGGCACATGGATATGCAGTGCCTAGTGGGTGCCTACCTACATGCCAACTTTGAGCGCAATCGGCCAAGTAGTTACCGAGATATTGCAACAATTGCAAAACTGACACCTCTTCGTTTTGCACGTGGCACGTGCATAAGGGGTCACCCATATGCATCGGGAATAGTCCAATACTTGGTAGAAGGAATGAAGCTACCCTACAAAATTTACCGCATGTAAATCGGTCAAGTGGTTGCTGAGATATAAGCCTCGCAAAAGCGTCCGCACGGCCGGCCGGCCGGCCGGCCGGCCGCTCATACTCAGAAATTTCCGTTATTCTACGTAAGACTCCGCTCGCTTCGCTCGCTCCGTAACGAACTATGAGGCCATAGCAATGAACCGATCGAGACGTGCAGGTAGGTCTTGTGTTATGCGTCATCAGATGTCAGTACTCAGTCATGATTTCATGTGAACGTCTCGTAGAGAAAAATGATGATGATGTTGATGTACCCACCTTCAGAACAATGTAGCAGTCTCCTTCGTAGAATTTGCCGTACTGGTTCTCAGCATACGGCTTGACTTCGAAGTCCTGAAAGACAGAAAAGGCGATCAGCAGTCAGCAGTCAGCACCTATAAAATGTCCAGTTTTTACTTCACACTAGCTTTATCCGTCACGCCAGGCGAAAGCAATGTACAAATGTTACCTAATAACGGACTGAATTTGGCACCACCGGGTGACCGCCAACGAGTGAGCGGGTGTCAGCTCCACGCCAAGTCACCAAACGGTCCGGAACTGTTAGGGTGTCTAGCGACCGTGGCGGCCAGCGCACCGGAACGGGACGGGACGGGAAGGGACGGTTACCAGACGGACGGGAAACACACCTGAATCGAACGGTAACCAGGCAGGCGAAACACCGAGGTCGAAGAGTTCCCAGCCGGACGAAACCCAGGGACAGGACGGTTCAACACCGCGACAGAACGGTTCAGCAGCAAAACGAAACTCCGGGACGGAACGGTTCAGCAGCAAAACGAAACTCCGGGACGGAACGGTTCAGCAGCAAAACGAAACTCCGGGACGGAACGGTTACCAGACGGACGAAACACCGGGCAGGAACGCTTCCGTGACAAAAAAAAAAAGATGAACGAAACTCGGAGACCGAATATGACAGACATCGCAAACAAGACATGATATTCTTACCTCTTACTTATATAAACAATGTTTACTCTTCTGGTCTTCTCTTAGTCATGCTCTGCTTCCACCCCCATCTGTTTATTTTCTCCACTTCTCCTCTCCTCTCCTCTCCTCTCCTCCCCTCCCTCTCATCCTTAGACGGCGGCAGCGGACCGCATCTCCGCTCCGTCGGCCGGCGACCCTACACCGTGACCTTGGTCGGAGAGACCACGGCCCCCACCCCCTCCCTCCCCAGCCCTCCCCCACGAGTTCGGCCACGGGAGGGATCAATGCTACCGGCTAGATAACGACCCCGTGCCGGGCGTGTCGCTATCAAAAACAGAAGGCTCTCGGGCTGGGAGCAAAGATGCGGCGACACGGAAATGGTCCCGGGTCGGGGTGGGGTCGAAAAGCCGCTAGCACGGCTCGGTTGGTTACCGTGCAGCCAACCATTGAGAACTGTAAAAACATTGGACAACTTCAAGATTCCGGGCCATAATAAGTTATCAAAAGTTGTTCAGCAGTCAAAAAGTACGGTTACTTGATAGGGAGTAGGCTATAGAAACCTAGCGAGTCGAAACAAGGTAGCAGTGCAGAAAAACGATATTCATTACAAATAGGTACAACAGAAGTTCATAATGCTTGCCGTAAGTTACTAAGTTGAATATAGAACAAAGAACAAAGACGGACCACTGCATAACCGTCTCCACCGGAGGTGAGTTCTCTCCCACGGCCACGTCGCTGGTCCCGCCGCGTGGCGTCTCAGCTCAGTCTGCCGGCGGAGCGGGGGCGTGGCACCCCTCCCCACCGGCCACCGTCACCACGCAACAACGCAGACACCGACAATGCCCAGCGGCCAGCGGCCACCCACCTCAATACGCCAGATCCACAGCTTGGCCTCCTGTCCAACTCCCTCGAAGGCGGGGTCCATGTTTGCTGAGCGGCTGAGTTGAGAAGGATAGCAGACACGTTCTCACCGGGCCGGTTTTTGGGGCGTTGTGCGACGGTGTTTGCAGACAGCGGTCCTCGAGTAGTTGGGGCCGGCGCCCGCCAGAGGCGCCTCGGTCGCGGTGACTCACGCCACTCGGCGCGGACACGCCCGCCGACGAACGGCGAGGGAGGGCGACCGCGAGCTCTCGCCGCGAGACTGGGGGGGGGGGGGGATAGATCGCCGCAACTACACCGACAGAATGATTGCATAAAAAAAACTCAAACATAGATAAGGATAACAAGATCTACGAAACGTACAGTGGATCTAGTAAGGATCTCCAGACGTTACTAGATGGCGTTGAGCCTCAGTCGAGTCCATGTCAAATTCAAGGGGAGGTCAGTACCGAGCTGGGCCCGATAGGGAGGTGGGCTGGGGGGGGGGGGGTGGTTGGCGAGGTCACGGTGCGGGTGACCTGTCAAACAGCCCCGGCGCGGTGGGGCACTGCCGCAGGCAAATGGTTCACTCCAGTGTTGTTCCATATCGCGGTGGTGGGCCGGGCGGCCGGTTAGCTTGGCTGCTTGGAAGGAAAGGATAATGAGGCATATGGGTTTGCTGTGGCCGGTTCATCTACTGTCAACTATGATGAACCCAAAGTGATGGAAATGTGATGTTGGTAATGCAGCTGGCAATGCATTCCATTGCAATGGAATGCTAGCGAATGCTCCGGGCGCCCGGCAGCTATAAGGATTACGATTATTTATGTCTCCTGAAATTTTCATTGAATATAATTCAAGCACAAGAAATATCGTATCGTTCATCAGTTTTTTGACCGGCTGGCGTTTCTTGGCCCTTGGGAAAATAATTATCACGCAGGTGATTTTTTTTTGCTGGTAAGATTTAAGGTAAAATCAAGTCGCTGAGAGAAGATGAGGAAGAGCGGACAAATGATACCACATTTTTTGCATGAAGTCCCGATTAAAAAAGCTTAAAGTTATTATACGTGTACGCTAAAAAACAATAAGATCAATTAATAAGTATTTGACCCGAAATTGGCCTCTGTTTTCTCTGACCATGATTGCGTGTAAGACACAGGTCCAACCGGGTTCAACCCGACCCAACCTGGTTCGGCTCCCCTTTTCTACTATAAATTTGGCCCGACCCTTTTGAATGAAAGGAATCACAAGGAAAGATTCCCCGCTAAGCTGAGCTTGTTGCGTTGACTCTGCCCTCTACCCTCCGATCAAGCAATTCCTGGTCTGTGGTAGAATTTATAGTCCAAATTTTAATGTGCGCACGTAGCCGCGCACGGCCGGTCCCCTCACTGACTTCGCCTGGCAGCGGCCTGCCACCAACCACAACCATACCCGTCAGGAGCTCAAAAACGTCAAGCACACGTCGCGTTTCGAACCCGGACTTTTACAACCGGGACCTGCGCTCCCACCTCACTGAGTCCAACGCCCTACCGACCGAGCTACCGGGACGGACATTTACCGAGGGGTTTCGCCTCGTGACATTGACAGACGTCAGACACTTTGGCCGAACTTTAGCCGTAGCACTGAGCAAGCTGCGCAGGGCGATAGGTGCTCGTAGCGTTTAGGTTGGGTAACCTGTGAGCTGAACGCGGTGTCGTGAGTTCGAGCCCCACTCCCGGGTCTGGTTTTATCTAGACACGAACCAAAGCCTTTCCTTCTAATGCAACACAGACAAGCACGATGACATCTTTCGCCAATATCTTTTCCAAATATCCTCTCAAAAAAGTCAAAATCATCACTTATAAATGGTTTATAAGGTTTCATTTTTAAAGAAAATATTTTTTGTCATTTTTCTGGAGCCATTTCAACTCTTTTCTTTTCGGATTCTTCTCGACCCGATAAAACCCACCAAAACTGAACGTGCCAAATGAAAAAATACCCAACTCAAATAACAGTTAATAAAAGCCTAAGACATCATGCAACTATCGACTGAATAGTTGCATGCTATTAATACGTCCTAGATTTCACTTAATTATCATTGTTCAAGATTTTGGCAGGAACTGGCGCTGCCTCTCGCTTGCCCGTTTGTTTGAGATAATGATTCCCTTCAGTCGCATTCTTGCTAGTTCCACATGAACACTGAACAGGATACCACCATTCCTGAGTGAGCGCACCCGCAACCATCATCCCCTCCCCTCAGCCTCGGCGCAGTGCACACTGGGCCGGGGGTCCGGAAAAGTGCTAGAAATTATTTGTGATTGAGTTGTTGATCTCAGTGACAAGCAAACATGCTAAAAACGAAGTGGGGCTGCTTAACCCTCGCCGGACCTATTGTCGGACCCCCCACCCCCTCGGCCGGCCGAGGGGGGAGGGTTGGTACGACCCCTTTTTGCCGTTTCGCCCCTAATGGAGCTAGAGCCTCGCGGAAAAAAACAAGCGTGTGCGCCGTTTCAAGGCGGAACGATTGATACCCGATTTTAAGGTTCCAGGTCAACCGGTAACCTCTGAGGTGATGTCAAAAAGCCCAAGGTAGGGTTTGGTTTTTGGCAAATAATTTCGCAAAAAATGGCCGCAGAGCAGCGATTTTGGCACCATCGTGTTCGTCTGGCTCAGGCGCGTCGAATGGTATACTTTTTGTTCGGGTGAGGTCAACTTAAGGTATTGACCTCGAGTCAAGGTCAGTTCAGAGCCCATCAGGCCACGAACTTAATCGAAGGAGGTCGTATCGCATATCATTCGATTCGGGAGGTCTTCCCGAGTCCATTGGTGGCTTTCCCGAGTCGCTGGCTCAATTTGATCATGAGTTATTGACGAGAAACTCCTATGACCGGTGTGACGTCATAAATGACGTCACGGAAGGTCAAAAATGCAAAAGTAAAGCATCGGATCTTGCAAGGAGTGCACGAAATCACGATTCCGTGTGCTTGAGATAGTTTGAAATCATTCCATGCGCAAAAACAACAGTTTCCTTATTTCCCCATTCACTTTTAATGGTGAGGTCACGTGACCTCGAAGAGTAGCAGGCATTAGCAAAAATTGCGAGTAGGGCATGAGAGAAAGATGATTGGTGGTTTGTATGGCATGGCCATTTTTAACGGCTCGAAATAACATTTCTCAAAAAGTCTAACTAAAGAGCAAGTTGTTGTTGATTATCACTGACTTGTGTTTAGGGGTTAATAATGACTGAATTTTTTAGTTTGGCCCAGAAATGTTGACAGCATTGTGTGCGTTGATCAATTCTGAGCTCAGGGACATATATTTCATTTAGATTATAAGCATTTGTTTTTCACAACTTCCAGCGTTTTAAAGAGCGCCGGGCCTTCAGTAGAGCGGCGAGGTGACAATTGCCCCTACATCATGTGGTTTACTGGCGCATATCTCGAAAAGTAGCAGGGAAAAGCAGCAAAGCACCTATATGGAACAAAAGATGAGTAATCAGAGGCTAGTATGAAATGTTCATTTTTAGCTGCTCGAAATAACGTTTTTATAAAAGTCTAATTGAAAAATTGGATATGATTTTAAATTACGTCTTGCAGCTGCTTGCAAACAGCTAGCTTATCTTGCAGAAAAGCGATGCAATATGTCAGAATGATGTTGGCATAGTGAACAACAGTTCCCTGAACTAGTCTGACAGGAAATTTCGTTCAAAACGACGATTGGTCAACTAAAAAATTACCACTAAAGTTCATCATTAAAATCGGTAAATGTGGTGGCCTATAGAGAGTCTAAATTGTCTTGTGTTTGGTGACAACTGACGACCTCAATTTTGACCTTAGGGCAAAACTAGCATCGGAATCGTATTCTTCGATCAATTTGGGATTAAATGATACCTATTTTGTTCATATTGCGGACAGTCAGTTTGGGGTAATTTCTAGCGCTTTTTCAGGCTGCCGGCCTACAGTGCAGTGGCGAGCGGCCCACTCCCGGCGCTACGCAGGCCCCATGCGCCGTGATACCGCGTCACTCCCCCTCCCTCCTTCCCCACAATGACCGGTGACCTCACTTCCCTCGGGATTTTGACTCGCCCTACCCCGACCTTAGCGCCACGTGGTGGCTCTGGAGATCTTAAATAGACCCACTGTACGTCTTCCTCGGTTTTCGATGTCAATGACCCTAGGTCAGGTCAGTTGTGCGACCTCTCCATTAAAAGCTTATCAGGCACAAATTAAGCTGTACCAAGCCTAAGGTGCCCATGGGCCCTGACAGACCCGTGGCCGTGGTGCCCCTGCTAGGCCTGTGGTGCCCCTGGCGGGACTGGGGTGCCCCTGGCGGGACTGTGGTGCCCCTGTTAGGCCTGTAATGCCTCTGATAGGCTAGTGGTACCCCTGGCAGGCCTGTGGTGCCCTCGGGCCTCAAGGGGCGTCATGACCCATGTGACCTCCCCCCTTGGATCCGCCACTGACGTTGTGTCACGGGTTAATGAAAGGAAACATACCACCTATAGCATGGGGTTTGAACTGAACTATAGCAGTTTTGTAGCTTGAGCTGCGACTAGCACAAATCAGGTAATCGTGGACAGCACCAACCATCCGAGTTCGACGCATATCGTTAACTGTCAAGAGCAAAAAGATAAAGGTCGTTCTCCTACACCTACAAAACGTCAAGTATTCTCATAGTTTAACCGACGAACGAAGCTAATGTTGTGTATTCTGGCCATTCATGGTCTATAAAGAACAAACTAATTGACATGAGGACTGAGGTCAATATCAATCTGATCAATCTGGCCAATCAATCTGACCGTACACCTCGGAAAGCTTCACAAAAACTATTGGCCGTCTTTTGTAATCGTATGATCGTAAATTACGGCGCCGTTTTTAACCCGCGCCCCACTGGGGTCTGTGTACCTATAACACGCCGTACTGGGGGGGGGGGGGCTATTCATAGCCCCCCTCCTAACTCCGAAACTACTGGGCCGCTCGTCAAAATTCAAACGGCATCTGATAGCCCCGGAAAAACTGTCGAACGAAACCTAATTTCATTGACCTCGAGGTCACCGATGACGTCACAGGTCAGGTCAAAGTAAAAATTATCGATATTTGGCTTATTCACATTTTGGGCTCTGGCTGCCGTCTTACGAGTCAGATCAGGCTGATTTTTTTGTTTACACACTCGTGAACAGATGCTTTAGATACCCTGAGGTACAAAACTTGTACTTTGATTTTCAGGTCAGGGTCAGGTCATCATAGGCCACGGAAATCTTATGTCATAAGTCGGTCACGTGACAAATGTTTTATGGTCCATTTAGGCCATAGATTTCGAATTCGGTGTCGCCTGTGTCATTTGAGACCATTTTCATCTTAATATAGCTGAGGTCAGGTAACTTTCAGGTAAAAAAAGGTCCAATTTCAAAGTTTAAATTTTTCAACAAAAAACATGTATTGGTATCGGATGCAGTTTAAGCTCAGGAACACGATGATGCTATTTATATTGGTGTACGATGTCAAATTCGCACAAAAAAATGAAAAATTTATAATTGTGAAATTTTTGCTATAATGCGTATAAATTGGTCATTTTTTAAGATATCTGGCTAAACTTGCTAGAGTAAGTCATAAGCATGTGATCTATCATATATATTCCGTTTTTTCGAAAAGTCAAAAAGTTTTTGAATAAAACGATAAAAATACAAATTTTGAATTTGAATCAATAAAATTTTCAAAAACTTTACATTTTTGAAAAATCGAGATAGCAGTTTGATAGCGCAGTCCATTCTGAGTTCTCTCATGCAAAGAAATTGGATCTAGCTCAAAAACTGAGCTCTTGGGAGCGATTCTCGTGGTTCAATGTTTTGCGTCGAAATCGGCCGAACATGACGTCACTCTGACGTCATTTCTGGCCGACCTATGATAGATACGAAGTTTAAATTTTGAGACAAGGTGTCAAATTGATCCAGCCAAAGGTACTGAAAGTGTGGCGGCGATACGTCAAGCGGTTAAGAAGTTATTGCAGAAAAACGGGAGGGGGCTATGAATAGCCCCCCCCCCCCGAGGGGCGCGGGTTAACACGATGGCAAAAGTATGATATTTACAAGTGCCGAAAGATTTTTTTTTTAGTTATCGAGTATCAATAGAAAACATGACGCGTGGAGTATTTGTCTCCACTGGCGGCCCTGCTGAAGGAACAGAGAGTAAACGGTAACACCATCATTCATGCATCGTTCACTGGAGTAGATGCTCTATGGGTACGGGTTTACCTCATGTTGACAATAGCTGACCTCCTATGCTCAAAGACAATACATAACAGTACCGCTTTTGTATATTTTACATACACGAGCACATACCAACGACGGACATGTGTCGCACGTCGCACAAATGGCAATGTCCCGTACGAAATTGATCATTAATGGAATTAGGCGATGCAATTTGCGAACAAAAAGGCACCGGGAGTTCACATTGCAAGGGACATTCAGTGGGCAGGTGATGTCAGTCAACTTAAGTACCTACAACCATGTATATAACAAACTGAAATTATTACACCAATTCTTCTTGAAGCTTTATTGTTTAGTTTTGCAATCTCCCCAACGAGCTACCTAACGAGCTATCTATTGTCTCTGTCCGGCTCCATTCTCTCCCAGACGGGAGATCTCCTGCCTCTGTCCAGCTCCATTCTCTCCTAGACGGGAGATCTCCTGCCTCTGTCCAGCTCCATTCTCTCCCAGACGAGAGATCTCCTGCCTCTGTCCAGCTCCATTCTCTCCCAGACGAGAGATCTCCTGCCTCTGTCCAGCCCCATCCTCTCCCAGACGAGAGATCTCCTGCCTCTGTCCAGCTCCATTCTCTCCTAGACGGGAGATATCCTGCCTCTGTCCAGCTCCATTCTCTCCCAGACGGGAGATCTCCTGCCTCTGTCCAGCTCCGTTCTCTCCCAGACGAGAGATCTCCTGCCTCTGTCCAGCTCCATTCTCTCCCAGACGAGAGATCTCCTGCCTCTGTCCAGCTCCATTCTCTCCCAGACGAGAGATCTCCTGCCTCTGTCCAGCTCCGTTCTGTCCAGGACGAGAGATCTCCTGCCTCTGTCCAGCTCCATTCTCTCCCAGACGAGAGATCTCCTGCCTCTGTCCAGCTCCATTCTCTCCCAGACGGGAGATCTCCTGTCTCTGTCCAGCTCCATTCTCTCCTAGACGGGAGATCTCCTGCGTCTGTCCAGCTCCGTTCTGTCCAGGACGGGAGATCTCCTGCCTCTGTCCAGCTCCATTCTCTCCCAGACGAGAGATCTCCTGCCTCTGTCCAGCTCCGTTCTCTCCCAGACGGGAGATCTCCTGTCTCTGTCCAGCTCCGTTCTCTCCCAGACGAGAGATCTCCTGCCTCTGTCCAGCTCCATTCTCTCCCAGACGAGAGATCTCCTGCCTCTGTCCAGCTCCATTCTCTCCCAGACGAGAGATCTCCTGCCTCTGTCCAGCTCCGTTCTCTCCCAGACGGGAGATCTCCTGCCTCTGTCCAGCTCCATTCTCTCCTAGACGGGAGATCTCCTGCCTCTGTCCAGCTCCATTCTCTCCCAGACGAGAGATCTCCTGCCTCTGTCCAGCTCCGTTCTCTCCCAGACGGGAGATCTCCTGCCTCTGTCCAGCTCCATTCTCTCCTAGACGGGAGATATCCTGCCTCTGTCCAGCTCCATTCTCTCCCAGACGGAGCGCCGGTGTCCGGCGTCGTGCCGCGCCCCGACCAGGCCGGCTGCCTCCCAGCGGTTCACTCCTGACGGCGGCAGACGGCGGTTGCGGGAGCACGTCACTCTCGGCCCGGTAGCCGTTCTCGTCGGCCACCCATCGCACCTCGATCGGCACCTCTCTGCCCGCCCTGTCCAGCGTCACGTACGAGTAGCTGCCCTGCATGACGATGCCGAACTCCTCGCCGATCTGCCTCAGCTGACCAGAGACCTCCTGTTTGATCTGGTCGGCCGTCTCGAACGCGTACTGGAACGAGCCGTCCTCCGCCTGGGAGGACTCCATGCGGAGGATACCAGCGTCCTCCAGAGTGGAGTCCAGGGCCTGGGGTCGGGCGGTGGCCGCCGCGGCCAGACACCCAACCAATAGTAGCTGTAACGGAGGCAGAGGGACATCAGATCGGCCGCTGGTTAACATGCAAGCTTTATCCAAAGGAATCGGCTCATCGTAAAAAAATGTCATATAAATGGGTCATCCAAGGAAGAGTCTTGACCAAACCATATGTATTACTTACATTAACCAGGCTAGAGGCTAGCTCGAAATGAGCGATTACTAGCGACTTGTTACATAAACCGTATATGACATTCAGTATTCCATATTCCCAAACCCCAACTGACTGCTTCCGGCAACGCTCCCGTCATCGAGCTCCGTCACTCACCAGCTGCATTATCCTGAGTCTCCTTCAGAAGTCGAACTGGCAGTTCAAACCGTCCTCTCGGCCTTTATACGAACGCACCGAGGGTCACATCTGCCCCATGTTGACACCCGCCCCGTGACTGGCATTGGCTGCAGATCTCTACATCCGGAGGTGCCCCGTTCAAACAGGCAACTCGACCACAGACGGTCGCCGGCCGCCCGAGTGGCGGTTGGAGTCAGCGCTTGTACCCAGCTCGGAGAATACCAATCAATAGCGCCGACAGAGACGTGGCGTAATGTCCTGCATTTACACAGCCGTCTCCGAAGGTCAACCCGCTGCATATGCGGCACAGCACAACGTGGGGGTGACGTATGCACCCATCCCGATGTAAGTGCGGTTTCCAAGTAGGTAGGGTTCCCACTATACATAGTCATGCCTCTGACAAGTGACATATTTTGGTTGCAGTTGAAGTATCTGTATCTGTATCTGTATTTTCGAAAGTACATGCAGTCCATATACCTACACTGGTTTTCCATGACTCGAGTCACATTGGGCTGAAGGTAGGTTCACGAAATCGCAAACAAGCTTCCCATCCACTCTTTGTTTGTGTCCTTACTTTGGATAAGAAAAAGGTCATAGGTACATAAATAGTCGAGTTCCCGTGAAGGAGATCTTTTTCCCTTTTTCCACCTTTCCTTCGTCTAAATTTTTCTTTTTCACAAATGTTGCATTGCATAAGCTTAAACACTCGGTTGACTTTAACAGCTGGTTTCCTGGAGAAAATCCATCTAAATAGGTGAAAAAGCATGGGTACCGGAGGCGCGACACGACGTTTCCGAAAAGGGGGGGGGGGTCCCCTTCTATTGCCCCCTCCCGGGTTCCCCGTTCCTGCGCCCATGTTCGATGATCTGATTTCAAAAATATGATTTCAAGCTTTTCCGACTTCATAGATATCTTAACCCTCGCCGGCACAGGCCATTTTGCGTCCTTCGACGGCACAAGGGGGGGGGGGGGGTTGGTACGACCCCCCTCGCGTTTGGCCCCTGATCGAGCTAGAGCTTCGCGAAAAAAAACGAACGTGTTGCCCGTCACGAGAGGAAGCCGATGATACCCAATTTTAAGGTCCTAGGTCATCGGGTGACTTTCCAGGTCAGGTCAATGACCCGAAAACCGGGAAAATCGGGACCTGTTAGAAAGTCGTAAAGTGTGACTGCTGTGTGGTTTTCCGGGGTGCTGATCACGAATATTGTGCTAGTTTTGATCAGAAATGATGTCTTTAAGCATTTAGACCAGGTCGGGTCAGGTCAGGTCAGGTCAACCGGTAGGGGTTGTGACGGGTATTCGTAATACTTGTCAACCACCTCTGACAGCTTGGTAACATGTTACGAAGGCACCAAAACTACTTCGTAAATGTTCAAATGGTTGCTAAATTCGAATTCAGCTCCAAAAACTAGCCCAGAAACATGTAAAACTCAAAAAGTGAACAGAGGTCACCCGAGGTCACCAAAGGTCAATGACCTGACCTGACCTTCAGGTGACCTTGACACCCACCCTAATGTATGGGAGCAACATCAAATCACATGTTTGAACGTTTGAAACCACGAGAAGCTTGCAAACGCGCAGCTAATGCGAGCCGACATACGCCGAATCGCGATTCCGGCCAAACATGGTCTCGGAAAAGAGGTCACAGGTCAAAGGTCATTTGGGTCAGGGTCATGACATTTTCAGGGTAGGTGTAAAATTGATCAATGCGAGAGTACTGAAAGTTTCGTCGCGATCAGCCGCTTTTTACGCGAGTTATTCGCGAAAAAACTTTAGGGGGGGGGGGGGTTGCATCACCTTGTGCCCCCTGTGCCGGCGAGGGTTAATTCAAGGTACGGTAGTAACCGAAAAAAAAACGTTCTTTGAATAAAGATGTCTAGTTGGAAAAGCTGTTGAAACAATAAACGACTAGTAGCCGAAAAAAGCGTACCTAGGTTAGGTACCTTGGCCAAACAATGTCAAGACGTTCTCGTGGCCGTCCAAAACGCAGAGAAAGAACGATGCTCGTTCGAGACACGAAGCCCGACAAGGTGAGGGTCATCAGGTGTTCTAAGCATTTGGTAGGCCAGGGACGGAATACCGCTGATGGGTTATTCGATGACCACATCCACGACCGCTACCACGTGAGATATAACCATGAGGTTTACCGGTTTAAAAGGCCCGATTTCCAACAACTGCGACCGGGCATAGCATGATCGAATATCTGGCCACGAGTTCCGACCAGGGCTGCGGAGTCGGAGTCGAAATCGGTCGGAGTCGACAGTTTTGACCGGAGTCAGAATCGGAGTTAATTTTGGAAGTCGGGGTCGAAGTGGGAGTTGTACCGGTCCGAAGACCGAAACATTCATCGATTCGACTCCGCAGACCTACCAAGTGCCAGGGCTGCGGAGTCGGAGTCGGGGTCGGGAATCGGAGTCGGTCTGAGTCGGAGTTGATTTTGGGAAGCTGGATTTGGAGTCGGAGTCGGAGCCCCCGAAGATAGGTGCATCGACTCCGCAGCACTGGCCCCTGGTTTTGACGATTGCCCCGCCCCTTCACCTCGTCCTCAGCCGCTCCACTGGACTGGCTGCTGCAGCCTGCAGCCGTCATTGGCTCATGGTCATTGGCTGATGGCCCATCACAGGCTGCAGCCAATGGCGGGTGCAGCCTGCAGCCGTCATTGGCTGCAGGCTGGAGCTCCTAAACAAAAATGCTTTCACTGATTCGAATATTCGTCCAGAGAGAGTAGGTACCAATGGGCAGAATGGGCATCACAAAGGGATAAAGAAAGGAATGACTTCATCAAAAGCTTCCAAATGAGCTGCCATATTGGGTCAATAACTGCGCATAAAAGACGCTTTCCAATGTGACTGTTGATGTTCTATTCAAAGGTCTTTTCCATGCTGTCAACTCACCGGCATTCTCTGTATTTGACAAATTCATCATTTTCAGCGTAGTTTTGGAAAAATGATAGCCTTGTTTTTGTGAGCTATCATAAAAATATCAATCTGAAAAATAGATAGGCCAACATTCTTTCAATCAATTGTTTTGAGAAACTCATCATTGTCCGCTAGCATGTGCCTACTTCTTGAAGTGAACACACCAACGCTCAGTAGGGTATGTTTTGGCATTGGTGATATTTTCAATTCAAATTCAACCTCGTGAAAAAGCGCAGTGCATGTAAGTAAAAAGAGTAAAAAAAGATTTTGGCCACATGATAATAAGCCATGTTGATGTCATTGGGCTCTTAGACTAAGTGCACGAACAGCTTTCAAATTGGCTTAACATGCAATGCAGCAAAAATCAGAACCCTGAATCGGTTTGGACATTGGACAATCCTTTCATTCTTTCAATTTTCATTCATCTCAATGTTGGTCTGGAATGCAAACCTATCTATCTATCTATCTATCTATCTATCTATCTAATCCTTGCAATTGACTACCTTGACCTTGACCTAGGTACCTATCTAGCAGTTCCTGGACTGAGCATACATGATTTCCTTGACTGAATGTGTGTAACCTGCTGTGTAGGCCAGCATAGCCTGCATAGCCGGCCCAGTGTATTTCCTTTCTGGAGAGGCCTGTTTTACCAACAGAAAAAAAGCTACTTGCCAAAATTGTTTGCCTAAAGACCGCTTCACATACCTTTGGTAAATCCTATCCGCTTACGTGCCCTTCGTGTTTACGAGCTGTATGTGAAGCGTTCTTTATGCAAAAAATTCTGGCAGCCGGCAATTGTTCTGTTGGTAAAACTGGCCTCTGAACTTGATCTGCATAGGGATTCACTCAAAGCCTGGCAAAATGCAGGACACATTGGTTTGTAGTTTCCTGGAGGATTGTGTTTAGGTAGTGTGGCTTAGGCTCAATGTTCACTGTTCAGCCACTGCCACCTTCTTGACGTGGCCTGAATCTGATTAATGTTGTCTCCGTGAAGTAAGTATGATGTTGATATAGCTAAAATGGCACTTGACCTTGGCACTTAGAAATGAATGACAACATTGCTGTAACATTCAAACAGTTCCTGGTTTTGCTGAGCTAGCACTGTTGAATATACAGACAGCTCCCATTCAATTAAATGAAGGGGAATGTGGTTTTATTGGGATGTTTGCGTCAGTTTGAGTCAGTCATATATCACTCCTGTCTTTTACATGGATCCTTAATTGTTAACCAGTCTTTCTTTTGCGGTGAACAAAGGAAAGCACTCAACACACAACTTTTTGTACTCAATGTATCATCCACAAAGTAGCTACCTACTAAAGCTTCCAGGATGAATTGAAGTCTTGTGTTTGCTTTTGGATCACAGGTTAGGTCAGTATTTTTATTGCATTTTTCTTAACCCTAGAACGCCTAGGGGGGGGTTGTATCAACCCCCCCCCCCCTGAGGTTTTTCGGAAATAGTGCAAAAACGGCGGCGCGCAGCGCCGCCAAATTTTGGGTACCTTATGGGGCAAACCTTGCGCATCTTTTGATAAAAAAAATTTGACCGGGTCATGTCAGGTCACGGAGTTATGACGTCACAAAGGGAACAGCCTCCGGCCGGATTTTCACAAACTGAGTGCCAACGCCCGAGGTTTCCTGCCGGTGGTACGGACATCGGTTGATGGATCGTGATGAAACTTCCCATGCAAGTTGGGGCAAGTATTGGCTATCATATGGTATAAGAAACTTGACCGGGTCAGGTCAGGTCACGGAGCTATGACGTCACAAGAGGAACAGCGTCCGGTACTATTTTTGAAAAGCGCCCGAACCACTATTTTGCTAATTCTTGTCACCTCAATGGGAATATGCAGCAATATTAGCTTCTATAAGGAGCAAATGGACATCCCAAATCCAAAAATACAATCAGATTTCAAAAATTTAAATTTTGATTTTTCGAATTTCTGCCGCCGACTGTGACCTTGCCGACTTCCGGCGCTCCCAACGCGCCATTTTTAGAGCTAGGGAAACGAAATACATACCAAACGATAGAGAATTGATCAAGGAACACGATAGTGTAGGTTTCAAGTCGATATCTCCCACCGTTTTGCCGCAATCGCCACGAAAAATTTGAAAAAGTCTATTTTTCCGAAAATTTGACCTTTGACCGGTCAAAAGTAGGTCAAATGTTGACCTAGGACCAAAAAATATACCACCATTCGCGAGATCTCGTTGAGAGCAATCCGTTGGTTTTTTCCGCTAAGCTCTACGACCTTCCGTTTCGAAACGCCAGGGGGGGGGTCGTAACAACCCCCCCCCCCCCTGGTCGTTCGTGTTATGAGAAATGGCCTGGTCGTGCGAGGGTTAAGTTCCTCAGCTAAATCTGGAAACATGAGTTAATTTTGATCTGAATTATACTGTCTTCACATGTTCTGTGAAGATTGCAACTTTGATATAAATTTTGCTTATTCAATATACAGTCCACTTACACTATTTAGTTATATTTTTAGATATAAATGCCGGTGGAATATGGATAGTACAATCAGAGAGAAATGGTTAAACATCATAGAAATGATTGCTGTCTCTGCTATCCATCCTGTAGCTCATTTGGTAAGGTCAAAGGTGCTTTACCCCCAGCTATGGCCAGATTCTGAGGTGATTGTCATGTGTATCTCCCAAACTGTCCATCAGAATTAAGTGCTAAAATATGTATCAGCGCAAACAGTAAACATTGTATTTGTGTTATTTCTTTGAGTCATATTTATGAACAGGGCCATTTGTCAGTGCCATTTTTGTTATGCTAGCAAATAGTTATGAATTTTTTGTCGCACTAGGTCCATACTGTGAGCACAATACACCATTAGCATTAGTAAGGCACTTTTCCCCTGATTTTAACAGATCTTTATCTTTCAGATGACATCCATTCATCAACAGTCCGCTTGAAGTGTCAAAATGAGCTCTCAAAAAGGAAATGCGAACCGAACCAGGGCTCAGAAGCATAAAAATGTAACCAAGTTCAACAACAGCATGCATGATACTTCCAGACGAACCAAGCTCCTGAACAACATGGAGGTGCATGGTGTTTGCCAAAGGTGTAAAGACATAATCGACTGGAAAATCAAGTACAAGAAGTACAAGCCTCTGACAGCTCCCAAAACGTGCACCAAATGCCACCAAAAGACTATCACACAGGCGTACAGAACCATCTGTAGAAACTGTGCATCATCACTACAAGTCTGCGAGAAGTGCGGAGAATCCAAGACGGTAATACCGAAAACCATTCTCACGCCACAGGAGCAAATGAAAGAGGAAGCCGAGCTGGAGAAGGAGCTGAAGGGCCTTCCGGAGCGGAAAAGGAGAAGCCTAAAGAGGTGTATGGCCAAAGAGAGGAGCAATCCAGACAGTGATCCCAACAACTTCATCAGGGACATGCGGCAGAGGATCGAGGACGTGAGGCAGGGTCTGGATGACGGTCTGTCGGATATGTCGGACTACACCAGTGGGGAAGAGAGCGGCGGGGAGGATGGGGAGGAATAAATGACGGACAACAATTGACGATCTTTTTCAGCTTGATGGCAGTTTCCAGGATCTGGTGGGTGTAATTGGGTGTAACTACACAGAACCCATGAAATCGGAGCACTTCTATGCAGCATACTATCTGAACCCCTTGGACATCGTCGTAGCCATGCGACTTCCATTTAATTTAATTTTGATTCCTCACAGCTGCCCAGCTTGCGTGGGATGAGGATGCAGAGTAAAAATGCGAAATCTGAAAAAGGCAGTCGATTCGCTTTTTTGGACTTTCAAGGGGTCTCGGCAGTAATATTTGTGTTACAGTTCCTCAGTTTGTCATGCTCCGTGAAAGCAGTAGGGAACGGCGGTGATTCATAGCTGTTTGAAACCAGCCGCAGACATCCTATTTGTTAGGTCGAAGCACCTCGGACTGGGACTGGAAGATAGGGGAAGGTAATCGGCATAAGCAGTTAGAAATAGTTATTCCTATCACTTATCGGCATTGATCTTGTTTTAAAGAATGATGAAGACTGCAACGACCGAGCACGACACTAGCGCCACACCGCGGAGACTGCAACGACCGAGCACGACAGTAGCGCCACGGTGCGGAGACTGCAACCGTGTCGGGTGAACGGGATAGTAGCGCTATGCTGCGGAGACTGTTACTGCATCACACGACAGTAGCACTGTGCTTGGTCTTGTCTTGGTCTCGGTTGCTGGCTTTCGAGCCACCACTAATTCTTGTATATGCTGTGAATACAATGCATCAGCGAATTGCGAGAGGAGCACGGAAAACTATGGAGACTGCAGTAGGGTAGCGTCTGGCTGTGGAGACTACGGTGCACGCACGACACTAGCGCCACACCGCGGAGACTGCAACGGACGAACACGACAGTAGCGCCATGCTGCGGAGACTGCAGTGGCGCACACAACAGAAGCACCAGTGCGGAGACTACGACGGCTGAACATGACAGTAACACCACGCTGTGGAGACTGCAACGTTCTTACACAGCAGAAGCGCCATGGTGCGGAGACTGCAACGATACATCCCTACGTTTGTAGCGCTACGGTACAGAGACTGAAACAACCTTAACTTCAAAGGGCGGTAGCGGCGTAATACTCCGGAGACTGCAACGGCGTACACGACAGGAACACTATACTTAACTATGGAGACTCCAATGGTGCACACAACAGTAACACCATACTATGGAGACAACCGCGGTGTTACACACTACAATAGCACCATATTATTAAGACTACAACGGTATACACGACAGTAACACCATACTATGGAGAATGCAATGGTACAGCCCACCGCTAAAGTAATGTAGGGTTTTACCAATCTCAACCGTTGGCTTTGACTGGCGATTGTTTAATGCGGAGTGATCGAAAAGAAGATGTCAATATCTAAAGTTGCAGCTGAAAGGGTGACGATACATATAAGCTACATTCAAAGCTTCATTGTAGTCTGGCTAATCGTTCCTAAGCTTCAGAAGCAGAACATACCCATGACTGAAACCACACATTACTTCTGCTGTGGACTGTACCACGACAGTACCTACCCCACACTACAGCGACTGTAGTGGCGCACACGAGAGAAGCGCCGCGGGTCGGCAGCTGTCCACTGTCCAGTTCGCGGAAAGTTTAGGCCTTTTGCGGTTTTGGTATGAACTACGAACTCATGAAGTTCTCAGCAGGTTGCTCAATAATTCTTGCTGAAAAGCTTCAGCAGTGCATCACTCATCTTGCATCACAGAACCCGTAACATCAGCGCCACTGGTGTCCGTGCGAGCAGCCGTAGATGGCAGCACTGCAGCCGGCCTCTGCTGCTGTCGGGCGGCTGCAGCCGGTAAATACCGCGCCTCCTGGGACGTGGAAATGTCCTCGGGTCTGGCGCTCAACAGACGGTGCCGATGCCGTATGAGAGGCCTCAGCAGTACGAGGGGGTCTCTGCAGCCGCGAGTCTGTGCTGCCATTTGTCCAAATTTATGCGTAGTGTGCTGACAGCAATGACGGACCACAGTGCAGCTGTTTTGCGTGATTTACGTGTGGAAAGTATGAATGATTTATATCAGCGTTATGATAAAGTAGGCTATTGTTGCATTGCAGGCCTACGTTACTGCTACGACTAGTGTAGGAAGCGATGCTCAACTCTTTGCTATGCGATGCAATCCCCTTATTTGCGTTAAAAAATAAACTACAAATAATAAATATGCCCTTTTTAACATGATATCATTGATCGCAGGGCTGCGGAGTCGATGAATTTTCGGTGACTCCGACCCCGACTCCGGCTTTCAAAAACCAGCTCCTGCTCCGACTCCGGACAAAACTGTCGACTCCGACCGACTCCAACTCCGATTGCCAGGTCTGCGAAGCTGACGGATTTTTGGTGACTCCGACTCCGAATCCGGGCAGAACTGTCGACTCCGACCGGCTCCAAACCTGGCTCCGGCTCCACAGCCTTGCCAGGTCTGCGGAGTCGATAAATTTTCGTCAACACCGACTCCGACTCCGGTTTCCAAATCGACTCCGACTCCGACTCCGGTCAGAACTGTCGATTCCGACCGACTCCGTCTCCGCAGCTCTGATTGACCGTGTATGGTTGTTTCTCATCTTCTTTTGTGCATCCGAAATTTCGCAAGAACCTTATCACTATGATTATTGGAGCGAACACCACCAGCTGTTGGTGGCCTATGCGGCCTAAATGGCCGTCTTCAGTCATAGAGCTGGAAAATTCTGCGCTGTGAGGACGGCCACAGCAGCTGTGATGAGCCTACCAGGCGCAGCTGACTCTCCGTCACTGACTGGCAGTTGAGGACTAAAGCCAGAAGCCATGACAGATGGAAATTCGGCGACAGGCACCATCTCCCACTCAGTGGCGAACGGAGTGGCATATGGTTCCCAACAAAGTGAGAGATTGGCAAATTATTAGCCTGACGATACATTAGTTAGGGAACTCGTATTCGGGCTGGATGTTTACACATTGCATTGGTTTTCGGTATGATTTCTTTCCAATCCGTTTGGCATACATTAGATTTCGCCATTTCGCTTGTTGCCATCGACGCAACCGGCGCACATAGCCTAACGACCTCCATTAAAACGGTCTCCTCCGCCAGCCAGCGGGTATAGTCAGTGGAGCGGCTGCTTTTAATGTGTTCATGGTCGGGTGCCGGTGTGCGGGCGGGGGGCAGTGCCCCTCCCAGCTCACTCTCAGCCACGGTTTCCCAACTCGCTGACAAAACCACACGCACGGTGTCACACTGCGTTAATCCCAAACGGTCAAGGCCGTTGCATCGGTAACTCTAGGTACGTACTAAAATGACGTCATAGTTTTAATGATTCTTTGCTGAGCTTTCACTGTTAGCCCTAGATTCATCATTGATCAGCGCATACTTATAGAAGTACAACAGTCTCATTGACGTCTTGCTCTTGATTTACACGTAACTCGAAATACACCAAGCTTCCATACTGAACCAGATTCCATTCAAACAATCTAACGCGAAATAAACTCGAATTACAAACTGTAGGGACTACATTTCCTCGATGTAGCACAGTCTCTGTGCTGGGTTTGACTCCATCCCTTTAAACTAGCACGAAATAAACTCGCGTACGAGCCGGATTATCAGATGAGTGACGGACGCCAAAATCCATCCTTGCTCAAGCACTGTTGGCCAACTCCGACATTGCACCAAATGTTCGGCGATCCGTTCTGTCGGCCCGGCTCATTTTCGCGCAATCGACTCGGCTGGTCCGATGGTCGGATCCGGCCGGACCAGAATGTGCACTGGAATACCGCCGGTCGCCAGGTGAAATGAATGCACGCTGGCTTTCTAGGAAGGTGCCCACTGGAGCGCGACGAAGCGCAGTATGCATAGAGGGCATCTCTGGCATTTTTGCGTGCGTCGATTACGACACTGCTGAGCTGGGTCAGCTTCTCTGATCTTTCCAAGCCAGCGCGGAGCGGGTCTGGAGAGAAGAGAATCCTTGGACCCACAGTTTCTTTTGCAGGTATCAGTTTGAGCGGTTTCGTGTCGAGGGGTAGGTACTACGGAGTGGTACCGTGATAAGTCCTGGTAGCACGGCCAGCGTAATGTAGGCATGTTCATCAGCATCTTCTTTAGACAGACACCGCTGCCTGCAATGCAAATGAAATTTTATCTTCTTGGTCAAGTCAACCAAATTAAATAGGCAACTAGAAATCAATTTTTTTACATGTAATAACTTAATTCTTTAAACGACGTTTGTGTGTGTTTGTATGAGTGGGCTGGTCTGCCATCAGACTATGATCGGCCCAAGGCTATAGAACGATCGGCCCGCCGCGCCGTGACGCCAGGGGTGCGTGGAATGCGTGACGCCGGCGCGTTACGAAAGGTCGGCTCGCGTCACTCGTCCCACACCGCGCCACTTTAGAGCCTGACTTCTGCGGCGATTACAGCGCGACATATGAGCATTGTGAGAAATTGGTTTTGCGAGGGATGTGCATGAACAGCATGACCGGCAGGACGGAGCACGACGGTTACTCAATAAATTGGTCCAAAGGCGTCTGGCAATGTTTCGTGACCAAGAAATGACAATACATTACGTGTCCCACATGCTGTCTCATGGCCATTTAGTTTAGCTTTTTCGATTCACTATCACCATTATAATCGCCAAAATGCTTATTATCGGTAGGCGACATCAAAACGTTCGTTTAGTTTCAGTTAATACGGCTGATGAAAAAGGCAGTAGCCTTTGAAAGATACCTTTATATAAACTTTGCTGGTGTTCCACAATTCTTTTTTCCTTAACATGTCCCAGTACAACAACTCTGTCTTTAAAGTTAGCAGAGTACCTAACTTTATTTTACACAATTCACTGCTCTCACGCCGACGCGGAAGAACGGAAGATGATCCAATTTAGATCATTCTAAGCCGAAACGATCACGCGATCGCATAATAGGTGTATAATTTCTCAGGCAAAGACGTATCGAATGCCCGAAGGGAGTGTGCAAACAGATGCGGTAGTAATATCAGAGGCAGCACCGATAAATTATACATAA